AGCTGTGAGCAGCAATAGTTCTCCAGTGTTTCAGGCAGGATTCTCTATCTACCTGGAGAACCTGGAGACTGAAACACCGTCCATCTGCTTGGAAAGCATGTATGGTGTACTACTGAGCTACAACCCCCTGCCTCAGAAAATACAGAACCCTGGATTCCATGGTGGTCTCTCATCTGAGTACCCTGCTTGGCTTGTGCAATTAGATGTGAGTGGTAAATGCGGGGTGATAGAAGAGGACACAACATGCAGAATTATTAGCAATGCCCGGCTCTGTAAGCGTAACTTTGGAGAGGTGTGTGCATCACACCATTAGGTCAACAATCTAAAATTACTTAACTGATACCAACTGTGAGTCCTTTCACTGTGTGTGTGGGTAGGAGGCAGAGAAATGTTGGTAGGAAGAGGCAGGTTCCATATACCTATATCCCATAGATCCAACAGCTCAAAGGGTTTCTGTTGGATATATGCCAGATTGATGCAAACATAAACAAACAAATAAATAAATAATCCCTGTCTGTTATACTTCTGTTGTTTTCATCTGCTATTATTTGTTGCACATCTTAAAGTCCAATTTTGTGTCAAGTTTTTAAAAATATCGCGTTGACGGTTTCATGATTATTTGTAAGTCATCCTGGGAGTGAAAATATAATTTTTAAAATAAAATGCAGTACAGGATGAACATACATTCATTCATATACACCGATCTGCAAGAGGGCAGTTTCAATGACATGGGCCTCACTGTTCTCTGTTAAGAGAACACTGAATGGTTTAGTTCATTTTGTTCTGATTGATGCTCGGAAAGATCAAGAGAATGTCCACCCTGAGTATTTAACTTTCCCTCCATCTGTGATACCAGCACGGCATTCTGGTGTCTATGCAACGTAGGGCTGAAACTAGCGTAAACCTTCTGGTATTTTTGTTCTAATTTGATCCAGTGCAGAATCTGTTCATACGAACCCAAGAGCGTATTGTTCCATGCTGATCTGTGCATTTTGTGGGTGGGTGTCATTCTATGACATTTCCTTACGAGTGCTTTTCTGCTGGTCAATCCCCATCCCTTTGTGGCCTCTGCATAGTTACCATGAGAGAAGGAAGCAGAGAATAGGGTGACGAGAAGGCAGAGAAGTCAGCCAAACATTAGGGAGCAATTCCAGATGTGTGTGAATAGGCAGTACTGAGATAATCCCCGTGCATCCCAGTAAATCCAATAACAAAGAGTCTCCCTCTGTGTAGATTATATGAATTATCTACTGACACTGCAAAGACAAATATCAGTACTATCCAGATCTACCCCAGAACAACTGGAAACAGCCCTCACTGTGTGAACAAGCTCTAAAAACATCCATGAATAACAGTTAGTAATGGCATATCAGGGGGGAGAAACGAATTGTATGAATCAAGTAGCATTTCACACTTGGTAATGACTTAAGAACCCTTGATTGATATTCAGTCCTTTTAAGTCGGTCTCCACCATCTCAGATGCTTCTCTTTCAAGTCTTGTTTTGTTGTCTCCCCCCCACCCCACAAAAAAGGTGACTTTTAGATCAATCAAAGAATGTCCAGGTAGACTGAAATTCAGAAACAAGTTATTGTGTGTTGCCATTCCTGACGTCAAATGTTTGTCCATTAATTATTTTGCACAGAGACTGTCCTGTTTGAAGGGGGTTGTTGGCACAGATCACATGAGCAGACAAATAAATAATGGGGCATTCTTCTTTTGTATAAGGAAAAATGGTCTCTCAATGTGTAAGGTAGCTTCCTGCAGAGACGTTCTATTTTTTTAAAGGTTCCGGGTATTGAATGGTATTTGCACCTTAGCCAGTAACATGTACTGCCTTCAATACTCTTGGCAAAGCTAAAAAGTGCCAGATGGACAAGTTTCCATGTCCCCAGTCTACAAACTGTGCAGGAGGTTAAGTGTAAGAGATTGTAACGGGCGGAGTGGGGAAATGGCTCTTGGTTCCTATTAATTAATGCAGCTGCTTGAAATTACATGTGTGGTTAAGCAGCCTGGGTATAAGAGCATTAAAACAATACATTCCTTTGAACAAAAAGTCTTTTGGACCAGATCATGATCTCCATGTCATTCTATTTATGCCATTCCAGCCGTTCAATCAGTCTCAATTAAAACACACCAAGAGCCGCTTATCTGACTGTGCAATCTTAAAAAATGTTTCATCATGCAGACCTTATCAGTGACATGATCTGACATAATTAAACCCTCAGAGAAACCCATGGTTGCTTCCTGGCTTGACTGTGACTTTGTCCAAAATAAGTTATGTCAGTGGGCTTCTTCCACTCCACATTTCCACCATCTTATTTATGGCAGTATTATAGGTCATGCTGTCTGAGGGATTCGGGGAACAAGTCATTTTTCAAAGCTCTGGTTGCAATTCGGAGTGCGCCCCTTCCAGAATTCTCCAATAATTATCCAGGCAAAATTCTGGGAATTCCTACCTGCAGACATTTTGCTCACCTGGAACAAGGCCTAGAATCTAGGCTGGCTCAGGCCTACTTCCTATAAAAAAAGGAAATTGCTCCAGTGCTTCTTGGGAGGTTTGTATTTTTTGGGTGCTTTATACAAAACCTAATGGGCAGCAAGACTGCCCCTTCCACAAAGACCGAGGGCTGGGATCTCATGAGCAAATAAATGAGTGTTGATGGACTACAAAGGGTTAAGGGTGCTGTTTGGGTTCTCTTGGTGACCTGCTCAAGATAATTCAGCGAGCATCATTATTTAGTAAGGATTTGAATTCAGTGTTTGTCTGATACTCTCGACCACTGCATCACTCTGTAGTGCTGTGGCGCCGGAATTTTAGATACACAGAAGGAGGATATCTAATGACAGTGGTTGAAAGATCACTGCTTAGCAAAGTAAACTGCACCAGTGTAAGCTCACTGGGGGCAAGTGAGGATTAGGTGTATCAGCTCCTCCAAATGGGTCTACTCCTGTTGCAACTTACTCCAAAGTAGTCCCATTTGCGTCTATATAATTTACAGCTGATTGGGTTGAAAGGCTTTCCATAAAATCTGATTGATATTCCACGGTCAGAATTTGCCTTAGAATCCTGGTAGAGCAGACGTACAAATGAATCATAGAAGAATCCTGAGTCCTGGAATCGGAAATGCTAGAACTGCAAGGAACTCATGATTCATATTTATGTCTTGTTACTCCCTGGTAGAGCAGACGTACAAATGAATCATAGAAGAATCCTGAGTCCTGGAATCGGAAATGCTAGAAACTGCACGGAGCTCATGATTCACATGTATGTCTTGTTACTCTAAGCTGTACTCATTTCAGCTACGGTATATAAATAACAGCAAAAAGTTTTATTTTTTTGCTGGCATGGTGAAGCAATGGGGACCTTGAATGTTTACTGTCTCATGGAAAGCACAGACCTCTGTAATAACATACGTAGATCTCCTAGCTACACTAGATGCTGTCCGAAATCCTCCATTCAGAGCATGTTACTGTAGTCTCTTGAGACTGAAGGATGCCTGACCTAAAACAGACAGGATCACAAGTAAAAATTATGTGGATACATGAGGATGTGCACCTTGAATCTCTGGTTTTGGGGCCACTGCAAAAACCATACAGCGAAGGACCTGTGATTTCTGTGGTTTAAGCTGCAGGAAAAGCTGGGGCCTGTGACCTGGTGAATGGTTTGGACATGATCCCATGTAAAAACCACGAGGATCCGTACTTCAGATCCATGTTTTTGTGCCATGACAACATCGTGCAGAGGCTGATCACTGATTCAAATCATAGCTCCCAACTGTCACTTGGGGAGGGCCCTATGGAAAAAATCATGCAGACCCATAAAGATCCTCACCTAGGATCCATCATGGGATCTGTAATTTTTAGTTTGCTTATTCATTTATTTCTCCCCTCTTTTTTCCTTAAAAAAGGACCCAAGTACACGTCCTCGGTTTACATCGTTAAAATACCATATTTAAAGCTAAGAGCAGGGGGTATGAAGAGGCAACGTAATCTTTTAGCTTTAATATTGTCTTTATGATGTAACTTGTTGTTGTTTAGTCGTTTAGTTGTGCCCGACTCTTCGTGACCCCATGGACCAGAGCACGCCAGGCCCTCCTGTCTTCCACTGCCTCCCGGAGCTGGGTCAGATTCATGTTGGTCACTTCGATGACACCGTCCAACCATCTCGTCCTCTGTTGTCCCCTTCTCTTCTTGCCCTCACACTTTCCTAACATCAGGGTCTTTTCCAGGGAGTCTTCTCTTCTCATGAGATGGCCAAAGTCTTGGAGCCTCAGTTTCAGGACCTGTCCTTCCAGTGAGCACTCAGGGTTGATTTCCTTCAGAATGGAGAGGTTTGTTCTCCTTGCAGTCCAGGGGACTCTCAAGAGCCTCCTCCAGCACCACGATTCAAAAGCATCAATTCTTCGGTGGTCAGCCTTCTTTATGGTCCAGCTCTCACTTCCATACATACATGCTGTCAAGGTGTGTCATCACTTTCCTCCCAAGAAGCAGGCGTCTTTTAATTTCGGGGCTGCTGTCACCATCTGCAGTGATCATGGAGTCCAAGAAAGTGAAATCTGCCACTGCCTCCATATCTATTAATACATATTCAGTCACTTGGCACGCCATGTAAAAACCATATGAAACAGTGAGGATCCGCTTTCTCATTTCGTGATTCCAGTTTTTTTTCACCTAGTGTTGGCGTTCACAACGCACCCCCATAACGCACCAGCTGCGGCAGCAGAACAACGGTCAACGGCTCCGCGGCTTCCGAGAAGGAACGAGCAAGGGAACGCGTTCCTGTCGAGGGGGGGTGAAAAAAAGCAAAGAGACCTCCGGGTGTGCCCTCCTCTCACGGTCGAAGCCACGGCCTCGCTGCCTCTAGTGTCATGGTGGTAGGCATGACGCGCCGGCGCATGCGTCCTGTAAGAGAGGCGGGAGGCGGAGCCAGAGAGGGGAGGCGGGAGGCGTCACGTGCCCAGCCGGCCCACTGAGGGAGCGCGCGATGTGGCTCGCGGCGGAGTGCGTTCCTTCCCCCCCCCCTCTACGAGCGTTTTGACGGTTAACGGTTGCGGCGCCGCTGTCGCTCTTCTTTCCCTCACAGAAGCTCCGCCGCGGCGCCGCCACTTTCTGCCGGCCTTCGCGGGAGGAGGACGGTTATGCTCCGCCAGCCTGCCGCCGCGTCCTCGGAGCGCCGCACGGCGGGTGAGTCTGAAGAGACCCGGGAAGGGAAGAGTGTTGCCACCTCAGAAGGGAGAGAATGGGGACGTCGGAGGCGCCCGGCCGCAGCCTCTTTCTTTGAGGGCTGGCGGGAGAAAGGGGGGGGGGGACAGAGAGAGAGAGAAAAGAAGCGGTGCGCAGGGCCGGCCCGAACCCGTCTGCTGCCTGAGAGAGAAGACGGCCGTGGCATCCCCAGCCCCTGCATACAGGCCAGCCGGGTCTGCCGGCGGTTTCAGGAGGGGAGGCACCTGGCGGGGGTGCCTGGGCTGCCGACGACCCCGCTGCCCCCCTCCCTCCCTCTCTGGCGAGAGGAGTCGGCTTCGTGTCAGGCCTGGCCACGGAGGGGCGAGAAGGCAAGAGCGGTGCAGAGAGTATTTCTCTCCCGCCTTTCCTCCCCCCAAAGGACACCCCCCCCAGGCGGTCCTTGGCCGGCCGGCCTGCCGCCCTCCCTGCCAAAGTCGAGGCGGCCCGTGAAGGAACCGGCCTCTCCCCCGCCCGCCCCTCTGTCCTGACCTCTTTCGGTCCCGGCTCCTCTGCAGGCGGAGGCAGAGAAAGGGAGCCCGAGGCGCTGCGCCCCGGAGAGCCGCTTTAGGAAGAGAAAGTCGGCCGGGAGGAAATGGGGCCACCCTCTCGGGTTGGGCTCCACAGCCTTCCAACTCCATTATTCCATGAAATACGGGACGGGAGATGCCTTTAGGTGCCTGCGGGTGTTTCCGTGACCCAGGAGTCATCCCTACTGGAGAGGGGGGGGGAATTATTTCTGACTAACAATGAGTGGGGTTCTCCTGTCAGCAAATGGAAATATTATGTCATCTCATTGCATCTGGCTTATGGGTAACCCCCGACAGAGTGTTCAGGCTGGCTGGATAACTCAGCGAGTTGGGAGTTCAGTTCCCCACTGTGCCTCTTAGAAGAACCAGTCTGTGTAGCCTTGGGCAAGCTGCACAATCCCAGGATGCCCCCAGAAGAAGAGAATGGTAAACTGCTTCTGAGGATTCAGCCTGACAAGAATCACCATAAGTCAGAATTAACTTGATGACACACAATTGTTATTGTGAACAGAGTGTTCAAGGTTTCTGAACTCTCTGTGCCACCCACCCTTCCCCAATGAGTTTCCATGGCGAGTAGAGATTTGAACCCAGGTGCTCTGTCCTCCACACCACACTAGATCTCTTAAAGGGAAAATAAGTAGTATGGGTAAAAAGGTTGTTAGTTCCAGTTTGAGGCAACCAGGCCTCAACCAGAGAAGGTATTTAGCACACTGGCCGTTCTAATGAAAAAGAGGAGGTAGAAAATGAGACAGTCTTGTGTCCTGCAGAGTCTTAAAATGAAAATTTTGAGAGCAATAAAGGAAAGAGGCAGAATTCTTTCACCCAAGTTTGGGCGTACACCAAACAATATTGTCACTGAAGTTCAACAGAATGTCAGTTGAATAAACATAAATAATGTTTAAATGTTTAGGCATAGTTTCTTCCTTTCATCCTTTGTTATGTTGCCTGGAAGTGGTAACTGAAGATCACTTGATGCATATGTTATGTCCTCATTTTGTACTAATCAGTATGTGGAGGTATGAGCTTTCTGTTATTTTGTTCCTTTTTCCTCTGTGGAAGAGTGAGCATTCCAGACTTGGAGTTGAAAGAAATTAATTACAGTATTTTGTATCTTGAAGTAGCCACTTACAGTTCCTGTAGTCCAACAGGCAGGTGTCTTTCACCTTTGAGATGCTGTTTTGTGCCATGTGCAAATATTTCTGTTGCACATCAGAAAGTGAAATATGTAGCAATCAAACAATACAGCCTACATAGACTTTGCATTCACACTGGATTAATTTAATAAGCAGCTGTTGCAGTTTTATACATATTTTCAAGCGAGTAAGACCCATTGAAGTTGGTAGGACTTTGTAAATAACAGTTCTTAGGACAGAGCTGTATATGACATTGTACGCTGTCAGATAAATGTTGGGTTGTAATGTCCTTGTTGGATCTAGTATGTTCACTGATTATAATGTTGTGAGGAAAATGGACTATAATAGCCTTTCCTAATATATGTGGTAGAAAATGAAAAATTAGTGTAAGAGAGAAATTATACAGATAAACTAATAGTATAACATAGGCATCATAGTATATATCAGAGAATCAGAGTACTATGGTCCATGGTGAGGGGGAAATGATTGTCATGATCCAAGCTCTGTTCCCTTTCTTAAAATAGTGACATGCTTTATAGGGGAACTCTAGTCTTATATTTAGGAAAAAAATGTATAGCAAGGACTAGAACATGTGTGCTTGCTTTCAGCAGGAAAATAGCCATCTGATTCATCCAAACCATCTTCACATGTTTACTCCGAAGTCTTAATGAGTTAAGTGAACACTTGTGGGTTTCATGGAAGTGCTAGGATTACAGCCTTGGCCATCTTGCTTTTGAGCAGAGTTCAAACTTAAATATTAATGGAAATAAAGTTTTTAGCATATTATACCTGTTACAGAATACCCTGACTCCTGATATGTTAGAGGTAAGATAGTAGTAATGTTAACTCTCTCTCTGTGTGTATGTGTGTGTGCGTGTGTGTGAGAGAGAATGACTGAGAGTGAGATAGTGCATGTGCAAGAGAGAGCAACATCCATGCTAAAGTACCACATGTCTGAGATTTGTTTGCTTCAATAATCTTTTTTTTTGGGGGGGGGAGTATTTTGAGTATGGGAGCTGTTTTCCTTGCACAATAATTTAATTATTAATGCTACTGGTTAGGTTAAGCATCAGCCAATGGTAATTGCTATTTATTAGTTATGTTGAAGAAAATTGGCAGGTAATCAGGATGTGAACTCTGAATGTGAAAAAAATGACTTCTTTCATGTTCTGCACTTATGTTCCTTTATGTTAAGGAGATGCGTAAAATAGACTTCATAGTACAGGCCTAACATGCATATCTGTGTTTATTTTTGTATGTATTGGTACTGTCAGTAATGATATGCTATATAGGCAACCTTTTAAAAAATATCTTTGTGCTAATAGTAATTGATTGTTCCATGCTTGCAGATGTGTTTGAAGAAGAATTGTTGTGAAGCTATATAGGGCATTTCAGGGAAAACAAATGATGCAATGTATGGAAAGGAGAGTCATTCTTTAGTCTATGATTGCTGGAGTAATCCAGCTAAAGCTTGCAAAGTCTAATCTTCTGGCAAGGATGGGTTTAGCCATGCTGATTAAGTGGTGATTTTGACGCAGAGAACAAAATAAGAAAAAAACAAAACAAAACAAAGCTGTTGTTGGAACATCAGTTGCAGAAACTAGCAAGAAGAATACAAAATGCCCCGCAGTCAACAGACTAGAACTCCTTTTTGTTCTATAACCCAAGTTGTTTTGTTTTAGTATTATCAGCATGAGTCCTAAAGTTATATAGTCTGAAATGTTGATGATTGTTTGGAATATACCTCCCCGACTAAAGAACCTTCAATGTGTACATTATAATTTGCAGAGGCTTCTGTTGATGAAATTTATAAAATGGAAAACATAATTCAACAATGATTTGCATAATTAATGCTTTCTAGTCCTTTTCTCTGACTGAAATTATGATGAGATTCTGTTTAAGATCTGCTAGATCTTACAATTCCATTATATTTGTAGGTGTGTGCATGTGTGGGCACACACAAGTTATGAGAGATTAATTTTGGATCCTTTTTTAAAATGTTCTGGCTTCTACCTCCCTCAGTTACATAAGTGGAATTTCATGTGAATACTGAAAGCTAAATGGCAGCCTTTTAAGAATGCTGACCATCAAAGAGTTCTAAGGAGATAAGGGTGACTTGTTTTATTTTTTTGAAAAAGGAAAATGAAAAGGCTTGTTAGAAACATTGAATTTCTTTTTTTATTTTAACTACAACATAAACATAAAATACATACATCAAAATACAAATCAACTGTGTTCCCTACCACCATAGTCTTCCTCTTGCAGTAATCCTCTTCTTCCTCTATCTTTATTCTTCTTCCTTTATTGTCCTCTTCTCCAGAACTGCATTGATTCTTGATTTGCAGCTTTCCCTTTTTCTCTTGTTAGCACATATTCCAAAAATTTGCCCCATATATCATAAAATTATTCTTTTTCATCTCTCCTTACTTAACCCTTAGGTTACAAGTTAACTTATCATTTATAGCAATGTTCCATATTTCATTATACTATCTTCCATTCGAAATTCAGACTTTGATTTCCAATTCCTAACTATTATTAGTCTAGCTGCTTTTAATAAATTGGTAATCAGTTCTTTAGTCATCATATTCCACATTCTCAAATACTGATAACAGAGCAATCTCAGGATTAAATTCTATATCTTTTTCACATATGTAATTTTTAAAAAAGGCAAAGCTTGTTGCTTATATACCGTCCCATAGCGCTTCAAGCACTCTCTGGGCAGTTTACAAGTTAATTATGCAAGCTACACATCCCCCGCCCCCCGCGAGCTGGGTACTCATTTTACCAACATCGGAAGGATAGAAGGCTGAGTCAACCTTGGGCCAGCTACCTGGAATTGAACCCCGAGTCGTGAGCGCAGTTTTAGCTGTAGTACAGCAGTTTAACCACTGTGCCACGAGGCTCTTCTTTATTAGATTTAGTTCTTTAAAGATTAGTTTCCAGAATCTTTGCACTGTACTTTTTCACATTCCCACCACATATGAAAGTATGTACCAATTTCCTTCTCACATTTCCAACAGACATTCAGATAACTAACATTAATTTTATTCAATTTTGTTGGTGTTAAATACCATCTTAAACCCGCTTTGAAAATGTTTTCTCTTATTCTCACTGACATAAATCTCAGAACCCTCATGTTCCTCATCTTCCTACATTCTTCATCATTTATTCTTTTTCCTAAGTCTTGTTTCACACTAACTTCAATCCTTCTTTCTTAATCTCTTCTTCTAGATCAAGGAGGAATCTATAAATTTTACTCTCTGCACCCTTTACTGAATCAGTAATCTGAATATCTTCATATGATAATAGAAATTGTTCATACTTCATATATTCTCTACCTTTATTATACAGTACTTCTTTACCCATTCATTAGTCCAACATTGAATTTCTGAGGTAGTAAAAGCAGCAGGAGAAGAAGGAAAGTGAATGATTTCACAGGAGTAGTGCAAGCCTTGAGGCAAGTACTGACATGATGGAAAAAATAAGACAGGGAAAAAGGTTGGATGCATGTTCTGTTTTACATTCTGCATTGACATCCCATTTCTGAGTTTGGAAGGAAGAGACTGGGCATGCCCTGCTGGCAAAAGGCATCAGTATTCCTCATCAGCTCTTCCTTTATTCCCATCAGCTTCTCATACAGTGCTTATCTTCCTAAGGACATGTTACTGGAACAGTTCTAAGTAGGAACAGAGTATTGTTCTTAAGTTACTTGGTGACTGGTATATGCACAGGTTTAAGTTAAGGTTAGTGCTCATCAACTGTGTAACAATCCTAAAACTTTGCTGATTATCTTTTTTGTGCCTTTTATGATATTTTTGTTCTCAAATGTTGATGGAGCAGAAAACATGACCTTTTCTGTGTCTCTCTCAATAGTGATGACGGAAGAGTAAATTGTCATAGTGGTTTTGTAGCAATTATAACTTGTTAGGACAGTTGGTTCAGAGGCAAAATGAATGCACTGCATGCTGGAAGGGGGCACGAGGGTATAACCCAGACTGGGCCTAATGTGTGTATGTAGAACACATCCTGACGTTCCTTTTGTGGCTTTAGGATGTGAGCAGTCACGTTTTATTTTTCAAGCTGCTTCTTTGTGAATATATATCTAAGATAGTTGTCTGAAATTTAGGTTGAAAGTTTTAGAATTTTAACAAGCATCCATGGGTTGCATAAAGTGGTTGAAAATCAGTTGGAAACTGCTTAAGAGACTTGTTATCTATGTGAGTTGTGAGTTCTCTTGTTTTTGGAAACCCTTGATCTCTGTTCCCTCTAATTTTCATCCCTGCTGCACTGAAGCCTCACCCATCTGTGTGTGGGGGTGGGATGGGGTTTCACCCAGGCTGCCTCCACGCTGCACCAATGGAGCTCTGTGTGCACACGCAACTACATGCACCTTAGAGGGAGCATTGCTCTTGATTATTTTTGTTTTTTTAAAACTAATAAAATTATAGAGTAAAGAAAGTTATTTATCCATTGTATGGAAAACAGAACACTAAAGTGTTTGTTTGTTTGTTTGTTTGTTTGATTGATTGATTGATTGATTGATTGATTGCTTTTATACTTTTGTGGAATTTTTAAAAAATCTTATCCCTTGTGTGCTTGAAAGTAAGATGCAGTAAGGTTTCTACTCTAGATCATTTTTACCTGTAGGCCATAGGATTGTTGTAAGGATCTCATCATAGGCATCCTTCAGTCTCGAGAGACTATGGTAACATGCTCTGTATTGAGAAGTGTCCTCTCCAGAGCATGAAGCCCGGGTAAAGTAGTATGGAGGATAGGCTGTTACCCAAGCAGCAAATCCCCCCTCTCCACATTGGTGAAATGGTCCAATGGAAAGGCAAGTGCCAATACAACTGGTTCCAGCAATGTCGCAGGAGTTGGCAGAACGACACGAACTGCCTTCGGGACTCCAGCTCCGGATTTTGCCTCTAGGTTAACTCCTAAAGCCTTTTCCATGAGTGGATATAGCCACAAAGCAGAGGAAGTTTGAAGTCGGAGTTTTCCATCTCCTAGATGGGCTGCCTTCCATGGCTGACAAGCCCCACCTACCCGGCCTGCCCTAATAGTGCAGAAGTATGATCCGACCCTTAAAACGTTCCTGCCTCCCAGGTGTATGCAATGCTAATTGTCTTTCATATCTGTTCTTTATTTGTTACAACAAAAAGCCTTCAGAAACTGCAGCGCTGTATATAACTTTTTTTAGTATGTACCCATACTGTACATGTTAAAACGTGTTTCCCAAGCCCTAAACGGCTTGGGCCCTGGATACCTGAAGGACCGCCTCCTTCCATATGAGCCTACCCGGCAGTTAAGATCTAGCCAGGGGGCCCTTTTGAAAGAGCTGTCCCTCAAGGAGGTAAGAGGGACGGCTTGTAGACAAAGGGCCTTTTCGGCAGCTGCCCCCAGACTATGGAATGCCCTCCCGACTGAGATTCGTCTGGCGCCGACACTGATGACATTTCGGCGCCAGGTCAAAACCTTCCTGTTCCAGAAGGCTTTTAACTGAAATAATATTAGCTGTGGGTCCGATGGCAATTTTATATATATTTTAATTGTATTTTAATTGCTACATAACTTTATTGTATTTTAAATGCTGTAAGCCGCCCAGAGACCTTTGGGTAGTGTGGGCGGCATATAAATTAATTAAATAAATAAATAAGTCAAAATCTTTGTATAATTGAATACATTCCAGCAGGGTATCAGTCCTTGTGACTCTGTCCTCATGCCCATAATCCGTATGGGAAAACATGTTTCTCCCTCATATAATAGCCTTTGGTTATTTCCATAGAGGACCATTTGATTGCAATGAGGACAGCATCCTGTGTACGTATTCCTGGCCTTCATATAGTTAATGGTTACAAAAGTATCATTGAAATCTACCACATTCACTTTTTAGATACAATATTCAGGCTGTCCTGCTAATAGAGTAACTTTGTAATCAAATTGTAGCCTGTGACAGCTATTTTGGACATAGAGTTGTTTTCATTTTCCTAATATAACCCTCTGTTTCATTGCCATGAAGGAGAAAGTGTTAAGATAATGTTTTCCTTAAATATCTACAAACTTGGAATCATTTCTGCAAAACTAATGAAAGTTTCAGGAAAATTATAACTAGTTAAAACTCTGTGGTTGGAAATTATGGTTGGAATGGAAAGTCTTATCACCAGAATTGGCATTATGTTCCAGTTAAAAAGTGGGAAAGAAAAGACAATGCCAAACTCAGTTTTTGCTTTTAGTTATAAAATTGTGCCTTCATATATTTGCATTTTATGCAAATAATCTTTTTCTGATCTAAATAGAGTTAGATATGGCAAAGAAGGCTATGACTGGTACGTGCAATATGTATACATGCACCTTGGCAAGTCTGTTACTGCACTATGCATATAGAGAAGTCACTGTTGAACACAGAACTCTCTATTTTAAGAATCTATGTCTTCATTTGGGGATTGTAATGCTGAAGGATGTGAAGGTAGACTAGAAAATGACAGGATTTAAGAAATAAAGTGTACATACACATAGAATAAACACAGGACTGTCTGACATGGATTTAGAACAACCTTTCCAGTCCTTCTAAACCTAAAGATCTAAAGCAACAGCCATAAACATAGAAATAGCACAGTTTGTGCTATTTTTGTTGAAGTGCTCTTGTGTTAAGGCATCATCTTCCACAAATGTGTTTAATCTGTGCAAAAAGAAATACCTTGTGTCATGTTGAGGGCTCCACAAAATGTTTCATTCTCTTATAGGGTGAGGAGAACAACCTTGCAGTTCCTCAAATTTATGTATGAGGATTTTCATCCCGATATAGGATGCGTAGTCTGAAGCTGAGTAAAACAATTACAGGTAGGATGATTTTTTGCCCATTCTCCTTATAATGTTTAGAAGAATATGGCTCACTCCCTGTTCTTAATTGCATTCTGTGAAGGTTCAGCTTTGGGGGGGGGGGAGCAGTCACAGTCAATAAAGCAGGAGATTTGTTTAACGGTTCAACTTTGTCTTCGTTTATTAACAAGTCAACATTAACTGGAACTTCTATTGGAACAGTTTCTAAATTCTCCTGTGGTCTAAAGTTCGACCGTAAAGGAGTCCAAACATTACTAACAAATGGGTTGGTTTTGTCCATTGCCCGTGGCCCAGATAACACCTTCTCTGGCACCGGTTCTCCGCCGTCTTCCATCTCCAGTTTTAATAGTGGAAGGGTCTCCTCATCCCCACTCCAACCCCAGAGTGGGGAGCCCTCTGCCGGGCTTGCCAACCCTGGTCCGGGTAGACCCCCATCTTCTGGAGCTCTGCGGGATGCCATGCCTTTTTCGCCTCCAGCTCTCTCGCCACGGCTTCTCTCTCTTCTTTCAGGCGGTGCCGCCACTCCTTGGCTTCGGTCTCCCCCCAGTAAGACGGCCGGGGCTGTTGTCCCTGACGCCTTCTTCTTTCTGCCTCCTCATGGGGAACCTTCACTTGTTCCCATTTTCCTGTTCATGGGTCTTGGACCCATACTATCTCCCACCCCCCCGGGATCTCGTCCCGCTTCCCCTGTATATCCCCCGCTCCCGCCTCTATTTCCCCTTCCCCTTTTCCCACCAAATCTCTCCCGGTCTTCTCTGGCACTTTTAACTCTCTCATTGCCTGTACCAGGTCACTGGTATCCACCCCTTTGTGTTTCCGCCCCTCTTCTCCTGTTATCTCCTCCAGTTCCTTGGTATCCACCTGCTTGCTCTCTTTCCTAGGTGGAGAAGGTGGAGGGGAAGTCTGAGTCGCCTGCGCCCAGGCTGGGAGCGACGGCACTACTACGTAAGCTTCCTGGCTCTGGCTTGGGGTCTTACACATTCCTTTTATCAGAATATGCCATCCATTTTAGGAATTCTACCTTCTTCTCGGGCGCTGGGTTTGATAATGTTTTTTTCTTCTGTGCTAATGAATGTCCATTCTGGATTTTTATCTGAAGAGTAGACTAACCTGTGTCATGAAAATGTTGCATGCCCATTATAAGCAGAATTAATTATGTCAGAAAAAAAAATCACGTTTTAATCAAATGATATTTGGTTTCATTTTTTGAGTACAAACTTTTTGTACACCTGCAACAGCCAGTTCAGGATTGTACAAATGCAAGTATGATGAGTATTCTGTCTGCTGAATAATAATAAGTGAAATGCTGTATGTTGGATGCCAATAGGAAAGTTAATTGGAGTGAATTTCCAAAAGAAGAGCAGAGGACTGCAATGACTAACTGGAAACCCATAAGGTCTAAGTCCTCTTAGTCACAAAGGCATTTAGCAGCTTTTGGCATAGATCTAAAAAGCTACTTTATATTAATTTAAGGTTTTATTTATTTATTTAATTTATTTATTTAATTTATATGCCGCCAACTCTACCCAGAGGTCTCTGGGCGGCTTACAATAATTAAAATTCAATACAATAAAATGATTAAAATACAATTAAAATACAATTAAAATTGCCGTCATCAGGACCCATAGTTGTTATTTCAATTAAAAGCCTTCTGGAACAGGAAGGTTTTGACCTGGCACCGAAATGTCATCAATGTCGGCGCCAGACAAATTTCGGTTGGGAGGGCATTCCATAGTCTGGGGGCAGCTGCATATATCTAGTGGGTTTTTTCTTTTTGAATGGCAGATTCCCATCACAAATCAGTTGTGTAACTTCTGTTAGTGTGGGATTGCAGCTAAAATTGTTTTTGTGTATCCATGCTTGTATCCATTGTTTATAAGTGACTTTGATTTTAGTTTTGTCATAATATTATGGACTACATAGGCATCCTTCAGTCTCGAGAGACTATGGTAACATGTTCTGAATCGAGGAGTGTCCTCTCCAGAGCATGAAGCCCGGGTAAGGTAATATGGAGGATAGGCTGTTACCCAAGCAGCAGATCCCCCCTCTCCACATTGCTGAAATGGTCCAATGGAAAGGCAAGAGCCAATACAACTGGTTCCAGCAATGTCGCAGGAGTTGGCAGAACGACACGAGCTGCCTTCGGGACTCCTGTCTAAATAAATAAGGCAGTGACCAGAACCCTATTACTTATGCCCCAATGTGTAAATGCAACTACTAGTGCATTGGGATTTGCACTGGTGGAAAACATAGTTGGTGATAAGGCAAGTCAAGATTAGTTTTGTCTCAGGAATGGAGAACAAAAACTGAAATTAACTTTCCATCTCTGCTTATTTGTAACAAAATATTAGTAGTTGTTCCCTTGACCGTGACTATGGAGGCATTATTAGAGGCATACTAAATAAGAATGGTTTTCTTTCTGTTTCAACCAGGATTTTTGAAAATAAGCTAATGTGATCTGTTAGTATAGTTGTTTTTCAGTGATGAAATTGGCTGTTATTTTAATCTCTTGTATAAAGACAATATGGCCTACATCTCTTGTCTTTCTGTTACATTTTTTGCATCAAAATGTCAGTTTGTTTTCATTATTATTAGCAAAAATGTTTGAAACATTGAAATTAAGGAACAGAAATTTCATTTCAGAAAGGAAATTTAGAATGAAGAACCTGAAGGGAGTGAAAAGAATAGTATTTTTGTGAGCACATGCAGTTCCTTTCTGACTCCTATTATTAAAATCATTTTTATAACTGGATTCTCAGTTCAGCTTGGTGGGTCTTCTTTAAACACCACATTCAGTGAAACCAGGAGTATTATTAACTCAAAAGCAAATGGTGATGTTACGTTCACTTAGCAGGATGATTACTTGGTATAGAAAACAAAAGAAACTATGATCTGGAGGAGAAAAATGAGCCAGCAGGGAATTCAGTTGATACTTAGAAATAAGGTGGAAGCTGGGCCAAATTCATGAAGTTAGACTAGTGCAGTGATGGTGAACCTTTTTCAGCCCGACTGCCCAAACTGGAACACAAAATCAACTTATTTATTTCAAAGTGCCAATACTGCAATTAAAACCTGAATGCTGAGGTTTTAGTTTAGAAAAAACAACTGCTCCTGCACTGCAAGGGTTAAATGCTTGGTGTCCCCCCCCCTATGAGCGGTATTAACAAATAAATACTTGCAGGTCCTCCAGTCCCCCATTGGGCTAGACTGGTAATGGTCGCCATTGCACCCCTCCGCTGGACCACTGCACCAGCAGAGGGGAGTGCCGAAATCTGGGATCAGAAGATGAGGAAGTATTTCTCTATGGCGACATGGCTCGTGTGCCCACACAGATGGCTCTGTGTGCCAGCTGTGACATGCGTGCCATAGGTTCGCCATCTCTGGACTAGTGTTTGAAATCAGATACAGAAGTGTGTCTTAGTAAAGAAATGGGCAGTGTTTCAAGATACAGTGTGTTTGTTGTCCCATCACATTGCATCTGGATTATGGGGACCCTAACAGAGTCTTCAGGTTGGCTGGATAGCTCAGTGAGTTGGTCATCTAACTGCAGAGCCAGAGGTGGGAGTTCAGTTCCCGCTGTGCATCCCAAAAGAACCACCCTGTGCAGCCTTGGGCAAGCTGCATGATCCCAGGATTCCCTAGAAGAAGGGAATAGTAAACTACTTCTGAGTACAGTGGTGCCTCGCTAGACAGTTACCCCGCATGGCAGTTTTTTCACTAGATATTGACTTTTTGCGATCGCTATAGCGATTCACAAAACAGTGATTCCTATGGGGGAATTTTGCTGGACAATGTTTGGTCCCTGCTTCGCAAACCAATTTTTGCTAGACAATGATTTTGACAGCTCCCTCTGTGCTCGCAAAACGGGTGTTTTCGGGACCTAAGCTTCGCAAGACAGCTATTTAAACAGCTGATTGTCTGTTTGCAAAGTGGCTTTCCTATAGCCGATCTTAGCTAGACGACAATTCTTCCCCATTGGAACGTATTAAACAGGTTTCAATGCATTCCAATGGGGAAATGCTTTTCGCTAGACAATGATTTCACTAAACAGTGCTTTCAGTGGAACGGATTATCATTGTCTAGCGAGGCACCACTGTACTTTGTACCTTGAAAACCCTGAAAAGAGTCACTGTTAAGTCAGAATTAACTTGATGGCACACAATAATTATTGTTTAGATTCTTAATGATAAACATTTGTTCCCTGTTTAGTGTGTACACATGCAAGGTTGGCATGAGCTACAAGATTGAATTAGTATAGCAAATGTGAAGAAATAAAGTTGCACAAAGCAGTCTGACCTATCTACTGTGTTTCCACTGTACAGAAGAGGTTTAGCAAAACTTTTGTCCATATGTTGGCTCTGTGGAATTAACTCAAGCAGAACTGTTGTTGCCAGCTTAGTCTTTACTGTATTCAAATAAGGACCCTGTTAAACATTAGTAGTTGATCTGTGCCCCAAATATTTCAAGTAATTAATTTGAAAATGTTTGAACTTTTAACTTCATTTAATGCCTTAGAATCTAGATTTTCTACTGAGCAGTGTATTAGAATGCAGTTCACTTGCCAGGATATTTATACAATTCTTTCTCTGTAGCTGTCACTATTTGTGCTAAATGCTTAGGACCATAGAATAGTCTGAAAGGAGAGGGCGGTTTTTTAATTGTTGGAACTAGCAGCCAGATTGTGGGCTTACAAAAATAGGCTAACTGATTGACTGCAGGCCCTCTATCTTAACTGTGTTCTGAAGCAGATTTGCAAATTGTGGCCAAGTGGAAACATGGTTGCCATTAACCATTGTCGCCTGAAGTAGCTACAGTGACAGATTATTAAATCAATGGCAGAGAGGGACAGTTACCAGAAACTATTAAGGGATAATTTGTTTTACTTCATGAAACTGGCTGCTTTTAAACAAACTACAGTGGTGCCTCGCAAGACGATTGCCTCAGGGGACGAAAAACCCACAAGACGATTGGTTTTACTGATCCGTATGGTGCCTTGCAATATGGTTTTTTCTATGACCATGCTTCACAAGATTTTTTTTTCTCGAGATCGATGCTTTGCAAGACAAATAAATGTCATTGATCTTGCAAGGTTCCCTACGGGAACCTCACAAGACGATTTTTTTTGGCAAGACAATGATTTTGATGGAATGAATTAAAATCGTCTTGCAAGGCACCACTGTAAATGTTGGGAGCATTAGGCCTGAACCTGTAAAAATTGAGACTTCTTGTAGAGAGCTCACCAGCAGCTAAGAATGTTACTTTGTGTGGGGCAGATTTCCTTAGGTTTGCTATATGGTTAATATTCATCAGAAAAGCTGTTAATGAGTCACTTAAAATAATCTCAGTATCCAGTGATGACCCTTAGTGTTGTTTTAACAGAAAGTTGGTAAAGCAAGGTACTGACCAGCTGATGTATGTGTTGACAGTTTAGTTTAGGATGAAGTATTTTCTCATTCTTGCATTCAGTCATTACAATAAAGAATAAATGTGGTAAAAGCAGCTTTTAGAAGATAGTGGCTAGGAGTATTTCATAATTGGAAATCTCACCCTTTCCCACTCTGTTTTCTTTCAGGGGATTGAAAATGTGCCAACAACAATGCTAGGATTACAATGGGAAGTGTCACACTTCGCTATTTCTGCTATGGCTGTCTGTTCACATCTGTGACCTGGACGCTTCTGCTTTTTATTTATTTCAATTTCAGTGAAGAGACTCAGTCTTTCAAGAATGTGCCCATCAAGGGGCTTGAACCTCAGAAGCCATTTCCAAAAAGAATTTATCCTCGGTTTGTTCATGGAGCAGTACATGCGCTAGAACCTCAACGCAGGTATGGCAAGAATCCATTGGAAAATGAGATACAAGATCCTGTTAAAGATGACTCTGAGCTTTCTCCTGAAATGGGTATGTTTGATTGCTAACAGACTAAATTATCACTGACCACTTTATATGAGTTAACTCTATGTTAGTAGTCTGGTTACAGATAGTGGGAGAAATTTGGGAACCTCTTATTAAAAATCACTAAGTTCCAGACATTTATTTAAGAATTGCCAATATATATTGCTAATGAAAAATGAAGTACCGTATTTGCCGGTGTATAAGGTGACTGGGCGTATAAGACGACCCCCCCCAACATTTCCACTCAAAATGTAGAGTTTGTTATATACTTGCTGTATAAGACTACCCCCTCTTCCGCATGCGTGATTCTGGTTCCTTTTGCTGGGAGAGAGCGAGGGTTTCCTGGAAGGACAGCATCAGCGCCGAACAGCAGACTGTGGGCAAGCAGCAGAGAGGTGGCAGCCATTTTGGAGAGGCAGCAGTCATTTTGAGAGGCAGCAGCCATATGGTCGCATCTCAAAATGGCTGCCTCCTCTCTGCTGTTCCCGACAGTCAGCGGTTCAGCGCTAGAGTCAGGCTGTTCCCAGGCTAGGAGCGGGGCTCTACTCGGTCTTACTACCAGGTAAGTGACTTCGCTGGGAGAGAGGGAGGGTTTGCGGGACGTGCACCCGGCATACAAGACGACCCCCCCCCCCTTGGAGGCATGTTTTTCAGGGCCAAAAAGTCATCCTGTACGCCGGCAAATACGGTACTTGAATTTAATATGTTAGTCAAATAAAAATGATAGAATTGGACAAAGCTGTTTTCTTGGCTCTTAGAGATGTGCAGGGGCTATTGTCTTGTCGTGGCGTAGAGTATGCAGAGGCTGTTTGTCAACTACAGTATTTGGTCAGATGTTACTGTTTTGTTTTGTATGAAAAACAGACAACATAGGAATATTACTTTTTGCTGTATAAGTTTCATTTCAAGGACCTGGATCTGCTAGTTGGCTTGAAATAGAGTGTCAGAACCCACTTGACATTATGTGGGGCAGAGGAAGGTACTGCGTAGCTTGCAGGGATTGGTGGTTGAACAAACTTGATCACCTTCCATCATATCCAGCTGTATCTTTGGGACCACTTTTTATTTATCAAGACTCTAGGCAGTGTACTATAGAAAACACTGGTGTGCCCTTCTTCACTTATTTCTTGCTCTTCTGCTTTCTTGATTTTCTGCCATGGAAAAGAGCAATATTCCAGCTTTCCCTTGTGTGTCTCTGTGGTTGAAAAAGAAAACTGCAGGAGTGCCACAAAACTGTGTTCCAAAAGCTATCAGTCATAAAGAACTAAACCACTTTAGCATTGGCAGTGAAGAAATTGAAATAGGGATTTTGTGTATCTTGCTTCAGTCGTTAATCCAAATGGAGACTGCAGCAAAAAACCAGAATGCTGAGACTTAGAAGGGCAGTAGTGAACGAATTAGAAAAGATCATCAAGGATGTGTCACTGGAGACCCAACACCAAGATCATCCAAGCTCTTGTCTTCCTGATTTCCATGTATGAGTTTGAAAGCTGGATAGTAAAGAAAGCTGACAGGGAAAAATTAATTTGTTTGGAATGTGGTGCTAGAGGAACCTGCCCTCAAGGAAAGACCCATTTATTATTGCTGTGGCCCATTCTGTTGTTTTCGGCCTGGCTGCTTTGATTAGCCAGGCCGGGCAAGGGTCCAGGGAGGAGGTGGTGGCTCGACAGTGATCAAGCACCTTGGCCACAGAGTCAGGCGTTACCGGCTGAAAGGAGTCAAAAGTTACCGGGCAAGACGGAGCGCTGGACATCTCAGCTCGACTCCCTGCATTCAAAGAGAGCTCCCGGCGGATGGCCTCCACTTTAGATTTAAAAAATGCTGCAAATTGGTCCAGTGAGAGACTAGGGGGAGGCCCGTCTCCCGGAGCAATTCCGGATAGGTCGTGCACTATACGGAAAAGCTCCGCCTGCTGGTATAGTTGCTAAACTTATCCGGTTAGCAAAGAATGATCGACATGCAGCCTTTACCTTATTCAAGTAAAGGTTAGTTGCGACCTTAACAGCTATCCAATTATGATCTGTCGGATTCTTCCTCCATCTACGCTCTAGCCTTCTCCTTATTCGCTTCATCGCTCAAAGCTCCTGGTTAAACCAAGGCGCCGGACGAATTCTGCGCCAGAGAGGGCGTTTGGGCACGATCGTGTCTATGGCCCTGGTGGCAGGGGTGGACCAGCTGTCAACCAGGATGTTGACAGGAGCACTAACCAGGTCAGCCGTAATCCCTCTCATGGAATCCTGGAATCCAACCGGATCCAGTAGCCTTTGAGGGCGGACCATAGAAATAGGTCCCTGCTCCCTGCGAGGGGGGAGAGCCACTGTGAGGTTACATTTTATCAGGTGGTGATCTGACCATGACAAGGGGACTAACACAAGGTCCGTCACCATCAGACCACTCTTGCCGCAGTTGGAGGAAAAAGACAGGTCTAGCATGTGACCACCCACGTGGGTGGGGCCGTTGACATGCTGGGACATGTTCAAGGAAGCCATGGTTTCCAGGAACTCAAAAGCTGGCCCAGAAACCTCTGCCCCCGCATGCACGTTGATATCCCCCAAGACGAGAAGCCTCGGGGATCCCAACAGTGCCGCGGAGACAAAGTCGGCCAGCTCCAGAAGGGAAGTGGCTGGGTTGCAGGGAGCACGGGAACACAGCAAAATCCCAATACCATCCCTGGCCCCAATTGACACGTGGAGTGCCTCTAGACCCGGCTTTACCACCGGGGAGCGCCTGGTAACCTCCAAGCTGAATTTATAGACAATGGCTACTCTTCTTGTATCAGAACAAGAAGAAGCAGTGATCACTACTTGTTAATCCTTCCCCATACAGTACTTGGAAATGAGAGCTGTTAATTGTCAGTGTTTGTTCTGTAGTAACTGAATTAATTTTTCATGTTCTTCATTTCAGGTATGATTTTTAATGAACAAGACCAGGAAGTGAGAGATTTGGGCTATCAGAAGCATGCTTTCAATATGCTTATCAGTAACCGGTTGGGATATCATAGAGATGTGCCAGACACAAGGAATGCGAAGTATGTTTTTGCATTTTCTCCAGAAACTGAATGGTTCTTTCAAAACTTCTGTGATGTTAAGATGGCAGGTAGAAGAAGGTTGGAGGAAGAGACTAGGTTCAGAATTCCCTGGGTGGAACATAGCATAACAAAACTATATTTTTCGAGAGGAGATGCTGTCCAGGAATTATCTGGCTGTTTAGCTGTACTGTTTTGTCATTCAGGAGGTGAATTTAGTTCTTTTTCCTTGCAGGAAGTGAGATTTGTGGAGAGAGATTTAAGGTCCTCTCCTTCTGTCTCTGTCTCTGTGTATGCGTGTGTAAATACCTTAGCCCTGCAGAAGGGAAAGAAGAATATTGGGACTGCTGAATATTTTATACTCCTCCTTCTGCATGTGTGTAAGTGTGTGGGAGAGCTAGATTCTCAAGCAGGGGCTTTCTGGGCGATCTTGTTTCTTTTGTTTAAGATCTCTCAGAACTCCAGACAGCCTACCTTAGAGGAGATCTAATATGCATAGCTGTACACCAGCATGTTACTTTCCCAGGAAAGTAACAGCGCCATTTTGTATCAGGAAATGAAAACTCTTTTTTTTGTCAAGCAGCAGTCCCTTTGCTTCTAGTGCTTTGTTTTTCCTACTAAGGTAGTACAGTAGCTCTTCATCCTTTCCTGACAATTTTGCTGCCCACTTGTCCCCCTACCCTTTGGAACTTGACATTTAGAAAATTGTCTCCTTCATAGGTCATGCCCGGTTTGTTTTTTCAGTCATTCTAGGTAAAAAGAATGTCAGAAACGAATGTCAGAAACGAATGCTGAACGGTGAGTTTTAAGCCCGTAGGAACACATTAATCGCGTTTTAATGCCTTTCTATGGGCTTTTTAATTTCGCATTGCGAAGTTTTCATTCAACAGCGATTTCGCTGGAACGAATTAACGTCGCAATGCGAGGCACCACTGTATATTGTAAAGGCTGCTATAGTTGGTTTCTGTCAACTTTTAAAAAGAGGGGAGATTGAGATAAGCCCCTTGTACCTTCTAGTGGCCATTTAAAAAAACCTGAGCGTTTTTTTAAAACCTACTTTCCAATACTAATGTCAAGCCTTCCCTTGTTGAGTAGGTTTGATTTAAATTAATTTGATTTGGAATAATCATTGATTCTTATCCATCATGCTTCTTAAGTGACTATTTAGGTAATGATCGATTTTAATCACCACAGGAATAAATGTATCTTATTTAATCATGTTAACTCATTTCCTATCTTTTTCTTTTTGCTGCCAACCCTTAGCTGCACCTATTTATCTGTGTATTTGCCTCTACTCAGGCCCTTGTAATACCCTCTACAGAAACAGTCTTTAGGTATTGAAGTTAGCACCACTCAGCTTGTATAGAACAAATACGTTTTTATTAAAATAACAGTGCTAAAAGAACTTTACATTCCTAGGCTTTAAATTCATTCTGCAAAGTCCTTTACTCTCTCTGTTACTGCTCCCCACTGCTCAGTCTCCTTCAAACTGCTCTCTGGTTTCTTTCAGACCCCACACTCCACAACCACCCTCTCCCCAATCTCTCAACAGCAGGGTGATTGTGTTAATGCCAGTGGTTGAATTATTATCGGTATGCTAAGAAAAATATTATAGTCTTTACCATTTTCTCTTCTGTTTCAGGTGTAAGGAAAAAAACTACCCTCATGATTTGCCCCATGCTAGCATAATAATTTGTTTCTATAATGAAGCATTTTCTGCCTTGCTTCGGACAGTACATAGTGTTCTAGACCGCACACCAGCACATCTTCTCCATGAAATTATCTTGGTGGATGACAACAGTGAATTAGGTGGGAGACTCCTTCCTATATTATATGTTTGCTTTGTAGCAGGCTGGTTTAGGGAGACTTGGAATTAGTGTAAGACAGAGCTTGTATTTAAATTCATTCAAATAATTGCTGTCCTTTACGAGTAAGCTGGAGCAATAATGAGCTGTTTTATAGATGAAGCTTTTGTGACAATGACAAAAGTAGCTGCTGGAAAAATAGTGGAATCCTGGAGTAGCAGAAAGGTTCACAAACATATTGTGGCATACGCTTTTGTAACATAGAGCCCTTTGGTACATTTTTGCAAATATGGCCTTGTGTTTAATACTAGCTCAATGATAATAACAGAGAAGGGCCATTGCATTATCGTGAGCCATCCAGGGGCATCTCCCTGAATGCCTTTGCAGGCAAAATTAGATAGTTTTTGTTCAAAAAGGCAATTCTTAGACCGTAAGAGTCATCTCTGTCACACTATTAAGTGTATTTGGTTAAGTTGAATTAAGGTTTTTTTTCTGACCCACGTTGGTGGTTTGTTGTTTTGTATATGATCTAAATTATTTCTATTCTTATTTTGGAGAAGCATTCTACCACTTGGATTAAGACAACCAAATCCTTCTATAATAAAAGACTGCCAGGGATATTACCATGCCAATTGATTTTATTTTGGCTTTATTTTGATAAAGTATTTAAAGCAGAACTTTCTTTGAACTTCATTGGAAATCAGTTACTATAAGTTGATTTCAGTTTATTTTGTGTTCTAGCTGATCTGAAAGAAGAACTGGCTGTTTACCTAACAAAAAATCTTCCAAGCAATGTAAAACTGGTTAGAAATGGGAGGCGAGAAGGGCTTATTCGTGGGAGAATGATTGGAGCTTCCCATGCTACAGGTAATTTATTTATTTATTTATTGGACTTATATAAACTCATTGTTTCTTATGTGTTTCAAGATTAAAATCTGTGATTTCTATACTGTAGTTAGTGGATCATGCATAATAACTTGTTTTTTCACTAGCCAACATTTTGATACTTTCCCATTGTCCTGTTGTTCTCTAGTATTAAGGAGCTCCATAGGCCTTAGCTTTTCTGTAGGTACAGTTTTGAGGCACAGGGTCACATCCTCCTATGAGTAACCTCATAAAGATTACATTCCTGTGATGTGTATGTGGGGCCAGAGATAAAAGAACATTCACTTGTGCATGTACAGGTGCATGTACACCTGCACACAGGTAGCAAAATAAAGATCCATCTAAAATCCAGCCTTCATTTCTCTGTACAGTGGTGCCTCGCATTACGACGTTAATTCGTTCCAGCGAAATCGCTGTAGAATGAAAACGTCATAAAGCGATTTTAAAAAGCCCATAGAAACGTATTAAAACCTGGTTAATGCGTTCCTATGGGCTGGAAACTCACTGTGCAGCGAAGATCCTCCATAGCGCGGCCATTTTCTCTGCCTGTGGAGCGAGGAATCCGTCCCAGAAAACAGCGAGCGGCCATTTTGTTTACCTGGCGGCCATTTTGAAAACATTGATCAGCTGTTAAAAAATCATCGCTTTGCGAGAATCGGTTCCCGAAGTAGGGAACCGATCATTGCAAAGCGAAATTCCCCCATAGGGAACATTGTTTTGCAATCGCTTTTGCGATCGCAAAAACATTGATGTCAAGGAATTTCGTCGTTAAACGGAGCATCTGTTTTGCGTGGCACCACTGTATCCTACACAGATGTGTGACTGAGATTTTCACCATTAGTTTCACAGCTTCTTCTGCAAATGGAATTGGACAGTTACCTGCCTTTAGAAAAAGAAAACTATAATTTCCTGAATGGTGCAGTATTTCTGTTTGTTAGGCTTCATGTAGCAAATTTCTTTATCATAGTGAATTTGCCTAAAACATATACCTCAACGTATGACCACAATCTGTTCCTGAAGATGGGCGTAACTTGAAATGGTTGTAAGTTGGAGCACCATTTCTCATAGGAATGCATTGGAACGCGATTAATCCGTTCTGGCTGGGGAAAAAAAATAAACACCTTAGGACCAAAATCCGTTCCAGAAGATGGACATAACTTGAAATGGTTGTAAGTTGAAGCACCATTTCTCATAGGAATGCATTGGAACGCGATTAATCCGTTCTGGCCGGGGGGAAAAAATAAACACTAAAACACGGCAAGCCCCATAGGAACACGTTGGGGCTGAAAAACCAACACCCCCCAAAAAAACAGCCAGCCCCAGCAGAATGCTACGAGGCTGGGGGGAAAAACACTCAAACCCCCCCACACACACACAGAGCCAGCCCCAGCGGAATGCCATGGGGCTGGAAAAAAAGGCAACCCCCCCACAGAGCCAGCCCAAATGCGGTGGGGCTGGGGAAAACACACACACCAAAACACAAAAAAATCACAGAACAGAAATAACCCCCCCCCCACGCAGCCTGCAATGCGGGTTTTCCCGATTGCGAAGATCGGGTATGTTCCCGTATAGCGATCCCGAAAAAGGGATCGCTATACGGAAACATCGCTATACGGTGCACTCGCTAAGCGAGGCACCACTGTAAATGTACTTATTCAGGAGCAGAAAGCAGCATTAAGCAGTCCGAAGCCCGTGTCCGATCACACTCACTAACCATTGGGGCGAAAGAGCTACAAAGTAGCAGCCTCTTCGCCTATCAACTGTTAGCAAATTTGAATTCCCTGCCTTTTCCCGGTTGCAACTTGAAGCTCTGGCTGCAAGTCGAAGCAAAATTTTGCGGCCGGACCTGGTCGCAACTCGAAATGGTTGTAAGTCAGGACGTTTGTAAGTCCAGTGTACAGTCATTGTAAATAAGCCTACAGGTTCTTGGTCTACAAGTTCTTCTATAATTAGCCTGCTTGGCGTAGCCAATGATTTATACACAAGTTAGCCCTATGGGTACTGACCCCTGCAGGAGGAGGACCTTCTGGCCAGGCAGTGAAAAAGGTGGAATGGGAGAGCGAGGCAACCAAAACTGATTTATAACCAAAGATTGATTTTTGTCTGCACACAATTCCTTGGTGTCTGTACTGTAGTTTAAATATAAGGCTAAATATAATTATATTTTAAAATAAAACTTCTGCTAGGAAAAACAAATTTCTTGTTTTGTTTAAATGTAGAACATTCAGGCATTGATAAATGTTCTGGTTTTCTGTGACCTCTGCTGTCTCTGCTAAGCTTCCATGCTTGATGTGCTTCACGCTTCCTTTTTTTAGGGAAGGTGCTTGTGTTTCTGGACAGCCATTGTGAGGTGAATGAGATGTGGCTGCAACCATTGCTGGCACCCATTAAAGAATCACGCAAAACAGTGGTTTGTCCTGTCATTGATATAATCAGCGCTGACACTCTTACCTACAGCTCTTCCCCAGTTGTCCGTGGAGGATTCAATTGGGGCCTGCACTTTAAATGGGATCTTGTTCCCGTGTCAGAACTGGAAGGCCCTGAAGGGCCCACTTCTCCCATCAGGTAAGATGTTTGCTTGTATCAGTTACAAAATGCCTTCAGAATGTAATACACATCATAGGCTAAAGAGTATCCCTATTTTATTTAAAACTGGGAAGAGAGAATTATGTGTGTCACTATGAAATCCTTGAATGACATCAGGCTAAAAATGCAATAAATGTGTAGCAAGAAAATAAGGCTGAACATTCATCTAATAACTTTTAAGCATTAAAGAAGAATGAAGAGAAAGCAAAAGCTAGTTGGTACAATAATGATCTTATAATAATCTTAGAATTGCAGAGCTGGAAGGGACCCCAAATCATTATCATAGAATATTTTCTTATTTGAGGAAAACTGATCAACATGTAATTAGAATTGAAGAGCTAAAGCCAGAATGCTAGTGGGTTTCATCTCTAACAAACATTTTAATGGACACCATTTTTCTTACATTAAACAAGGAAATTGGTTGTAAATTCTGTTCTTTCCCAATTCATATAACATTTATTGCCTGTCATAAAAACACTGGTTAAAGTTCTCCAGAGGCAAGATGATCCTAGTCCTTGAAGTCTTTTAGTGGAGTCAAGGATGGGAAAGTGTAGCCCTCCAAATATTGTTGGAGTGCCACTGCCATCAGCCCCCATCATCTGTTGGCTAGGGCTCTTAGGAATTGCAGTTCCAACAACATGCAAAGGGCCAACATTTCCCCCCTCCCTTCCATAGCAGATGTTCAGTAAATGAAAAAGAGAAAACAAATACACTGTTTAGAACACTTGCTAGAGAATCTGGCTAAAACCAGATCCTTCATTCATTTTCTTTCTTTATTTGTTTGGTCATATCAGTAAAGCAATCAATGTTTATTTATATACAGTGGTACCTCGCTAAACGACAAATCCGCATGACGATGACTTTTTGCGATCGCTATAGCGATTCGCAAAACAGTCATTCCTATGGGGGATTTTCGCTGGATGTCAATTAGGTCCGTGCTTTGCGAACCGTTTATTCGCAAGACCATTTTTTCAGCACCGCAAAATGGCTGCCCTGTGTTTTCCTGACCCATGCTTCACAGGGCAGCCATTTTTACAGCTGATCAGCGCTCGCAAAATGGCTTCCCTATGGGCGATCTTCGCTGGACGACAGTATTTTCCCCATTCGAACACATTAAACTGGGTTTCAATGCATTCCAATGGGGAAAGGGTTTTTGCATGACGACAATTTCGCTACACAGCAATTTTCCCGAGATGGATTATCGTCGTCATGCGGGGCACCACTGTATTATATATAATTATACTATATAGTGCGTGCATTTTTCCTTTAAAAAGGACCTAAGGTGGCTTACATCATTACAAACACAATATTAAAAGTTATAAACAGTAAATTATTCATATATTTAAAATAGAATTAAATAAAGATTGTATTCAAAATGTTAAGGAGAAAATGACTAAAACATATTTAAAAGCAACAAAAACGCAAATCATCGTGTTTTAAACCCCCAGTCCAGCACCCAATAATTAAAGGAAGCCTTGCCTGAAGAGAAAGGTCTCCTACTTGTGTAAGGGCAGGAAAGACAGGACTAGCCTGACACAGTTAATACTATTGGGACCTTAGGATCACACTCTTAAATGCCTCCTAAAATATAGGTCTATACTGATCTGGCAGTGAGCTTTCCTGGCAAATCACTCTAGAAAAGAAGTTCCAGAGTGATAGGTAACACTGCTGTAAAGCTGCTGCTCCATTTTTGTTGACCATAGCTTAAGGTCCTATTCAGAACCCCTGGATAAATGAGCATTTTGCTCTCTAAGACTTGTACAAGGGGCCATCTTTTTCTCTGAATGCTTTTCTGTTCCTCAATTTCACCTCCACTCCTCCGTAACCCGAGCTGGCCATAAATGGAGGATGTTCTGTAGGCTCTCAGGTGGCTCTGCAGATGACAGAATTGCTGGATGATGTTCCATCTGCCCTGGAGCCTTCATCTTCTGTTAGCCTTCATAAATATGTTGGAGGAGCTTTCCACTTCACTATTGTTAAAAAGGATCATGGGCCCATATGTTTAATGGTCCTAAAGCCTTCCCCCTGTTACTGGAGTTCCATACTGTACAGCCCTTGCTCTTGTGTGTCTCAAACCAGCTCATAAATCTCATGCACTCCCCACTGCTCTTTATTTTCACTTTTTCCTCTTATTAATGATTTTTTTTACAAAAATTGTTTTCTTATAGGTCACCTACTATGGCAGGTGGCTTATTTGCTATGGACAGAGAATATTTCAGTGAACTTGGACAATATGATAGTGGCATGGACATCTGGGGAGGAGAAAACCTGGAAATATCATTTCGGGTATGTATAATTTGTTCTCTTCTGACAGTCTTTTTTTTCTTGGCAAATGTTTCCTATGAAAACAGAAGTTTTTTGTTACTCTACCACTGTGTGCTAATTTTCTCTAGCTCTCCAGATCAGTATGAACTGTTCTGGCGTATTGCTGTTTTGGGTACAATATACTGCTTCATCTAAGAACTAGATAGGTAGAAAGATTACTGCAGAGGTAAAAGTCTGAATTTCTGAGACAGTTCCATGAAGGCACAAATTCTTTTACTATAATTGGTTCTGAAAAGAGCTTGTTTTAGCGACAGTATCTATTGTAATGTAGTAAATACTAGTTGGGTACCAGAACTGCTTTCTTCACTGTATACAAGGGCTTCTTAAGAATAGATGAAGTAATATTTAGGGAAATAAAAATGTAATTAGAAAACTATACAATTAAAAAAATTATTTGGGGACATTAAATCCTTTGTATTCTTGTTGCAAATAGATATTATTATGACATAAGTGGTCTAGTTAATTTGATATGTGGACCAGAAACAACTTGATTATGTACTTGGAGTGCCTGGATTTGGATTGCTTTAGGTCTCTGCAGATTCTGGCATCAACAGAATACAGTTGGAAAACAATTTCTGAACTAAAGATACAAGTTGCATCATTTGGTATATGTGTAATTACTGGTAGTGCAGGAAAACAGGCAAGCATTCATTATAGATCAAAAAGACTGGGACTGGATACTGACGCTGCGTAGATATTTCGAAGACCAGTCTCACCTCACCTCTTGATAATGTTATCTGACATAATAATTATTTATCCTGTGGGTTCACTTCATTCACCATTTCAAGGGGAGCTGCTTGCAGAATGGAACAATTTGAAGCAAAGAACATTGAACTGTGAAGATTATAATGTTCATAAAAGGGATCATTCAGAAAGATGGGTTCTACAAAATTTAATCCTTTCTAGCCACATGAATGGATTGGTGTTCTTTAGAAATTATGCTTATATTTTGGATAGTGATTAAGTAAACATGCGTTTTACTTATCCCCTCTTTTTTTTCCTGAGCAGATCTGGATGTGTGGGGGCAAGCTTTTCATCATCCCATGCTCTAGAGTAGGACACATCTTCCGTAAAAGGCGTCCTTATGGCTCACCAGGCGGACAGGACACCATGGCACATAACTCTCTGCGGCTAGCACATGTGTGGATGGATGAATATAAGGTAAGATTACCATCATTATAACAGTAATTACTGAAAAATGAAATACAGATCATGAAACATTCTCAAGTTACACTGAAAGAAACCTAATGGGATTCTGTGCTGTGATGTGGCTATGTAGGAGGAACTAAAGCTTCTGTTTGAATAACTTTGTTGCTACAATGGTTTATGTAATCTGAGGGCAGAATTACATGATATGGGAGTGATTGTCTTCCTACCGCAACCAAGCAGGCCCACGTGTCCCATTAAGATGGTGAAGGATACACTTTAAAATAGTTGAAAAAGAAATATAGTTTAATATAAGAAGCAACAGAGTGAAAATTGCATTTGGTTGAATGAAGAACTGAGTTTTGGGGTTAGCTTGTTTATGGGAGAAATGAGATTGAGTGGTGAAGGTGCTGCAGGCCGCCTGGCACTGCGATAGTCATAAGCTGTATGTGTTTGAGGTCTTATCCTAGGCTCTGAGAAAAGGAGGTGCCATGGTTAAACCTCACATAGGTCATGTATGTGCAAGTGAATCAAGAACTGGGGTGCATGCCCTACAACCTTTGAGGTTGTCTCAAATTGTCCACTGCCTCCAAAGAGAGGGGATTCTTCCTCATTTCACAACATTTTATCCAGCCCGGTATTTTATTTTGGCATAGGATGTTGTCAGTAGAATCAATTGCACATCAGTAGTAGCAGAAAACATATAACAGGTGGATGCCCTGGACATTAAGCATTAAACTCCTCTAGAGCTGACAGCCACTGTTCTTGGAGAGTGTTTAATGTGGGGGCCAGGAGCTGTTGATCATGGCATCCTCACCCCATTTATAGCTGGTGCATTAAGAAATGAGGAAGGAGTTGTGGTGGACATCTCTGATTATGCATTTGAAGAACATTCTGAATAGAGATGAGATATTCATATTTGTCTCCAGGGGGGACGAATATAAATATTGGCAGCCCAGATGGATGGGCCAATTGAACTCTTGCTCCAGAACTGAGCTGTCCGCTTACCGCTCATGGCACGGTGTGTGCAGCCATCATCGTTCGTGGTGTGCTAATCACGGAAGTAGCCCTGCTGGGGCTTCCCCACCTCCCCATGCTACTGATCACAACTGTGAAGAGGTGGGATGCCAAGTCTCCCTACTCAGCTGCTGAGTTTGTCAGCAGCGCAGGGAGGCAGGGAAGCCCTGGCCGGGCTACCTGTGTGATTGGTGTGGCACAAATGATGATGGCCACACACAGTAAGTGGACAGCCCAGTTCTAGGAGGAGGGACCAATCAGCCCAGCCACCTGAGACGAATACAAATATCCCATCTCTAGTCCTGAATCTTTCACTCACAATTCTGGTTCTCTATCTATAAGATGGTATGGAATTGTAACTCCAGCCAGCCTCTATCTATAAGATGGTATGGAATTGTATCTCCAGCCAGAAATTGGTTGGAGCACACATTAAAAAAAGTCAAGCATTCTGGATCATGGAAAGCTTATTACACACTTAGAATTCTTCATTTGTTCCTGCCTTTCTCAGTAACTATAGGCATTGCCATTTTTCAATGACAGATAAAGATGAAAAAGCACACTTTGCTCTGAGTTAAATTTTGTGACATTGAATATTCTTTATCTTATGATAGTCTGAGTGTTCTCACAAATAATTTCTCTTGCCATTGTTTCAAAGTTCAACTTCTTTTTTACTGGACTACACCTGCCAATGTTCTTCATCCATTTGTCACCTCTAACAAAAGGCCAGGATGATGTCAGAACAAAATTTTCTTGCCCTCAGGCATCTTCATTGGCAGGAGTGGAATGGGGAAATCAAGAGTATTTTCAGCCACATGTTTTCAGAAATGTGCAGATGCCTCAGTAATTATTGATTGGAACTGAATTTCAAAGTGTAATTTGGCAGGCAAAAATTATTCTTGTTTAAAAATCTCAGAAATCAGTGCGCATTTTTCCTGAGCTGTGTATATTAATTCTCACATAAATATAAATTGCAACATGCTGAACCTAAAATCATTGTCTGATCTTTAATACTCCTCTACCACTCTCACCTTGCTGCAATGTAGGAACAATATTTTGCTCTACGACCAGAACTGAGGACAAGGAATTATGGAAACATAACTGAGCGTATTGAGTTGAGAAAAAAATTGAACTGCAAATCATTTAAGTGGTACTTGGACAATATATACCCAGAGATGCAGATTTCCGGGCCCAATGCCAAGGGGCAACCACCCGTCTTTTTCAACAAAGGGCAGAAACGACCAAAAACTCTGCAGCGTGGAAGGGTAAGGATGTAGCCTCAACTCTTCAGATTCTTAAATGTATGCTCTGAAGAACGTAGCTAGGAGAAGTGTGATAGCTGTGTTTGGCCAGAAAGAAACTACTATTACTACTTTACCTTTGAAATGATCCATTTTAATATAAGAGCTGCATTGAAAATTCATTATTTTCACAGCACATATTTGGACTCAAAATACTAAATTAGTAACTTCTGTGCAGCTAAACAGAATCTTGAGTTTTCTGAATGTATTTCAGCTTTGTAGGCCATCCTTGTCTTGTGTGTGACCAAATATTTTGTGAGACACTTCTCAAAGAATACATGTGGAAAATTTATATTGGAATATTTTGCTTTTTTCAGTCAAGCTCAGCAAGTTGGAACTAGCAGGAAACTACATAATTTTTCAGGATGGTATATTTAGAGAGTACATTTGCCATGATTCCTGTCAGTGGGTCCAGCATGTCAGAAATGGTTCTACAGTGAAAGAAGAGAAACAACCATGGATGCCAAAGACTGAAGACACTTTTGCAGACTAAAACATTTCTGTCTTGGTTATATAGGCTGTTGAACTAGAACATTTCTGGCTTTAGTCCTTTTCCCGAGATATGAGAAGAATGACCAGGATTCTCGATGGACTTTTACTGCTTTCTGTCACATTGTCCTCTTGGAGTTTAAGTGTGTATTTTTTTTTACCACCCATACAGTTGCATCACCTTCAGAGCAATAAATGTCTGGTTGCCCAAAGCAGCCCAAGTCAGAAAGGAGGACTTGTTGTGGTTAGAGAGTGTGACTACAGTGATCAAAATCAGGTAAGTAGCCCTAGACTAGCACTTTTTCCTTACTTGCTTATATCTCTCTGTCATTTTTTAAACAAATAAATATAAATAATCTCTTGATTTATTGACTGCTAATTCTGTCGTACTTGCTATTTACTTGGTAGTCTTAAGTGTGCATGACCAAACACAAAAGGTGGCTTTTCCAGAGCATCCTGCCACTATAGTGCTCTGGTCACTTATACTTTTAGATTCAAACACATGTGTTCAGATAATGTTTTATCAGTGATGGTCAGGTGGGAGCCTAAAAGTATTATAGAATGTACAGAAACACCCTGTCTTCCTAGTGTGAAAATCACTACTTGCCTTCTATCAAGGAAATGATTTCCCCATGTGATACATTTGACTTCATAGTAAGGGCTTTTGCAGCAGCACCTATATCTGGTTTTGAGAAATAAGAAATATTCCACAAAATTAATACAACTTCACGGTGAACATTTCTGTATGCAGTGGAATTTTCTGTTCTATACACGTCTCTTGTATAGAAAATACATACCATTTTCTCGTCTAAGTCAGGAGTGAAGTTTCTTTGCCCATCTGTGTATCATGGGTCTCCAGTTCCCATCAGGCCTAGCATAATATTCCATGGTGAAGAATGATGGGGACTGAAGTCCAGTGTCCTCAACTCCAGCAGGAGGTTAGAACTCCCTCACTCCTGCTGTGAGGGAAAACAACCGATAAAATTTGAAAACTGTTATGTAACATTAGATGCAAGATATGCCATAAAACCATAACATATATTTCTTTAGTTAAAACTGTTTCCGTCTTGGCAGATAATTAAACGGTGAGATTTTTCATTAGCGCACATACATAGCACTAATGTAATTGACCATCTTAAACGGTGAGATTTTTCATTAGCGCACATAGCACTAATGTAATTGACCATCTCTGTTCTTAGGTGTGGCTTTACAATGAAGACCATGAATTGATCCTAAACAACCTTCTGTGCTTGGATATGTCTGAAACTCGCACTTCTGATCCCCCACGTCTGATGAAATGCCATGGATCGGGAGGATCTCAGCAATGGGTGTTGGGGGTGAGTGGTGGCTAATGTGAGGTACAGTTCTGAGTATGAAAATGGGCTGTTCAGTAAAACTCCCACTTTCATGTTCCTTATAGAATGATGGGTTTGTTAATGTACTTTATGAGTGGGATTGAGTCCTTGTGGATTTTGGGGAGTCCGTATAGTCTTGGTGGGAGAGCTTCTGTCTTGCAGATTCGTTGAAGGACGTTGGGGTGCAGGGAGAAACTCCTGATCAGTATGTTTGTTTGGTGATTTTGTTGGTTGGGTCCCGTTTCAGTTTTCTGTAGGTGGTGGGGTTAGAAGTTCTCTGATTTTGTCCTTGTATTCTTCTGTTTCCATGATTACTGCGGTGTTGCCTTTGTCTGCTGGCAGGATGATGATGTCCGGGTCTGAGTTCAGAGACTTGATGGCATTTCTCTCCTTTCTTGTTATGTTGCTTTTGGGGATTTTTGCTTTCTGTAGGATCCTAGTCACTTCCTCTCTGCTTTTTCTTCTGGAAGATGATATAATGCTGATTCCACGTTGGCAATTATGTCTTCCACAGGAATTTGTCTGGGTGTGAGTGCAAAATTTCCTCCTTTGCTTAAGACTGAGGTTTCTTCTTGTAGTCTTTCAGAACAAAATCTTGAGCTTTTCCACCTCACCTGTTCTTGATACTTTTATCTCTGCAGAAAAACAATCGTCTCTATCAAGTGTCTGTTGGGCAGTGCATGAAGGTGGTTGACCCACTTAGCCTCAAAGGATATGTGACCATGGCAATTTGTGATGGCTCCCTCCCTCAGCAGTGGCGTTTGGAGAGCTGAGTAACCGTGAAGGCCCATTTCCTCCATCGCCCTTAGTGGGGCTGAACCCACAGGACCTGTAACACGAGCTGCTGTTTGTGAGACAGAGCGTGCAAGGGAAATCCAACTTAGAAAGCTGTTGATGGACCGTGGTATGCAGAAAGGACAGAAGCTGTGGCAGTCACGTTTTGGTTTCTCCGAATACGTAGAAGTGCAATTACATTCCTTGGAATTCTCTGCATCTGGAAACACTTCCCAAATTAATTAGAACATTGCAATAGAATGAAGAAATTTAACTAAGTGGATATTTTTCAGTTGCCAGAAGAATACTGTAGCCTGTTCTACCTTTATTTTTGTGGACAAGGGTACTACACTTTTTCATTTGGATGAATATCTGAATTATTGTAAGTATTCTGGAAAATATATATATATATATCCTGGCCATGGGCATATTTAATGTTAGTCCATTTGTTTTAACATACCGGTTCAAGTTTTATCACTGATTTTTGATCCAGTATTTAAGAGTAATTGCAGATTTGATTTTGGTAACGCTGGCCAGTATCCAGTGGGCGACGAATGGATATTTCCTTACGCAGCAAGATTTTGCTGTCTCCCTTGTTCCCCAGTTGTGCACTCCCATTTCCTCCAATCATCTCCTGCAGGTCAGGGAACCCTTAAAAAGGCCTAGGAATTTGCAAGTTGACTGCAGCAGACATGAATCATTGCTAGAATTGGGCAGGAGGCCTACCTTGTAAAAGTAGAAGTGCCTTTCTTTTCCCACAAGGCACCTTTGGTTGCTGCCTGTGAAATTAGCATTACATTTACAGTTTTTGTTAGTGTAGTCTGTTCTCAGTTGCGAAGAGTGCAGCAGAAACTGATGTATGCTACAGATGCTTAAAATGATTATGAAGATTAGTATGTGTGCTCATGTGTATAAATAAATGTGAGAAATTTGAATCTTTTGGACTGAAAGCATTCACTGAATGACATTCATTGTAAAATTAGTTTTGAATTTGTGTTACATGACCTATGTGAAGAAAGGATATCACAGCTGGGTGGTGCATGCATCTTTATTAACCAGTTGAAAGAAACTTTATCTTGGTAATAAAAACAGGTATTCCTTGTAGCTTTGGGAATCACCTATATGAAGAATTTTGCATTAGTTTTAATGTTAACTTTTTGCAGGTTGACAGCAATGATCAACATGCAACAGGCACACAGTATTGTTTCCTCTTTAGCAGCTTATTTCTCTAGTGTTACTCATTCTAATATTTAAACCTCCCAGCACACAGAATACTTTCAGCCCGTGTGGATAGGGTTCTGGCCTTTGCTGCTCTTGTCTCTGAAAAGTATCTGGTTGAAAACCCTTCCTGGGGGGAAGTTATGTGTGCATCAAATAAGCATCGTCAGTACTTTATTGCCAGTACTGTGTTCTCACAACATGTGTACGTGTTGTGCATGAGGATTATGAAGATGACGGGGGCTAGGAAGTGTAACTGTCTTGCTCTTTAATGAACAAAGCAGATTATCTGAGTGTGTTAAGGCAACAATCTAAAATGATAATGAAAAGGCAGAGGTCTAAACTATTATACAAAATGATCTGGGCAGGTTATGCTTTATTATTAATTTTTGACTTTCTAATAGGGCTACTTCAGTCATGGTATGGTAGGTCAGTGCTGTATGAAAATTATGATGTTGTGGAACACAATTCCTTCAAGAGAACGGATCGTCTTCTGTGGAAGTATATTGAAGATGTATTTACATCCCGATACAAAATAAGCTTCATTAAATGAAAATATAGTGTTATGGGCTGTCAAGTTGGAACCCACTTATAGAAACTTTGTAACAGAGCTTCCAAGGTAAGAGAGATATTTAAGGAGTGGTTTTACCAGTTCCATCCCCAGTGGGTTTCCAGGGCTGAACAAGGGATTTGAACCCAGGTCTCTTAAGTTCTAGTCTGTCACTCTATTATGCCACACTGGTTTATTGAAATGTCTGTAACCTGCAGTACCATCATCTTGCGTCCAAATACAAAATAAGCATCATGAAATGAAAATATAAAGGTAGTATTTATAGATGTAAAATATTTTATTTGTAAATGCTGATCTTCCAAATCCATTTCCACAAATTCCAAAGCCCATAACACTCTGTATACTTCAAAAATTCATTTTTGTCAACATTAGATAACTATTTTACAGAACAGAAAAAACCTGTAGGACAAATACTGGTAGGATGTTGGAGTATTGTACAAGAGAAGAAAAATATTCAAGAAACAAATTTCATACAGCTATTTATCAAGAGAAAAATATATACAGTTGATTTATTCTGTAAGATAAAAATACATCATGCCATATACATTACAAGTTCAGAACTGTATCACTGAATTATACCAACAGTTTTACAGTTCACTTTAGCTGTGCACACAAAAAACTTCATTTTTTTTAATATTTAGTCTGTGAAGTGTCAGTACCAGAATTTAAAGTACAAAATAAAAAAACTAGCCTGGTTCAAAAAGTTGATTAGGTTTCTACAAGCAAACACAACAGTGTTTTTTTTTAAAGAAATGTAAACAAAAACAATCCATACAAACACATCTTTAAATTACATTTTCCAAAACCCTATTGCCAGAGTTCTGCAGCTGAAAGCACAATTACATCTAATTTTTTCCTTGTTTTTACTTTTAAAGAAGGCAGCTATTGTATTAGAATTACGCTCTCACTACACATTTCTATTTTCACTACATGATTTTAGTGTACGCTGAACAGTTTGTGTAATCCTCACTATTTTTACTGGAAAAGAAAATCTTCAGCTTTCTAATTTGGATGGTTTTAGCAGTTATTCACAGTTATCACAAATCCTAAGCACAAAAACCTGATTTAAGAAATAGGGATGTAACAATATAATACAAATAAAATAAACCAGTCTGTCTAAATTTCCCCAGACATCCACAAAAGTCATAATTGTATTATATATGCTTTCTACCATTCTTAAGGGTTACTTAAAAAGTTATTAGTAAAGCACAACTGAGCCTGCTTTAAAGTTTAAAAAAATAAAGTAAAACCTCTCAAACTGAGATTTTGGTTATTCCATAGTAATGATAATGACATGTTTAATAATACATGAGATCATATTGTAACATCCCTATCAAAGTTTAATAATAAGCACCCGAACTGCTGCAGAGTCTGGTAGCATTTGGTCAATTACTATTTTTTTATACTGTACTTTCCCCCCCTCAAAATATTTACACTTTTGTACAAAGTAACAGGATTTGTTAGTTCTGCAGGTAACAGCAGCAGCTTGGCTTCTAACTTTTCTTTTAAAAATAGCTTCATTCACTTATTTCAATAATAAATACAAAAAGTTTCTCTTATTTTACAGAAATCAAAAACTACAATAAACTGACTCATGGAATCAAGTATTTTAAATGTATTTTAGTGCAAGTTATTTTTCCCTTAGCTCTATCCCTAAGGAAGTCATTTCAGTACATTCCTTGTTCAGTGGTGTCTACTTTTATTTAAACTTTTTTTTTCTGTATAGAGGGCCTGCCCCTTTAATAAGTAAGGCTGTGGCCAGCACTTTGGACGTCTCCCTTTCGCTGGTGATTTCAGTCTACATTCATTGATGCCCCCACTGCCCTTCAGCAGGTCAGCTATAGCTTCTCTGCCCAAGTTCAACAATTTCTCCTTCGTGAGTTCATAAAATCAAAAGTGCTGGACCGGTCTGGAGATTCATTTCACCTTTGTGCGCCCGGGAAGTTCGGCAACAGCTCCACGTTTTGCCAGCTTGCTTCACACTGGAGTAGAATTTGAAACTTACAGAAGTGATTGTTTTCACACACACCCAACCCCCACCCTGCAGATCAATAACCTCAAGATCACTTCTTCCTTGGGACGAGCAACCCTTGGAGACGGCAAGGAATGCATCTTAGTTCATCCATTTTCGGCAGTTTACAGCTCCACAGTGACATGGAATCTTGTGCTGGTCATCTTCAAAATCAAACTTATAGTCGTAACAGAGCTGAAAAGAAAGTATTTGTCAATTGGTTCTTACAAGCATAAAAGTGATCCCCTCTCAGAAATACAACACATGATTTAATCATGTATTGTCACATTACGTTGTTGATGCTGAATCACCCTTTTCTCATTCAAAACCAATACAGCAGTGAGTTAGAAATTCATCCGCATTGTGTTTAACCTGCGATCTTCTGTGTGTGCTCTACTAGAGAGCTACATCCCTTCAAGGAATTATTTTAATTGTGTAGTTCTCAAAGGCTTTCACAGCTGGGATCTGATGGTGGTTGTAGGTTTTTTGGGGTGTTAGGAAGAAAAACCTCCAGAACATGGCCAAACAGCCCGAAAAACCTACAACTATTTTAATTGTGTTTCAATCATTTTTTTAACACAACTCGGATATCCATATATGAACGAAATGGGCAGCGTAATCTCTGCATGAGAACTCGACAGCACAATTAAGCACATATTAATAGTTTCTGGTGAAATTATTCCAAGAAGTCATTTTCAGTGTGCTAGTTAGTTGTGTTCTAAGTATAAATAAGAGAAATGCAAATATTATGACATTAAGTTCAAAAGTAGGTTCTACTGAGTTCCTCCCAGGTAAAGAGGCAGGATTACAAGCCTAAATGACAAAAAAAGGCAATTGCTCCAGATTTCCAGCAGTCATTTTAATGGAGAAACCTATTACATATGGTGTTAATGCTAAGATATGCACTGAAATGCATACTATTGTTAATTTGATCAGTAAACAGCAAAAATAAATGGTTAAAAATGAAGTACCTGCATGAGCTATGAGACAGAAGGAAAGAAATGTATTCTGTAAATAAATATTTAAATAAAACTAGAAATTACATAAATCTTACCTCTTCTCCCTTCTGGATTCTCCTGCTTGAACTGATGATAATTTTATGTCCTCTTTCAAAGGTTACCACCTCAGCTACACAATTTGGTGCACAGGAATGGTTAATATACCTATATGAAAAAGAATAGGACAGATCAAAACAATTGAATGAAAGTTATATTGTAGTATGATTCAGTATATCAGCTAAGGGGAGATAAAAGTTCAGGAAAGTACTGTATTTCCTACAGCAGTAGTTCTGTAATGGAACAAATGGAAGGACACAGTAAGAACTGACCACCTTATAATTCAGTGACCATATGGAGACTGAATGGGGGCCATCTTACCAAATGACTGCCACCCACCTTGCAGGACCGCCTGTCAGTGTGGCATCAATGACATGATCATTGTCAATGCGAAACATATATACTCCGCGATTCTATGAGACAGGGAAGAAGAGAAAAGGCAGGCACATTTGTAAAATAAAAATAAAAAGGCAAAAGAGATCATATTCCTTTTATTATTTGTAAACCAGAACAATCTATTGGTTTACCAAAGTAAAGGCACTTTATGTGTTACAGATGCAAAGAATTCACATTAGTTTTTCTTATATTACATCCAAGCTGTTATCAGATTTAGATCCAAGTCACAGATCAGTACTCACATCTGTATCATTCAGTTCGCTCTACAGAAGATCCCATACTTTTTCCTGTGTCACATGAACATTTGATACAGTGGTCAAATTGCCATAAAGTAATACCTGAGATTCATAAAGCTTCTCCTTCCTGTTGGCTACCTCGTTGCGGATGATGGTTCCGATATATTCAATGACCATGGTGTGCTTTTCAATGTCTCTAGCAGCATATAAGCCCAGGCCCTAAAACACAAGTTGTTAAATTTCTTACATTCCATGTTGGGCTGCTAATGTTACTGCAGATAGCTTAAGAGTTAGGGTACTTTATGTAGCTTAGCCTAGCCCTGCCCCCATCTGTAACTTCCTTTGTGTGGAAAGTGTGCAGAGAAGCTCCCTTTCATACATAGGCTCGCTCTCCATAGGGAAAAGAACCCTGATTTCCCAGGGCTTATTGTGCTTGTTGGTTAAACCTGGCTTGTGATCAAACTGGGTTATTCATTGTAAATGAATTTAGAATTACAGCCTAAGCTAGCCAGAAAAAAAAGAGGCAACTAACGTGACTTTGCCAGTATATTTTTGACAAGTACTATAGTGGGTGGCATGGACTTTACACTGTTTTCAGACTGAAAGAGGCGGTGACAGAAACTGAAAGACTAAAATGCTTTGCTGTGTTGAGGTGTTTCACTGACCTGAATTCGTGACCGTGCCAAATAAACATTGGATTTCCATTCAGTCTTCATCTTTCGGTACTGAGAGGACTTCGAATGAACAAACTGTTTACTGTAAGGTGCGTTCAGTTCTCCTGTAACTGTGCTCTGAAATGACTTTGAAGTGCTGGTGCTATTCAGGGTATGAGGCCTGTAGCAAGAGGTCATGGAACAGAAGAGACATAGAAGAAGAACTGAAGATCTCTCTGAATTTTAATACATGGGGCGTTTAAAAGAACTGAAGGCAGACAGACATTCAAAGCCAGCTAGCATAGGCGACAAAGCAGCTTCCCTGGCCTAGACAGGCACGTACAGAGCCAACGACAACCGGGTTTGTAAGCAGCACACAGAAGCACAAGCGTCCTACGTAGCTTATAAACCCTGGGCTGTACTATGTGAATTTAAAAGAAAATACCTTAACACAAACCTCTTGACATGGCTGCTCATTTTCGGCTCTGAGCGGGCACAGCCTGTGGGGTTGATGGCGAGCGGGAGCTCCATGAGTGGGTTTCGGCCATAGCGGAAAGTGTAGCTCTCGCAGGCCTCCACCCCAGGAAGCTGTAAACACAAGAGTCACAGGTCAATAAGGGCAGCGGAAGACTCAAAGAAACGGGACCAGATTCAGCAGTGGGATGGAGAACACGACACATCAACCCTGTGAGTTCAATAAGGGCAGCGGAAGACTCAAAGAAATGGGACCAGATTCAGCAGTGGGACGGAGGACACGACACAACCCTGTGAGCATACAAAGCAAGTATTTTGGAAGATGGCGAATCTGTGCTCCCAAAGGCAGCAAAGAACATGAGCCACACAGGTTAGGTTCAGCACTACGTTTGCCACACTAGCTTGCAAAACCTGACCTTTTTTTCTTTTTTGGGTCCTTTGCCCATTCACACTCTTACTATTATTTTTAAAACATTTTCTGCTTTTACAGAGATGGGGATACTGACAATGTGCTGCACACTACTACTGCCTACCATAGATATTCTTGGCCTTCTCTGAAGGGAGCAAGATGGCCCTTAGAAAGACCATTACAGTACCCAAACTCTTCTTTCCTATTCCAACAAGCTCTTTGGAAATTGAACAGAGAAACTTTGCAAAAAGTTGTCCTTGATCTCTTCCATGGATTAAACTCCACGGCTTCAAGTACAGCACTAACATTTGTATGATGTGTAAGGTAGCCTCAGATCCATATGAAACAGAAACAGTCAAATGACCTGACTTCTTGTGCAGCTGCATGGCCACTCACCGATTCCGCTATCCTAGCCACTGCAGAGACAGTCAAGCCGAAAAGGTCTTCGCCTTTCAAATAGGCAGGGAAGAGTTGGAGCATTTCAGAAGTTTTTCTTACAGAAGCAACAGGCTCCAGGATTTTATCCCAAACATCTGTGAGGGGGGAGAATACAGTGGACAACAAAAGAAATGTAGGAGGAGAATGAATCCAACACACTGACCGCTGAGGTTATGACAGCATTGAGAAATCTCTGCTTTGGAGATACTATTAAGATTGCTCTAAAACAGCCATTTTCAACTTTTTTTTGGTCACAGCCATAAAGGCAGTATATAAGAAACATAGTCTGAATCAGGATTGAAGTTGCATAATGAACCTCATAATGTGATATGTGAAGAATTGTTTCCAGTCTGTGTGCCAGGGCCACCCGGGGGGCCACATGACACCCTCCCCCAAATTGAGAATGGCTGCTCAAAAAGACCCAGCCTGGATAGGAGTCAAGATAAATCTTTTACTACGGATATTCATTTTGTGTAGAAAGGTTATGTTCACTGTCACATACGATGAACATATATTTTCCTGTACATAGTAGAATGTTTTGTGGTGAGACAGTGATACTAACAATGTGCTACGCAGAAGTTATTTACATGTTTGAAGTTTTATCTTTTAAAAGTAGGCCTTACATATTACATGTGTGTAATATTCTTTGACTCTGAGCTAATTGCTTGAGGGGACAGAGATCTGAAATTAAAGCAATATTTCTATTGGGGTGACTGAGGATACACTAAATTTCTCTCCAGCGCAGCACTAAACAAGAACAGAATGCTGGAATACTGTGTGTAGAAAAATGTCGCATGCACGCATACACACACACACACACCTACCTCTCCACATACATACATTCTGGTTCTTAGGACTATAGCGAAGACAATCTTTTCCAGCACTGTGTGTTACCTTTCGGGGTTGAGTCAGTAAGGACCAGATCTTCATGGCCTTGCTCAATTATCCTGATGACAAAGAGGGGGAGGCCACCCTTCTCTTCAATGGAACACACATAGCGACACCTGCGGTTGGCATACCGCGTACTCCAATACAACCGGCTAGCCTCGTAACCCACAGGATAAAGGACCTTTGAGGTATGGAAAGCCTGCATCTGGTGTGGCAGCAGCTGGCCAATCGTGTGGAAGATGAGACTTCCCACCCGGAAGGTGTGCTCTCGGTCCCCCCGCTGGACGATGCTCGCAATCTGCCGAACCTCATCCCGTTGCACGTAGACCCGCCTGAAGACTGCAAAATAGCTGAGTTCTTGCTCATGAGCGCCCTTTGGTTTGTGCATTGGGCAAAGCATAGTTTTGTCTTTAAAAAACATGCATTGTGCTTTAATGGCACAGGTAAAGTGATAAATATTGGTGCACCTTAACCTGTGACAGCCGCTGGTAGCACCCATTTTGTGACAGAATGTGCATTTCATTTGCAATCCCCTCCGCAGAGCTAATTCCACATTTATTAAGGCACCAGCTTGTGTCTCGTAGACTTCAGTAGACCAAAGAGCACAGTTCAAATGCACCCAAAGGTCTAAGTCAAGGTTAAGAAGTCTGGCTGGTCCATCGGTTAGTCCGTCACCCTCTTCATGACAGAAGCAACATTTTCGATAATCCTTAGGCACAGGATCAGGTTTAATGGTTGTGCCCATTTTCTTGAGGAACTCATCTATCTCCTCATCACATGGAGGTCTGAATGTTCCTTTAGGAATCACAATCTGTATGTTCCATTTTTTCCACTTCATTCCTTTCCATTTCTTACTGACTACTCGACAGTCATCGAGGCCATTGGGTATTGTCCTCAGACGGGGTTTAAGTTTCACCGTTACCTTCAGGTCGTCCGGTTTGGGTTCCACTCTGGCTGCTTCAAAAGCAGGAGGGAATATGATAGGGGGTGATGAAGGTGGAGAAAACTTTTCCTGTACCTGAGGAAGGCAGTGTACATCTAACGTAGAGATGTTGTTGTTATACTGATGGAAAACCTTTGGGGTTGCCTCTTTCACTGGAAACTGGGTTAATGAAGAAATGGATTCCTGAGAAATAAGCAAAATACAGTTAAACATGAATTTAAGCCCAGTCAATATTAATACACAGACTAAGCAGTATGACAGGGGATGTGACTATCCTATACTAAGCAGTAAAGATTTTTTTTTGCCTCATTTCACATCAGTACATTTGCTCCAATAAACCTAGACGGGATACACTTTTTAGAGCCACCCTTTCAAAAGGGAATTGTGAAGACATTTCTAAAGAGAAGAACCAACAGGATATATCACTCTGGATGCAATGTGGGATAGCTGGAAATAACATAGATGAGGCCAAAGGAGATTACCAGAATGTATGTGGTGGGACTCAGATGTGCATTTGCCACCCAGCCAATACAGGCATGCTATTGCCTGTAGTGACTCATCTCTTCACTATGTTCGTTGTTATTTAGTCGTCAAGTCATGTCTGACTCTTTGTGACCCCATGGACCAGAGCACGCCAGGCCCTCCTGTCTTCTACTGCCTCCCGGAGTTGGGTCAAATCATTACATCAGCACCCTGATTTATTTGCAAAGAAAGCCTCATTATTCAAGGACTCAGATTCTAGGGATTATTTACTAGAGCACAAGAGAGTGACAACGTAAATTACTTTCTCCAGTAGCTGCTTATATTCTCTTCATCCATTGTGCTGGGTTAAAAACTCTTTAAACCAACAGCAAACATGCAGGAGATATTAGGAATTTATAGCCCAAGATGGATTACTTGTAGATAAGCATGACAGCTTGATGCCTGAAATGTTGTATTAGCCTATTTATAAGCAAATTATTTATGAAGGCACTCCAGACTGCCATTGTCAGAAGCAGGTTTTAACTGTGAAGTTAGTTTTGATACCTGAACAGAAACTGCAGCAAAGTTAGTTATTAAAATGCCAGGACATAACATGACAAGCTTTCAAGAAGGGACAGCACCCAGAATAGAATTACAGGTTTCACCACCTGTTCTGAGCGTATACATGACGATAATCTGTTCCCCTAAAATTGCTGTTAAGCAAAATCATCGTCATGCGAAAAACAATTCCCCATTGGAATGATTGAAACCCATTTAATGCGTTCCAATGGGGAAATTACGTAGTCCAGTGAAAATCGCTCATAGGGGAAGACATTTTCCGAGTGTCGATCAGCTGTTAAAATGGCTGCCCTGTGAAGCATGGGTCCGGAAAAGACAGGGCAGCCATTTTGCGGAGCTGGAAAAATTGTCATCTTGCAAACAAACAGTTCGCAAAGCACGGACCTAATCGTCGTGAAGTGAAAATCTCCCATTGAAATGACTGTTTTGCGAATCGCTATAGCAATCACAAAAAGTCATCGCCCTGCGGATTCGTCATTTAGTGGGGTTGTTGTCATGCAGGACACCACTGTACCTCTAATTGATAGCAGCACAGGAAGCCGGCTTGATACAGACAGTAATCTTTATCAAAACTAGGGATACCTGAGTATTTTGTTCAATCTGCAATTTTAAGTGAGCAGACTGGATTCACACTAACACCACGTGAATCAGACGTTTCACACCACTCAAAAATGAGTACAAAAGTGTATGCAAAACATGCATTTTATGATAAATGAGTGTGTGTGTGTTGAAATGAGAAATGGGTATGGGAATGGCACTCAACAGATTTCAGTGTGAAAATGATCAGATAAGATAGGCCAGAAATAAACTGATCTGTGCACCTGTAACAGCTGAAATTTTAGAACAGATCCTAATTAAATTCACTAGAATTAACTGACATGAACAACACACTGTATAAGTTACAAGCCAACTGAGAAGTATGCAAACTTCTTTTTACAACCATTAACTATATACTGTATTTTTCTGTGTATAAGACACCCCCATAGAAATCTAAGTGGGGCTTAGCAAGTGCATGGGGAAAGGGAACAAAGCCCTGCAGGATCACTTTGATCCCTGCTCTCACCACCACTTGTTTTTTCTCTCTCCTCAGCTTACTTCCATGTATAAAACCCTCAATTTTAATCTAAAGATTTTAGACAAAAGTATAGTCTTATACATGGAAAAATACAGTAAGTTCCTTAAGAATGCTGACAGAGTGCACTGCCATACGTATTTTAAATAAACTTCATTTTGTGTTTTGTGAAAGCGACAGCAGACTGGGGAACTATTTATTTACCTTGCTATCTGAGTTTTTTGCTTGCACGGATGCTGAATAAAGGACAAAACAATTGTTGCTGCAGAAGACAATGTCCTTCTCTGTCCTCTCAGACTGATCCCTGGAATCCTAGAAATAGAAGCCAAAGAGCTTAAGAATGATTTAAAGAAATTCATTTCGCTAATAATCAGACAAGCTCTTGAATATGTTATCAGCAACACTATCAAAAACTTAGCTAACGTAAATGTTCATGTCTTCTACGTTAGGTGTGCCAGTTCATCTGACAGTTAAACAGAAAAACTTGAATGAAAGCAAAACTGTACACAAGGAACTTTCTTCTTGAACAGATAACACAATTATTTTGCAATTATTCTGAAAATAATTACAGTAATATAAAAAAGAACTCTTTGCAGAAGTCCTGTATCCTCTAAAAAAGGAATAAAGCAGAACAGCAAACCATTCAATAGCCATACAATGCAGTACAGTATAAGCAAATTACAGGAACCTACCCATCCTCCGCCCCTTTTTTAGACCTTGCTCAGAAGCCAAAATTAATTTAAAAAAACCTTGCTGCTGCAATGTTTACAGTAGTACCTGTTTCAGGAAAGGTAGATCTTTGAAAGATTTCCGTACTCCACTGCCCAGAACTACTACTTTACAATGAGAGCACCACTGTGGCCTCAGCACCGAACCATCCATGACATTGGGACTGTGGGCCTTATAACCTGCCAAACGTTAATGTGAACAAGATTTTTTATTTCAGTAAAAGTCTACAAGATAAGCTGGGTCCCTCAAGGTTACTACTAAGCCTGGCTTTGCTCCCTACTCACGGCACTCTTTCCCAAACAATTCATCTATCAAGCATACCTCCCCCCAAGACACGGAAGCCCTAATCGGGCATTCTCAAGCAAGTAAGCTAAACACAAGGACGAAAGAAAGGTGCTTTGGTGTTGCTCCTGTCTTGTGGGCTCCATATTGTCTTGCGGGGAAGAGTCTCCTTTGTTCTTGGTACAGACGTCCCAAAGCCCGCTTGGGAAAGGCATCCTCCAGGTTTGAAGAAAGTCGGAAGTGACAACCCAGGAGGGCAGAGTAAACACACTCCCCCTGCTCACTCAGTTTTAGTCTGGCACTAAATATGGCAGAGCGATTAAGGCTACCTCCCACTCAAAGTGTTATAATCTCTCCTGCACACATAATATGACAAGTGGGCATTTTGCCAGGTCACTTCCACCAGAACACACTTCACGCCACTGTCAAGGGGGCCAAGGGAAAAAGAAGCAGAAACTCATCTATTTCCCAGCCCCACGGCCTGATTTTCAAGTCTTCAGCATTCAGTTTTGCAACTGCTACGTAACTGATTAACCTTCAAAGGACACATGCTGTCTCACCATTACCACTTGGTGGAAAGGACATGTTATGTTGTTTGAATCCGTACGGCCCGGTTAGTCCAGAAGGGCCGAGAGCTCCTGGCTGAGGTCCACGTAGTAATAAGTGCTGTCTGTACTCAAAGGTTGCATTTGGTCTGTGAGAGCTGATTATTCCCATAGAGGGTGGAACATCTGAGGCATTGCTCACTTCATAACTATTTGGAATTCTGACATGCAGAAGGTTGGAAAATGCAGCCACCACACTGCCAATATTCTAGAGTAGAAAAAGAAAGAGAAAAAACTGGTTTGGGTCCAGTAACTAAATAGAATAAGGTTGACATAAAGAAGTACAGTATATATACTCCAACATCCCCAAATCTGAATATGCGTCCACCTGCAACTGGTGATGGTTTTCTGGGAACAGGAATGTCCACAAGGTATTACCGAGATACATAATCAACCTACGGTAAGAGTAGGGCTTCCTGGGCTCACTCTGATTTGTCTTCCTGGCACTGCCACATAATCCATCTGACTGACTGTAGATCAACACACTGCCTACATAATTATTTGCTGCAACTACCTCAACAAGAAGCCTTCAGTCTCTTTTAATTATAGAACTGTAGATCAAGGTACGTGACCACATTACACAGAACACAAATAAAAACAGTGTATTAACAGGACCGTACACAACACATACTGAAACTCCATCTCCTTACCTCTGCAGCTGTGGGATGTAAAGTAATTGCTATGGATACAAGACCAGATTTGGGGCCATTTTGGGAAGGTGCCAGATGAGAGCCAAAGAAGGCAGGGCCGGGCTCTGTTTTGATATAATTCCTTTTTGCTTCAGAACCTTAATTTTGAAACAGACAAGCAATTAAATATCCATGTAACTGGAACACATGGAAATGCAAGGGGAGAAAATAATGCATGCCATTAGAATTCCTTTTTGGCATTACCCTTTCCAGCACTGGTAGGCAAGATTGGAATGATAGGAGATGGAACAGGTTCAGGCATCTCTTCCTTTACCGATGACAGATCAGGGTATCGGCTGATTTCCATGCCCATGACACTCTCAGGAGAGGAGGAAGGAACAAAGCTGTCAGGGGTATCTCTGTCATCACAGGAATCCTGAACCCTAGGAAGGGAAATAGAACTATAAATGCTGGAAGTGCTATGTTTGCACATAATTGGTTAAAGCATGGGCAAGAAGGTAGCACAAACTAGGTTGAAACTTTTGCTATTCATCCAAGTAGCTTCTTCAGACTGAAGAAGCTACTTGGATGACGAGTGAAATGTTTCAACTGAAAAAGAAAGAAGTCCAGTTGCCATGACTCAATTCCCAGATAACCTCACCTGAATGACTGAGAATCTTCACAGATATAAGGCAGCACTAAACTGGAAGAAATGTCAGTCTTTTAAAGGTAATGTCTCCCAGATGTTTTTGAAACATGAGAAACAAAGCATGGTGGGAAGAAACATCCCCATAAGTCTCTCTCATATAAATATTCGGAAGTACTCCAGCCATCGTATTTGAAGATGGTGTATTCTGCTTTTAGGACACTATGATTCTGCAGCCACATGAGTGAAGGAAAAAGAAACATTCTTCCACGTCTACATTGTGGAGAAAGTTTCTTCCATTACAGCACACTGACTTGAATGTCTGACTGTCATTTATTAAAAATCACTTTAAGCACTCAGCTATTGTTACTGAAAGAAGATCAGTGGCTGAAGGTGGTAATAAAGAGTAAGCTGACCCCTTATCTGGTGAAAAAGGAGATGTTTCCTTCTGACTATTTTAACAAGATTTGAATCTTCTGGAAGATAGACATTTCACTCTCTATAGATGAAGAACAATAAAAAGTATTATCTCCTTGTCTGAAATCATGGTTGACCTTCCACATCAAGTGGTTAAGTCCAATTTTTACCAAGCCTTCTGTGAGGCTATGGGTTGATATGTCTAGATGTGAACGATAAACTCTCTCCCAAATATGTCCTGCTAAATGCTCACAGCAAAGACTGCATTTGGAATGACAGTGGTCTAAGCAGCAGTAGTGGGAGGGCAGGAAGCATCTGAAGACATTGCTCACCCCAGACAATGTTTCAGAATGCAGACAGACTGCTTACCTGAGCTCTTCCTGATTATTGTGAGGTGGGGTTGGAAGGGAAGCAGGCACGTCCACACTTTTAGGACACTGCGCCATGGCTCGGGTGAGCAGATCATCCTGTGGTCTGAAAGGCAGCTGGAATGGCTTTGGTCCTAGAGCTTTAGTGACTAAAGCAGAGCAAGAACAGACTTTAAAAAAGACACCACCACCACCAAAACGTCTTACCACTTCTAGGGATATATTTGGCAAGGGAAACAAACCAATAAAGGATTTCTAACTTTCATCCCTATTTCATATAAAGGACCCTCTGCATCAATGACCCCGGAAACCTCCAAGCATTCTGTTCCAAAGGTTATCCAAGGCAGATTCAGATTTCATTAATAGCCAGACAGATAGCCATGTCAGTCCGTACTCTGTTGCAGCAAAAACAACAAAGAGCAGCACTAAGATGAAGACGTTTTATTTGGCAGAAGCCTGCATTAGCTACAGCCCACCCAAGCTTAGGCCAAAGAAAAACTCTTAGTTTTCAAGAATACCAAACTTGTGGTGTTTGGCTGCTCCCGATTCTGCTGCAAGGTAATCCTCTGGCAGACAAGTGACAACTTACCATCATGTCCACCTAGCATCCCAGCCTTTGTAGCGAGTTCCTCCGTGGTTGCAAATCCATTTACCATTTTTTGGCAAGACACAGGTGGAGGCGTGGGAGGCAGGGAAGCTGGAGGTGTGGGCGGGTTGCTGAGGTTATTCTGCTGCACGAGAGGAAAAGATTTCAAGTTACATTTTTAGCCTCTTATTTGGGAAAGATGCGCATTCAAGGACATGTCATGTAACCAACTTACAAAAAGACTCTCAGAATGCACTTTCTTTCTAATGCTAACAGCCATATTGGCATTGCTTCGACAGAATACCAAACCATGGCTTGGTGTGTGGTTTAATACATTCAGTGGGCAGGAGTCATTACTCATCAGGTCTTCTGCCTATTGCACCAAAATTACGACTTCCTCTTGCCTTCTCCAAGCACTCCTTAAGTGCTATGAAAACTGCTAAAGTGGTTTGACCAGTGAGTGAGAAAAAAAAAGAAGATACATGTGTACGCCTTATTGGGTAACAATACCTTTATATTACGTCTTTCAACTGTGAGAAGTCAGACTCTGTATACAATCTAATCACAAAAGGTAGTAATTAATAGCGTCAGATTTAGAAATCAGGAATTAATAGACCTTGGGTCATATTTCACCTCCGCCATGTATTACTGTCTGGCCATCCATCTACTGTACTTATTTTAGAGACTAATCAGGGGTGGTTAGTATTTATAGTGATAACATTTAAAATCAGGCCACCATTCCGGTAAAAGAGAGATCCAGTGTAGCCAGAAAGGGGCGAGGAAGACCTGAGTTCAATTTTCCACTTGTTTGTAAGTTTGACTGGACCGGTCACTATCTCTCAACTCAACCTACCTCACAGAGCTCTAGAAAAGACAAAGGCAGAGAGGAGAAGCATGCATGCTTCATCTGTGAAGAAAGAGTAGGGTGGGAGTTGTACTTAATGAACGCATTAATGAAATAAAACCAATCCAGAATTTTGACTCATTTATTGCAGTCTCTATAATCTGGCCAAGATCCTGTTGTGTAAGTTATTTCTGTGCAATGGTAATTATGGCCCCATCAGGGAGGTTTTCAGTAATTAAAGTGTTTCCAGTACTGCTACGGTTCACACACAATTACACTAATGAACTTTGAGTCAAACAAGCTGTGGGACAGAAGCAAGAAGTCTTTAATTAGTGAAAATCTCCCAGGCTGGTGACTTCAAGATCCTTAATAGACCTAACCTACACAACAGGATTTTGGTCAAAATGTGTAATGGTTTTAATAGGTGATAGGACTTTTTAATGAAGCATCAACAATACAAAGATGAAAATGACAGTGCAAAAACAACAATAATATCATTTTAGGTAGGTGAGATAAGTTGAGTTGAGAGTTGCTGACTGGCCCAGTCAAACTTATAACCAAGTGATAAAACTAGTAATAAATCCCACTGTTGATATTTCTTTTGTAAAATCTATGTAGAAAAAAAAATACACCTTGTAGATTAGCTGAGAATAGTAGTCTGATACCCCATCAAGTGTAGCGCTACCAAAGCTTCCCGTGAGTCGACTTCCACTATTCAGATGGCCACTGCCATAAGGAAGAAAATGGGCAAAACTCACTCCAATTATTGGCTCCATGAGCGGAAGCAAAGAAAGTTGCTGGAGGAAAAAAGGGGCAATTACAGTTATCACACTTGCAAATTCGTCATTAATGAACTGCAGATTTGCACTTAATTTTGCTAAGATGGCTGTTACCATCAGAAACACATCTTTTACCCGCTCCTCATACAGTACCACTAAGGTAGCCATGCAAACTAATATAAGCATTTCAGCTGTCATCTCATAGATGCACAGCCCCTCAGGTACACATCTGCTATCAGTATAACCAATGGATGATGGTATTTCAAACAAAATGAATGAACACTGTCACGATGTGTGGTTCTCAAAATCTGGAATATTCCAACATGCGTATTACCGTTCACCTCACTGTTAAGGGATAAATATAGAAAGCACACAAATTATTTGCCGCTTATTACAGTGGGGTTGTGACTGCTTTAATGTAGCGGTGAAAATTACAGTTTGGCTCCTGCTGCTGTCCAGTAGCTGCCCTCCAGAGGTCTCTCTGCCTTCATCACCACTATAACAAACGATTCTCTTCTGCTGATGAAGCTGTTAATCCTAAAGGTGGTGGATGCATTTTAGTCTGGTTCCTCAGCTGTGAGCCTTTGGCCTTGAGTGACCCTGCTAGAAGCCCAGGTTTGTAACCGAGTCTAGCCTTCTGACAGCAATGCTCTCGCTTCTCTGACACACTCAAACCCCCTCACCATGTTAAGATGTGCATCCAAGAAGGGGGTGGGATAAAGCCTCACTTGATCACCAAGCACCTCTGCCTGTGCCCTTAAAGACGCAGTAAAAACTGGTCAATTAAAAGATACAGAAGAAGGCATGATGCCATCAAGGCTATGCTGACTAATTTATTCAGAAACAATAAACCGCTGGGCTCTCTCATTCCCTCAAAACGTTTGGTGCTTCTAGGGCTTCTCATCATCATTTTGCATTATAGCAAACATGACCCTGGGTAGATATGGAGGCATAACATATTATCAGAGGCCCTAACACGCTGGCATTACAATGCAACAAGCCAAATATGTTAGCAGCACCATGTGTCACAATAAATCAGAGACATGGATTGTAGGCAAATATAAGATGTATTTAAAAATCAACATGCTTGTTTTTCTAGCTTCACAACAACTCTGAATAAGCAAACATCACACACACAAATGAAAAAAGCCAGAAAGCAAAACCGAAAAATGAATGTAGCTGTATCGTTGTTAAAAGGGACCAGCATATAAAACTAGTGTTTCTGTTGGCTCCTATTCTTACCCAAACTTTACATTCTGAACTGCACTTTCCCGCTCAGTGCTCACCTGCTTTAACTGCATGAACGCTTCTGTGTTGGGGTAAAGAGTCTGCTTTTCCTCCTCTTCTTTTTTCCTCCTCTTTGTCCGGGGGGCTGCCTTCTCACCTGCCTTCTGACTTCGTTTGCTTCTTTGCTTTTTCATTTCATGTCCTAAATCTGCTCTCTGAATCTGGCTGTTCCTGCATCCAAACGTACCCTGCGACTGATTTCCTATTGACTGCTTAGGGAAAAATGGAGACAAAGATACATCAGTTCAGGTCTCTCAGTGTGGCATTTTATTTTATTTTTATAATATAAAGCAACAATTGGTCTTAAAAACATGTTCCTGCCAAAGAAGGGTACTAGAACAGTAACAAGGCTTTATTAAGCTTTTTGTTGTGAGAGGATCAAAACATATGACTAAGAAGATGCTCATTAAACAGCAAGATCTTGGGTATGAAGATGAACATGTAGGCAGGTGGCAACTGCTGATTCTGTTTCTTTCTCTTTTTCTCTCTTAAATTCTCCGGTACCTCCACAGTTCCTGTCTTTCACCTCCACCTTTTGCATCTGTGTTGCCCCACCTCAATCACTGTTCTTCACCACCCATGTCTTTCTTCTTTTTGGCCCCGACATCAATACAGAGACAGCTTTCTTTTCTTAGCTCTTGCTTCTTTCAAACTTCCTTTCCTGGATCCTCTGCTTCCACTACCTCCCTGCTTCCCTCAGTCTTAACAACACCCAGCTGCCCTCCAGACACCTTTCCACAAAGCATCCGCCTCATGACCTTTAGTCCTGCTCAGTCAGGAAAAAGTTGCAATTACGCAAACAGACAGAGGGGCGGCAGCAGGACTAATGGACTTCCATGTCACATGAATCCTGAACGACATACTCTCAAATATCTGTGTTGTCCCTGTACGTTTCCCAGGAAGGCATAAGGATTCATGCTCAGTGACCTTTTTGGGCTTAGAATCATGTTTCTGTCCATCCTGCTTTATGTTGTGATCCCCTGGAGGAAATGAAAGCCAGTATTAAATATTCTCAAAGAGACCATGTTCACTAAGTACTGACTGTCTTTTTAATAATAAAACATTTGTGTTTAGGTATTGGGCTCTTTGTAATGCAACAGAGTGCAATAAACAGAAAATTCTGTATGATTTCCGGACCACCAGTCTGGATGTTAACATAAAAGAAAAAAAAAATGCTTACCATCCCACCTTGAGCCGGCTCCTGTCTTTCTACAAATTTGTTCTCCTCAACGCTCTCGTCTGAGTGGAAGCTGCTGTCTGATTTCTGACTGGTCAGAGAGGCAGATTTTTTGTTCTTAAGCAAGTGTTTGAGGAGCTCATTCCCCGATTCCCCTTTTGCTGCCGGGACGCTTGCCATTTGCACCTGGCTCTGGGAAGAAGGGGCTGGCTGGCTGCCGGTTTTATCCTCTTCTACTTTAATGTCACTTTGACTCTCCCCCTTAGGCTCAGCTTGAGCAGGGCACTGACCCGCTTCCGTATCTTCTTGTCTCATTTGCTGAAGGCTCACAGAAGCGTCTGCCTCGACCTTGTTGGTCTCTGAGTTCACGCTCGACGGCTCGGGCACCTCGCCTTGTGGCAAACTGCAACTGGAGAGCTGATCTTTCTGTTCTAAGGAAGACTGACTCTCTGCAGCATTCGGGGCTGATGAGCTCGGCGGCTCCTCTGCCTCCATTTCCCCTGCGTGGTGTGCAGGTTCACCTGGTGTGCTAACAGCTGGGGTGGAGACAGCGTCTGAAACCACTGGAGTTGGTGGTGCGGTGATATCCGAACGAGGCGTCGACGGAGTATTCGCGGACTCTGCATCATCCTCTTTTTTCTTTTTCCTTGTTCTCTTCTTTTTGCTCTTCTCCTCCGGAATGATATCAGAATACAACTGAATGAGAGACTGACTCGTTCCAGGGCAGTTCGCTCCAGGAGGTGTGCCACTCTCCGGACTGCTGCTGGTGGCCACAGAAACTGCAGGCAGACTAGAGGCAAACGGAGACCTAGCCTGGCACGGGGGAAAGCTGGCTCCGGAGAGGCTTCCAAGGGACTGCTTAGCGGAATGGAAAGTAGGGCTTCCGTCGGGAGCCAAGGGTGGGTCAGCGCCGAAGGGGGAAGCTCCCAACAGCTGTCGCTCAGCACATGGTGGGAAGCTGGCCGTCGGCGGGGACTTCAGTGGTCCTTGTTGCAGAACGGGTCCCATTGGCGGTGGCGGCTGTTGCGGCGACTGTGGAAGAGTCTGTGGAGGCCGCGCAAAATCACATGACAGATCGGGATGGAAGTACTGCATCTGAGACAAGGACGCCCTCGCGTTCAATTCCGCGCCCGCGGCCCCATGCTGCTGCTGCTGCTCCATTTCCACCCTCTGCTGCAAAGCTCTCTGCCGGTCCACCTCCTGCATCAGCTGGATCCGTTGCCTTTCCTGCTGCTCTCGCAGGCGCTCCTTTCGCTCTCGCTCTTGAAAGCTTTCGCTGAATGGGTTATTGTCATCAAACTCAACCCGCGGTGGGGGCCCCGACTGCACACTGGCGCTGGAAGCAGACACAACAGGTGTGGGCGGCACAGAATTAACTGGCAGTGGTGTCATAGGAGGGGGCATCCTCGGTGCGTTGTGAGGGATGTGTATCGGAGCAGCGTTAGGAGGTTGCCATCCTGGCAAGCTCGGCATCCGGGGTGGCTTGGAAGGTCCAGGAACCACCACCGTGTGCGGCTGATGCTGAAGCTGTTGTGAAACCACTGGGAAATTCTGCTGACCCATTGCTGGTGACGATCCTCCTGGAACCATTGGGGGCTGAGAAGGCATGCCCGGCATCACCGGATGAGGTCCCAATCCGCACTGTTGCTGCTTAATCCGATATTCTTCAATGAGTTCTGCATGCTCCTTTTGTTGTTTTCGTATCTGCAATGTGAACATGTTGTTAACTCATTTTCCATAAAAGCACTTTTGGTTTTCCTTTTTCACCTGCCGGCTTCTGAGATAAACAACCCTAAGTATATTTAATACTGAAAAATATTGTTTAACTAAATATTATGGGATAACAACAATAAACTCAATGTAATGCCTTCTCTATGAGAATGGCAGCATGCATTCATTTCTGTGACAGACAAATTCATTTTCTCATCTGGTCTGCTTTTTCGCTATATTTGGACTGCACAAAAATTGTGATTAATCAACAGCTACCGTTTGCACAGTACAGACATTTTCCCACCACCACTATTCTTTGAAATTATATACAGTGGTGCCTCTTATTACGACGTTAATTCGTTCCAGCGAAATCGCTGTAGAACAAAAACGTCGTAATGCGAAAATAAAAAGCCCATTGAAATGCACTGAAACCCCTTCAATGCGTTCCAATGGGCTGGAAACTCACGGTCCAGCGAAGATCCTCCATAGGGCAGCCATTTTTGGTGGCTGTCTTGTGAGGAATCCGTCCCAGAAAACAGCGGGGAGCCATTTTATTTACCCAGCGGCCATTTTGAAACCGCCGATCAGCTGGAGGAAAATCGTTGTTTTGCGAAGAATCGGTTCCTGAAGCAGGGAACCGATCGTTGTTAAACGAAAAAAAACATTCAGACCATCGTTTTGCGATTACAATTGTGATCGCAAAAAGATTGTCGGAATGCAGTTTTGTCGTAATCGTAAAGCAAGGCATCACTGTACTACATCGATGCCATGTATATGTACACTGCCTAAGTGCACACACGTACACAATCAGCTGAAGCAAATACTTGGAGCTAACAGGATCTAGTTCACGAAAGCTGATACCACAACACATACCTTAACTTTTAAGATGCTACAGAATTCTATTTTTCACTGTACATAATATATTATTATCAAATATGTTTGTACTGTGCTTCTCAGGATAAATTTTTGCAAGGTGGCCTTCAATGGTAAGTATGTAATAAATTACACATTTAAAACCAACTGAAAATAAAAATAAGTTAACTATTGTACAGCTAAAACATCTAAATGGCACAAAATCAACAGCGGTCAATAAAAGGCTTAATGGAACAGAACTTTTAAGGTCTATTAAAAATTTTTAAGTGGGTGTTGAGTTCATAAGATGCAAGACTAGCTCTTGTATGTGCAAGTCTGATAACTCCGGATGCCAGGCCAAGCAGCAGAGCCTATCAGACTTATCCCTATTTGACCAGTTCAAAGAGGCGCAAGTGGTAACTTGATTCAACTTTAAGGGGATTTACAGGTAAGAACCAGTGCTTTATACTTGCTCCAAAAATGAACAGGCAGTTCATGGAATCTGCATCTGGTGTTATGTCAGCCCCAGTCCTCTTGTGCCATTACATCAACATAACTTTAACAGTGTAACTTTTGTAGGAGAACTGAAACAACAGTAGATAGCATCTACTCCATATCACATTCAGCAAACAACAGATAACGTCTATGGTGGGCTTTTTTTTTAAACTTCAGACTACTCCCAAAGTTATACTGTTGTGTTACAATAGCATAACTACACAAGAGGACTTGAGCCATTATCAGAATATCTAACTACCGCACGCATCTCAGCTGCTGTGTTCTGACTGGATGTTTGAACCATCATTAAAAATCAGCTCCCAATCAGAAAGCAATGCAGGCAGTCTAGAACTAATCAGGACATTAGTAAGTGAAGCTACATCCTAGCAAAACCAGAAGCCTAAGCTACCGAAAGAGATTTTTCACCAACATAGAATACTGTACTCCAACACAGTGGCATGTCTTCTCATGCCCCGTCCTCAGAGTTTTACCTGTTCCAGCTGCTTTTGAACCATGCTCTGCTGCTCAGTAACATGCTTAAGCTGCTCGGCATCTTCTTCTGGGAATTCTCGGCCAGCTTTCTTTGCTGTGCGCTGCTTGGCAGAGAGTGCTTTTTTTGATTTTCTATGTGCTCCAATTTGCTCTTCAAGGTACTTCTGCTGCATTTGAAGAAGTTGCTGGGTTTCTTGCAGCCATTCTTCATATTGCTTTCTGTGTAAATCATCTGAGGATAAACAAAATAAACCATTATCTTTTTTAAGAATTCAAGCTTTAAAGAGAGGACTTTATTTTTCAAGGGATGCAGACATTTTCCAAGGGCTGTGCAAACTTTCACAAAACTAATTTTCAAACTGTCTGCAGAGAGCATATTCTCTTTCATTTTAAGTTCCTCTTAGTAATGATAATGTCTGAACTGCAGAGTTGCAAGAGACCCTATGGATCATCGAGTTCAGCCCTGTCAAAGAGGCCCAGTGGGGAATTGAACTCCCAACCTCAGGCTTCCCAGCGATAGAGACCCAAATCATTAAGCTATCCAACAGTTCTTCAATACTACAGTTCAGCTATGTTTTTAATGGGGAAAAACAAAACAAAACAAAAAAGGGGATACATCAAGAATGGTATATACATAAACATAGGTTCTTTAATCAAGAATTAAAAACACCATTGTGAAACAGAAAACAAGGTTGCTGCACAAGGTTCCTACACAAAGGAAACCAGTTTATTAAAAAAAAACCTGTAAAATAATGCATGATTAATCATTATTGCTACAGTCTAAGCAATAACTTCAGATGAGGTCCCCACTTGTATTAACTTTGATCTACAATAATTTTTGAAATTTGCTGATGTATTTGTGTTTTCAAATGATTTGCCTGCCTTTTGGAAATTAAATACTGGTATGTGTCATTTTTGATGACTGAAAAAATGTATAACTCAAAACTGGGAAGACAGATGCATATCTATTTCCAATCCTATTAATCAATGGATTGAGGACCTTATAATCTAACATTTGAATACATCACACAGAGATACTAACTCTGTACAGGGTTTTGTTTTAATATCTGGTACCCACTGAAGCTTACAGAAAGCCTGGGTTTTTCTTTGACTTTTTATTTTCTTTGCATTCTTGTCTCTTTCATGATGCTTTTTCTCACACAAATTTTGTAAAGGAGCCATTTTTTATAAACGATCTAAGCAATGCTAATTATACTGAGATGTTTCTATAATTAAAAGGAATTTTCCATATTTTTGTTAAGTTTTGTATGTTTTTAATTTACTGCTAATTATACTGAGATGTTTCTATAATTTAACAGGAATTTTCCATGTTTTTATTAAGTTTTGTATGTTTTTTTTAAAAACTATCATTGTTTCCAAAAATTGTAGCAAGCTGATTCAACACCTTAACTTATTCATTTACAGTAAACTTACATGTTAGAGTAGGTACTAAAGAACTGTTGTCAGACAGAATGGTAAAAAAAGAATACGTACTTTGAAACTTCAGATGGGCATTCAGTTGGTTTTGTATACCAAAGCCTTAGATCACAATTATCAGAAGTATAATTAAATTATACTTACTTACAAAACCAGGACCAAAATTTGGGGGGTTTGGCCTAGAAATCTGAGGTGCCAGGTTTCCATCCTTAAAAAGGAAAAAAAAGGCAAAATGCATAACCCAAATCAATTTTATGGCTGTTTTGTCGCAAGGAATAACTTGCACAAGGAAAATAGTTCCTCCAGTGCATGCTCAACCAGTTATACCCATTAGGTAAGATGCACGCTTCTGTCCCCAGTCCACTAAGTTTGCTGCTTCACTTATATAATTGCTCCCCTCCCCAGCTCTCAGGCAATCTGTGCCTTTACATATCCATCACCTATTCATGTCAGGGCAGGACTTCAGATCTTGTGAGTTTTGGCCTATAAATTCTCTGATTTATACAAGGATTACATGGCTGACTTTGCAGTTGGATTCAGAGTTGGCTAAATACTGTGTCACTATACGACACTGGTTTTTAGATCCATGATTCTGCTCCATAAAATCTGGGAGGTGCTTTAGTGCAGATTTTAGGAGTGAAAAGGCACAACGTAAGTCAGAATTGACTTGACAGCACATGATTATTACTACTTAGGATATACCTGTGTAATTGTTTGCTGTATTAGATTCTGGCCTTCACCACTCTGTGTTCCTGGCACGACCTGTCCCATAAAGGCAAACCTAAAGAGATGATAACAAAAGTCACAGTTTGGACTTATAAAGCAACAATAACATCTGGAGATGAAATAATCCAGGCACGTTCAACATCTCATTTTGCTATTTTCTTAGATTTCCACCATTCCCAAATGTTTTTATTTTAATTTTTCTACTACTGATTTTCTGAATATTCAAGTTGCTCACTATAGATACCCCACAATATACTGATTTCCTAGCAACAGTGTGTTACTGGGCATGCACAGACTATTGCTTCAAACTCTTGGCACAACAAATTTTTCTGCACTCATTACACTCGTATAAGAAGGTTTTTATACATATTTAAGTTTGTAGCTATCATGATGTGCAATATGAACTGCAAGGAAGAGAGAAAAAAGACTATTTATTCATATGCGTTATGTTTACTACTATCCTCCACAAATAAGTAGAACCAATCAAAGTAACCTAAAGATTTGGGAGATACAGAAGTCATACATTCATGCTGATATCTAACCAAAGTTATAAAATATGCACAGTCCTTATACAAAAGTATGCCTACCTGTTCATGACCATTGGTGGCATTCCCATATTGTTTTGAGCCATTACTTTATTGATCCCTTTCAAAGCCACCATTTTTGCTTTCATTATGGGATCCGTGATTGCATCAAAATCTATGAAAGAAAAGTTTTAGGTGTAGTGTTAAAGTTGAAGATACTGATTTTTTTTAAAAAAAGCTGCCAGTGAGCATAAACCTACACTTGATATTTTCAAAATTGCTCTGCTGTTTAAGAAATTATTTCAAAGAACATAATTGAAATAAATACGCCTTTGCTATAGACGCAGATGGTTTTCAGACATTCATTCATTCATGCATGCCAATAACTATTTTAGAAGCTCACAAAGTGTTTCTAGGAGGTGCACGGATGCCTGTTAGAAGCATGGACAACTTACATTCTGACAGGCAGGAGTACTGCTTACGTTGCAGCTTTTCTCTTTAATGACTAAAATTCTGTTGCTTTGGACAGTAATTCACAACTTCAGTATATGCCCTTTTGACTCAACAGAATGCATGGAGAAGCTGACTCACCAAAACCCCACAGATTCACTAGGTTTCTTCTAGAGCAATTTGCTATTGTAAGCAATAAGATTTCAGTCAGCTCAGAACAAGTCCCAGCAACATGAGACCCTATTCCAAAGAGGCTGCACCCCATGCATGCACATGTGAATGTGGAATAAGACACTGGGAACAGACTGTATACGAGGAACCCTCTCACAAATGGAGTAGTCTTGCAGCTTCTATTCTGCGTCTTGACTCCACACAGGGAACATTACTGAAACATTTTTCCTTACTATAGTGGGCCTCGACTTACGAACTTAATCCGTTCTGGAAGGACGTTCGTATCTCAGAAAGTTCGTAGGTCGACCTATCATTTCCCATTGAAATGCATGGGAACGGAATTAATCCATTCCAGCATTTTAAAATAAAAATAAAAATAGAAAGAGCAAGTCCCATGTTGGGACTGCAAAACAAAAACAAAAACAACCTCTAAAAAAAGGACTGACCAGTCTGAAGCCTCCTGGTGCTCCACTGCCTCTGCTGCGGCCGGGGGCGAGTGGCCAGGCGCCCGGCCAGCTCCAGCCTCCTGGCGCTCCGCTGCAGCGAGCATCCAGGTGCCTGGCCAGATCTAGCCTCGCGGAGCAGAGGCAGCGGAGCGCCGGGTGGCGTACAAGCCCTGAGAGACCTCCCTGGGGGTCCCCGTCGCCGCAATGGGCGGCTTTGGAGCTCTCTGAAGCCAAAAAGGCTGGGAGAAAGAGCGGGAAGTTCGAGAGTGGCCAGGCGCCCGGCCAGCTCCAGCCTCCTGGCGCTCCGCTGCAGCGAGCATCCAGGTGCCTGGCCAGATCTAGCCTCGCGGAGCAGAGGCAGCGGAGCGCCAGGTGGCGTACAAGCCCTGAGAGACCTCCCCGGGGGTCCCCGTCGCCGCAATGGGCGGCTTTGGAGCTCTCTGAAGCCAAAAAGGCTGGGAGAAAGAGCGGGAAGTTTGAAGCCTTTTTGGCTTCGGAAGCAAGCCTGGCTGCCAGAGAGAAATCAGCTCCCTCCTTTCACCCAATGCTGAAGGGGACTCGGTATCGGGTGGAAGGAGGCAGCCGATTTCTCCCCGGCCGGCCGGCTTGCTTCCAAACCCAAAAAGGCAGGGAGAAAGCGCGGGAAGTTCGAACTTCCCGCCCTTTCTCCCTGTCTTTTTGGCTTTGGAGGGTTCAGAAGGTTTCCTCCAATGTCAGAGGAAGCCTTTTGAAAGCTCCAATGGCAGGGAGGAAGGGCAGGAAATTTGAATTTCCCGCCCTTTCTCCCTGCCTTTTGGGTTTGTAACCCGATCTGCGTTCGCAAGTAGGGTGTCCTACTTGCGATGAGATCGGATTCGTAACCCAAAATGTTCGTAACTAGAGCCGTTCATAAGTCAAGGGCCCACTGTAGTCCTCATCCCTAGAAAACCTGTTTCTTCTACCATGTTCTCTTGCCTGCCTGTTCTTTCCATCTTGATTTCCACTGATCTCCTCCCACCCTCAATGATTTTTACACAGCAGGAGACACAAGAAAGGAGGAAGGCAAACATCCAAATTAAAATGAAACTTGCAGATGTCCTCTCAACATGAATATCAGATGTGGGTAAGATCTACTTCAAGCATGCATCCACAATATTAAACTCTGCAAGTGAGGCTCTTGGATTCACTGGGAGAGACTGGGATTTTTTTGTCATCCCAACTAAGAATGATTCTGTAAAGGTGGGGGAAAAACTCTTCTTTCCATTCAGATTAGACAGTAACATGTCTGTCCTACCTAGCCCACTTCCCCCCTGCCAAAGTTTCCACATAAGGAAAATCACACACATACCAATGTTGGGGAAAAAAGGCTCTGAACGCTGGCGAATCATAGCTTGCATCTGTCGCTGCTGTTGCTGCTCCTGTCTTTCTTGATCCAAAAGGTCTTGTAGCAGAAGGGGCTGTTCCTCTAGCAGAAGAGGCCTCTCTCGGTTTTGCTGCTGGGCTAATGTTTGTGGAAGCATCATTTGTTGGGGACCTGGCATACCACCAGGACCAGGTCGATTTACAACAGGCACAACCGGATTGCCAGGCTGCCCTGTCCCAAAGCTATGACTGGCTGGCTGACCAGGGGCAAAGCCTGGATTGACGGTTGCCCCTTGAGAGAAGGGATGGCTCATTTGTGGAACTATGTTCACATTAGGTAATGTGTTTTCCATTGTTTGGCTAGCAGATGTCATTAAAGTTTGTGAAATACTTGAAATAGGATTTGCTTGTGCTGTCAGTAACGGGTGTGGTGGAGAGCTGAGTGGGCCAGGATCAGGGGTTTCTGAACTTTCATTAGACAGCAAACTTGTTAGAACCGGAGTGGATCCAGAGATCTTGCAAGAACTTGCTGTACTCTGAGCAGATGTGACAGATGGGCCCCGAACAGCATCTGGGCTAGATACAGCACCTTCCTCATTTATACCTGTTTTGTCTGCTAATTCCACATTACAAGGCAACACAGATTTTGCTTCTTTGTCATTTGACTCTGGTTTAGCTTCAAGGTGAGTATCTGAGGCTGCAGCACTTCGGTCACTTTTTTCTTTTTCCAAGTTACTTTCTTCTAATGCATTTGGAGACAACACTTCTGTTTTAATCTCATTGACTTCACCTGTTTTTTTTGGAGAAGAGGAATCTACAGGACTGGAAGCTTTGTCATCGTGATGGTTTTGTTGAGCATCTTCTGCCTTACACTGAATATCATCTATGGGCACATTAAGATCCAGCTCCTCACTAAACATACCTTTCTTGTCACCCAAATCATGGTCTGGATCAGTGTAGGCAATTATGTCAAATTCTCCTGATCTCAAAAGATCATCTAGGTGGCGAGTTTCAAGATTATCTAATGTGTCCAATTCATCTCCTTTGCCATCTTCTGGGTCCAGATTTAAATTTTCAAGGTCCTCATCAACTAAATCTTTAACTTCAACACCATCAAGGTCTTTGACATCCAAATCTTTCACAGAAGGATCATCAGGATCAAGCTTCTCTTCTAATACGTCAGAAGACTGTGTGGGAATTTCTAAGCCACTTTCTGCGTCAGCTGACGTTGTTGGCAAAGAATGTCCTGAAAAAGCATCATTCACTGATGGATTACTTAAGGAGCATATTAACACAGGCGGATGGTTTGGATTCACTGTTCCTTGTTGAGATGGTGGCAAATGCTCCAAACCTGTTGATGTAGGCAGTGGACTGTTTAGACTTTGAGAAGTACATCGCATGGGCTCTATGTGTCTTGGGCCTTGACAATCCTGTCTAGGTAAAAATCCTGTATGTTGCTGATGCTGGGAAACTGTGTTCATAACAGTGGTTGATGAAGAATTAAAAGGGAGTCTTGGCCTGCTTTCAGGTGCTCTATGGCACAGCTCAATAAATGCCTGCCCCATAATGTTGTGCTGCTGAACCTGAATACCCTGTGGTGGGAAATGCTGGGAGAGTCCAATGGGATTAGCCATTTGTGGCTTGTTAGGTATTCTAGGCATATCTACAGACATGGATCTTCTGAGCTGTGATGGAATGCCGGCACGTTGCATTTGCTGTGGAGGACCAAGGAAACGTTCTTGACATGGAGGAGGTCTATGAGCACCACCAGGAAAACCAAATCTGGAAAAGAAAAATCCAGTTTACTTGGATTTTGTATTGTGACATATTTATATATAAACCAAGGTTTTTTAGTACATCATATCTTTTTAATAAATTGAAGGATTGATTTCTTCACTGGGAAATTCAAATTTGGGCAGTCCTTGGCTAGAAACAGAATTCTGGATGTGTATGACTTCTGCATACACTGGCAAAGCTTTATTGTATTCATATTTTTATACACTTTGGAATTTAAGTCAAAACAGTGTGGCTGTCTAAAACTGAGGCAACATAAATATTTGCTTTAAAAATAATTACTTGCAAATTACTAGTAAAAAACCCAACTGATGTTTGAGATAAGTCATGTATAATTACCTGAAGATGAATATCAATGATTTGCTATAATACGTAAATACAATGTAGATCTGCAACTAAAATCTGTCTTTATACTACTCAGGGATACATTTCTAATTATTTATAAATCCTGGGGTCCTAAAGGCACAGCCACTCATGGGACCCCTTATGAAACTGAAGATTTCTGTTTGCCTCTTTCTCTATATGAGTAAGGAGACTAAACAGGATGATTTACTTAGCAACTAAAATGTCAAAAAATTTCCAGAAACAAGGGTCATACTTATGAGTGCAACTGTTCCTCCATGGCATTAAAAGTAAATGTCCACAGAGTTTGGTTGAGAGTCTTTCCTTTAATATTTATTTATTTATTTATTTGATTTTTACCCCGCCCCTCCAGACCATGTCTACTCGGGGCGGCTTACAAAATAAAACAAAACAGTATAAAAATATATAAAATCATAAAATTACAAATTTCAATTTAAAACAATTAATTTAAAAAAAGGATTACCAAGATGGAATAGCCAAAAGAAAAAATGTATACAATTATAATGCATGGTTGGTCCTGGTTCATTTTCTCACATTGAAAAGCAAATTTCAATTGCATGTACTTGACAAAAGGCAATAAATAAAATCCGAATTGACTGCCACTTTTAACAAACTTGACAGTACTGCATTTGAATCACTGTACAAGATATTTTAAATGGATATTTAATATGACTAATAATTATAAATTATTTTCAATCTTTCATCCAACTTGAGTCAAAATATTATAACTTTAACAGTCAACAACGCATATTTTGCCAATTTCCTGAATTACACTTAGAATACTGAAGGCATCTTGATAAAGAATTTCTATGTGTGATTTAGCTGACTTCATGTAAATGTGGCTTATTTTATGGTTAAATAATCAAGACTTATACCTAATTCCTTGAGGCCTCATTCCCATGCCACTCACATCTCCTGGAAATTGGGGTCTACTGAACTGTCCATCAACAGGAAAACCTGGGAACCTTAGTCCACCAGGGGGGACAATGGGTGACCGAATATTTCCAGGATAAGGAGGAGGAGGCCGGTTAAAAATCTGGTTCATATTTTCTTGCTGCCATGACTGAACAGGTGCTGCGTGAGATGCTCCAACAGGCTCTTGTGGCATTTTCTCTTGGCGGATAGCATTTTTCTTCTGTTGCTGCTGCTGCAGAATGATTTCACGTAATTTCTGCCGCTGACATGGAACAAAAACAATTAATCTTGTTAATGACAGCTTTGCTGTTATCTTAAGGAATGCATAGCTCCTAAATCAAATCCTCTCTTTAAAAAAGACTTTGAGTTATCAGTGTTTGCAGAATCAATGCAGACACAATTCAGTGGGAGAATTGTCCTTAACCAAAGCAATCTCACTGCTTATCTGCTTTACTATGGTTATAGTAGATGCTAGTGATGATGTAACTATGATTAGAAATTCTATTTACTGGTATTTTGAATTGATTATGAACTGTGACTAGGTAGGAGGCTTGGCTGTCTTCCACTGTTGGTATTTTATATATTTTTACCCTGCTCTGTGTGTTTTCATTTGTTTGTCTTTGGTCATTCCTGCAACAAATGGGAGCATGTGCTTGCATACCGCTTATACTTGACAAGTCAAGATCCCCACCTTCTAAAACAGAGGACACATCCTCTTGTCTTATCAGAACAGAGCCTAATTTATTGGCCCTCCTCCATTTCACTACCACTTTCACACACCAATTCAGAAATTTCACAAATGTAACTGAAGGGGGTGGGTGGAAATCTACAAATTATCAGCATACAGTAATTGTGGCACCTCATTTCAAATCTGCATAGGGCTTCACTCAGCCATTTCTCACAGATATTAAAAAGCACAGGATGGACCTGTGGAGCATAGATACCACGAGCAAAACAGCAGTTATCTGGCACTAAGGTTTTGAATATTCTGCACTCCACATGTACACAGAGAGAGAAACTACTGTAATGCTGGTCTTCCATTCTTATCATCTATCCAGAAGAATACAAAAACGGATCGAAATGAAGAAATGTTGAGAGCTGCCAAGAAGTGTTAGAAAAATGAAAAGAATCACACTCTCTCTGTCTTTATTACAGGAATCATTATTTGTCAGGGTAACCAACATAGTTTTGCTACCGAAACCAGTCATGAAACCAGCTGAAATTAATCTAGACAACTGATCTCATCAAGGCATGAACAGCCACCAGCAAATCTTCTGAGCATCTTGTCCAAGAAAGGATGCTACAATTGAGTATTGTTATTTTTGTTACCATGGTTATTTGGGAGACCACATTTAAAGCAGCCTTCCTCAGACTTAAAGCATTGTTATCACTTGGAAGTTTGATTGTGAATTCATTGGAGAGAAGGAATAAGATTCCACAGCTCATCTGCAGTATTAAATGTACTGTAGTTGAAAAGAGGCCTATGGTTATGTTTATACCAACTTACACAGAAAACCCAGTTATTAAATGTAGTTAAGGACAAGGTATTGGGAACAGGAGAGTAACAGTACTACTACAGAGCATAATATCTTATAACAAGTTAGAAAATTATTTATTGAAATAAGCCACAGTATTTCTAAAAGCTCTTGACAGATTTCTTCAGCTAGGGCACCTCACATTTTTTTGCCAGCATGTATAACAATAAGAAACTCACCTGTCTTAGTTTCTCTGCATCAGCCTGAGACGTTGTACTCTGAGTATTTGTTGTTCCTGGAGCTGGTGCTGGACCAGGGACTTGAGTGGTTTGGGGAAATGATTTTCCTTGCAAACCCATAGAAGAGTTCACAGGTGCACTAAAGTTCCCTTCTGATCCAGATCTTGGCTGTTCTGCAACATCATGGGGATGCTGAGCAGTTCCAAAAGTTTCTGGCTGAGGTCTTGGGGTCAGCGGAGGTTGGTCATAAGGGTCGCAAGGTGGAGCTGTTGAAGGATGGCTAAAAGAATCTGTCACAATGGGTCCTGTTAGTTTTGGGGGCTGAGAACATGGGTCTGATGGCCTTGCAAAAGTGCCAGATAAAGTCCTGCTCTGTGAGGTTTGTAGATAAGGATCCCGATTTGACATCAGTGCTGGTCTACTGTATGTTTCTGAAATCCCAGGCCTTGGGGTTGCTGGTGGTTGAGAATAAGGGTCATTACCAACAGGCCTTGGTGTTCCTGGAGGCTGGCTGTACGGATCAGAATGCCTTTGATTAGCGGAAACCTGAGCAAATAAGTCTGCTGTCTGTGCAGGTCTTGGTGTGGGTGGCTGATGTAGGTAGGGGTCAACTGTGGCAGGCCGAGGAGTACCTGGAGGCTGGGCATAAGGGGCTGTGACTGGATCAACTGTGGCAGGCCGAGGAGTACCTGGAGGCTGGGCATAAGGGTCTGTGACTGGACGAGGGGTCCCCGGGGGTTGGGCATAGGGGTCTGTGCCTGGATGAGGGGTCCCCGGGGGTTGGGCATAGGGGTCTGTGACTGGACGAGGGGTCCCCGGGGGCTGGACATATGGATCCTGAGCAACTGCCCTTGGAACAGTTCCGGACTGAGAAAAAGAATCACTCTGATTTCGGATCACTCTTTGTGGATGGGCAAAAGACTCTTTTATTGCTGCGTGAGAAGTCAGAGGAGACTGACTGTATTGGTCATTGGGTGGATTGTGTGAAAAACTGTCCACTGGCCTTGGCGTCAAAACAGGCCGTTCATAGGGATCCACAGGTAGGCGTCTTGGTGTTGGTGGCATTTTTGCATAAGGATCTTGTGGTGACTGATTTGGGCGCATGGGTGTTTTAAATGGACCAGAATTCCCCTCAACACCAGGAGTGGGAGTCAATGGCATCCGTGCATATGAGTCAGGCAAGGACATCCGGGGTTTATGAAATGCATCTGTTCTAGGAGGTGGTTTAGCAAACGGTTCACTATTTGCCACCGTTGAAGAAGGTTTCCCTGGCTGTTCTGCAAGGAGGGATGATCTTGTTACCCCCAAAGGTTTGGAGAACTGTTCTGTTCCCATTACAGGCCTGGGGGTATCTGGAGGTTTTGCATAAGGGTCGCTGCTGGCTGGAGACAAAGAACACGAATCTCTGACTGGTGATGGCCGGCTTCCAGTGGATTCAGATACCTGAGCTGGCCTGGATATGGGTGATGGAGGTGGACAGATATCCACCGATGTCACTGTGTTTCTTCTGATAAAGTTTTGATTTTGGTTAACAGGTGGTGGTCTGGGAGTTCCCACCATTTTTGCATATGGATCAACCGGAGAAGGTGGTCTAGAGGAGGTGCAGGGTGAAAAGGTTTGTTGTGATGAAGCCTGACAATGTGTCTCTTGAACAGGCCCTCTGTTTGGTGTCACAGGTGGAGGGGGAGCTTGTGGCTTTAGGAACACATTGGAGGAAGTAGGAGGAGTCCCAGTTGACGGTTTCGAATACAATGACTGTTGAGCAGGGGACATATTCCCATTGCCAGTCTGAGGGGTCAAAGGACTTTGCATGCCACTACTTGGTGTGTCTGAACCTGACTGGCTCAAAAGCTGCTGTGACCCAAGTTGTTGTTGCAATTGTTGCTGCTGCTGCTCATTTTTCACTTGCTCAAGTTTCTGAGTGGCTTCAATTTTAGCTTGCTGCTTACTCTTTTGACGCATTTGCTGTTTTAGGAGAGGAAGAGAAAAGTTCTGTTACTCCCTTAGAGAAGATTAAAGAAAAACAACATTTTAAAGGGCACATTTAACAACATCCACATAGATATACACAATAAAGAGGCTGATGGCTTATACAAATGTATATATCTACATAGATATACACAATAAAGAGGCTGATGGTTTATACAAATATATACCCAGAATCTGGAAAGTATAATCCTCTGAAGATGAGAAAGTATATCTAAATATGAAGAAGCATCTTCTATAAAAGGAGGGCTGAGAGCTTCATTTAAGGCTATAAATATTACTTTTTATTTATTTATTTATTTATTTATTTATTCGATTTTTACCCCACCCCTCTAGACAACGTCTACCTGCAACAGAAGCTACTTTTAAAGCTTCCATTCAGGGGCTGAAACTCTGTTGCCACAAATTACTCTGCATAAGCCTGATGACACAAGCAGCAGTGGGGATTTTTCAGAAATCTGTCCTGTAACTGCTTTCATTATCAGGGAGCCATGGAAGCTGTGGAATTCTTTAATTATCTAAAATCACTGCCATCAGTAAAGTCATCCCAGCAGCAACGATTTTTTTTTATAATTAAAGACTCCCATTCCCATTCCATGGCTCTCACGGCTTCCCAACAATGAAAGGGATTACACAGAAGGGTAGTTACCTGTAACTGTTTCTTTGAGTGATTATTCTGTGCATTCTCACATCTGGGTTAGCATGCCTATGTGGTACATCCAGATGTGTGGATCACAAAAGAAACAAAATAGAAGTCACAAGTGTTTAATTTCCAAAAAATCACAGCTGCTGCTGACATCATCAGCCTCATGCAGTATTAATTACAGCAACAGAATTTTACCCAGAGTTTCTTACATCACACAGGCAAGAGTATTATTACAGTTGCTGGGTAAGTAAGCTTGCTGGGCATGCAACCTCAAAGATGTATCTAGCTGGATTTAAATACCAAACTGAAGCATGAATTTTCTACTAGAAAACTTAAGCATCCCACAAATCCATCTCTTAATAGTTCAACGGCTCTCTGACACTTGGGTATCTTTAGCTATACACGTAGTACCTCACCAAGCAGGAGAAGTCTGAAGGGCCTTCAGGTATCTGCAGTGTTGGATTAAGAATTTGCTATCACTGCTTCTCAAACTAAGTCATATCTCTACTTAGCAAAGTAAGAACTCTCAGTCACAGTGATAATGCTGGGTGGACATCGGATGGAATCCTCCCGGTGATTTACGCATGTTAAGTGAAACTATGCAAGTGGTAGGGATGAGTTGCTACTAATTATTGAGATACTGGTCACATTACTGTTCACACAGCTGGACACTAGGAACCCAACTAGCATTTCAAGATGAATTTTGCTTGTGTATGTATAAATTGCAAATAGGATTCTATTTGCCATTATTAGGATCCTATACCCATTATTCTTTATTAGTTGTCTACATCTGCAGTACACAGAGCTTACACACTGAATTTGATAGTTTTCTGTCTCCTTTCCTGACAACTAGCTTTAATTAAGAACAGATATTTTTTTCTCAGCTGTACTCATCAGAAGTGGAGAACAAACACCAAATGCAACGTACCTGTCTAAATTTCCACTCTTGCTCATGCTCCGATTCTCTCTGCTTTAATGGGTCCTTGAAGAGCTCCGTGTCGATACGAGAACTTGGATCAATACTATCCTGTTGTTGCTGCCTCTTCATGGAATCATTAGACATCTGTACTTTGTTGATACGTAAGGCAGCTCTATTATCTCTTGCTTTTTGCTACACAAAAGATCAAACAAATGTAATTTGTCTTGCTTTCCACTAATAAATGCAAATGAAGCCCTTGATTATTACTGCCACACCATTTAATACATATTATTTTTTACACAATAAAAAAATTAAAGGTCACACAAACCTATCCTGCTACTTGAGAATTACCAGTTTTAACACAACTATAACATAAGGTAAATTTATAGCTATCAATTCATATGGACAACGTAACAGCCAAAATTTTAAAATATCAAAATATTAGAAAAATAGGAACAACAGTCTGTGTTTTATGCTAACAGCAAATTCTTCAAATCATTCAATGTCTGAATTTGTGAAATATATGAACTCAAAACTGAACTGCGTAAACACTGAAAAGAGGGAATAAAATCAGAAAATATGAAAACTGCTTTAGTAAGCAATAACAGGTCTTTTTAATCATTTAAAAATACTTTTATGCACTCATTTCTAGCTACTGTTCTTGATTTTATTTCTCCAAATGATCAACACAAGCTAGCTATCTATTAAACATTTGGTATGCAAAACGATAGTCACAAGAAAATAGATATACTCATTCAGTTCCCCAGAATGACTTAAAAAGTAAATTCAGGAAATCAGACAAGAAATGACTTTTTAAGACAAAATACACTTTTTATAATGTAAGTTATTTTAACTTACTTAACAGAAGCCAGTGAATTTTTAAAGGTTTAATTTAATACTCTAAAAATCATTACCACATATGGAGCTCGCTCTTGCGAACTTGCTTTTCTCCACAATTTAGCAATCTGCTTTACTCTTGTGGTCCAATCTGAAAATATGCAGAAAAAAGAAGCAATGTTTGTCATTTTCCAAAAATTAATAAGCAGTCTGTTATTTAGGAAGTACTACCTCCTTCAAGGTTAAGAAAATCTGAATTTTATGAGCTAAAATTAGTATCCAGCCAATCTGTAAAGCCAGATCTAATTCCACAATTCACATCATACCTGGGAATTCCTCCTTTAGATTTGGAAAATTGATGTTGGTGTACAAGACAGGCGCTACAGTGGCCATTTCCCCAAGTGCTTCTTCCTTCTCCCACTTCAGAGTGCTTCTCTGAGCATTAGACATGGTATCACCTTCGCCTTCCAGTGGGGCAGTGGATGGGACCCAAGAACCAGAGGGATTGTTCATTGCAGCATTAAATGCTGTGTTTTTGTCTCTGCCAATGCAAAATAAAATTGGAGTATTCACTTCCGTATCCAGAATGAAATCACCTCAAAAGCAGCTTGCTTTGGTTTATCTATGGTATTGGGCAGCATGGGCCAAAAGGCTGGCTTGCATCTTCTGGCTATTATGGTACTCACCACCGGAGTTCTTCATCACAGCCATTTCTGTATCAATAACAAGAGCTGCAGTACTGCTCTGACATTTGAAAAAGTCATTTCTGCATTCTCATTTTGTGAGTCAATCAGTGCCGCAGGAAACTCCTGGAGTCTCATTAATTCGAAACAAGGGATACACTCCCACGTCACCAAATGTCTGAAGCGTATTCTCTTGGTGGACTGTGGTAGCAAACAGCCCTCGACCTACAACAGTTACTCAATCCTGTTTTGCTGTCTGACTGGAAATGACGTTTAGAGAACCAAAATACATTACCTGAATTCAGCAAAGCTGGAATGCTATGTATTAAACACAGAACAATATTGCAGCGCAGTTTGTGATGTATTTAAAGTAAAGGTAAAGGTTCCCCTTGACATTTTTAGTCCAGTCGAGTCCGACTCTAGGGGGCGGCGCTCATCCCGCTTTCCAAGCCACAGAGCTAGCGCCTATCTGAAGACAGCTTCCGTTGTCACGTGGCCAGCGTGACTAAGGAATGCCGTTTTACCTTCCCACCAAGATGGTACCTATTTATCTACTCACATTTACATGTTTTCGAACTACTAGGTTGGCGAGGAGTTGGGACAAAGCGACGGGGGCTCACTCTGTTGCGTGGATTCGATCTTACGACTGCTGGTCTTCTGACCCTGCAGCACAGGCTTCTGCGGTTTAGCCCACAGTGCCACCACATCCTAAACCTTAAATGAATCGTCTTCCACAGAACTCACTGGACTCTGCTCGAAGTGATGGCCCGCACAGCAGTTTTCTGGGGTTGTGTATTTTTAGAGGATACCTATGAGGCAGCTACCTGGACTTCTCCTTGAAACTCTTCAAAGCATTCCAAAATGGTTTTGCAAAGAGTACTATGACAATTATTGGCCCACTGAGTTCCTCCAAAAGTTCTTGCTGTTGTTCTACAGCCTGCAGAATGCATTCCCAAGGATGCCTTCCCAAATATACAGGATGAAGGGAGGTTCAGTTACAGTGAGTTCTTGTCTTCTTTATCTTCTGGATGGCATTTCACCCACCCAGTTATTTCAACGGCCTTACGCTTTTACTGTCTTGCACACGAAACTATGAGTCAGTGTGTTATGAGCTTATTTGTCCCAATTTTTTCATACTGTTATTGTTATACTTTGGGGTAGGATAAATTGGAAAAAAATTCTCTGTCTTGCAATACTGTATCTTTCTGCACAGCAGATGCCTCTCTTTTCTTGACAATCAGCTGTGAGAGGTTGAGGAGTATTTCAGCATAATGTGGTTGTCTTGCTTTTTTCTAATCTTGTCTGGGAAAGCTATGTGGTTCCTTCCTTGAGTAAGAATCGGATCTGACTGAACCCTGCCTGTCATTGTCCTAACTTGAAGGTACAGAACCCCTCCAGATGGCACAGGAAAATCAGCATAGCAGGTTGAATATCCATTTAAATTACCTGATGTCTGTGTACGATGGCTGTGATATAGCAGAAAAACTGCCTAATCCACCTCCAGAAACCAAAGACGTATGAGGAAGATGTGGGTTTGGTCCAATCAGGCCATTCAAAAGTGGGACTCTTGAAAAGACATTTTCCTCTTTTTTAAAAAAAGGTAAAAATAAAGTGTTAAACAGGACTAGTTCTCCAAGGCGAATTTCTACTAACATATTTGAAAAAAAGAATAGCAGGACACAGTACCTATATAGAGCTTTAGAGCCTTTCACATTCATCAGTCAATAACTCTCTGGTTAATTATTCTGCAGCACTGAATCCAGGTCTCCTGAGATCTAATCCAACACTCTATTTATTATATTGGAATAAGTTCCATACTATAAAACAATATCATATCTAGAATGGTTAAGTATTTATTTTGACACAACCACATAAATTATTCTAGGGGAAATGCCTTGTGATCCTAATACAGAAACATTTATTTTGCAATAGCACATAACAACTGTAAAATCCCTTTCTCTGCTCAGAAAAACTCTGGCTAAAATCTGGTTGCTTCATTTAGTAAGTAAGGACTGAAGTAGGCCCACTGAATCAGTGGAACTTGTGGAGCTGTCTCACCAAACTTCCACTGACTCAATGGACTGGTTACAACTCACTATGCTAAGCGACGGGATTTCAGCCTATGAAACTGCTTACGCAATTTGGAAGCCATGCAAAAGCCCACAGCATGATGGACATAGTGTTACAGCTTGAATTTAATCAAGAAACTCTAAAGTCCCCATAAGATTGCTCCACATCCCACCTGTTAAGCTCATGGAGTGTAATGGTTAGAGTGTTGGACTAGAATTTAGGAGAACAAAGTTAAAACTCACTTAGCTTTAGCCATGAAATTCATTGGTGACCTCAGGACAGTCACACACTTTTAGCCTAAGCTAACTCACAAGGTTCTCGTAAAGATAATGCATAATGTATCAAATATATCCCCCTGAGCTCACTGGAAGAAAGGTGGGATTCAAACATAAGCCATGCGCAGTCTGTAAATAATGAGCCAAGACTGGGGTAACTTGTTTTGTTTTGGCGGCCAGTGGCAGATGGGACTGGCTTGAATTCACACTTGCTCTCTTTCTGCCTATGACTGCCACTCCCATCCATCATTTCGTTCATCTCTCCAGCCCCACCATTTATTACTCTATCTGTCAATGCCCCAAACTAATCCATTCATCCAATCGACCACCACCCATCGACAGAAAGTCATCACATCCTGGGGTCAGCAGGGATAGATCTGCAGCTCACTCAGCTTTCATGCTGACTGGGGTGGGAAGGAAAAGGCTTGTCCCTCTCCAGCCAACATGATAGTAGAGTACGTTGCTAAACCTGTTAACACCCTGCCCTTCCTAGCCAATCCTCCAGCATCTCTGCATCCTTCTTGTAAGCAGCATGCACTATAACTCTCCATAAAGGTGTCTTCAAAGACTTATTTCCATCTCAGAGGATGAAAGGAGGGTGGGACCAAGGAAGAGAAACTGGGCATCTGGGAGAGACTAGATCTGAGTACATGGCAAGCTGCCTCCAGCCTCTAGACCACCAGTTTCCTAGCCCTACACACTTAGGCAATGGCAGTCAGTGAGCCCATGACTCTTGCTCCTGTTAGAGCCAAGTAGCCACTCAATTCCAGACACTTTCAATATAAACAAAGGAGACTCTATTTCCTAAGCCTTTGGGGTCATTGTAATCTTCATTTCTTCAGAGAAACAGGCAAGTGAAACATGTACCCTTATTGAAAAATTGTTCAGTTGCTAAAAATAGTTAACAAGAAAAGGTAATAGCTGGTTAACATCTGATTCTCACGAAATGAGATGAAAATACCTGACCTAGGCCCATGTTGATGCCATTTGCCATACCATTATATCTGCAAACAAAATATTAAAACGAAAACCATACCTTGATTGTGTAAGTGCATTAATGGTGGTGGGGGTGGTGGGGGTTGTGGCAAAGGAGTTGACTGAGTAGTTGCAGGACTCAGCACGGCAGTAAAAAGGTCTTCAACATCCTTTCCTCCAAGCTCTGTAAAACACTAAATGTGAGTATACAGAAATGGTTGCATATAACAAGCCTCCTAAAAGGATATTATAAAGCAAGTGAACATACCTGGAATCTTGTACAGTTTATCAAGAATTGCACCTGGACAAAGTAAGAAGAACATGAATATTAGCCCTTATCATTCAGCCTATTTACATTACATTTACTGTGAAAGTCTGACCTCTTAACTTCAAGCACAAAACATATCTAAAAACACAATCAGGCTTCTGTATTTTAAAATAATGCATTCTTTACAACAGGGGTCCCCAATCCCCAGTCCACGGCCCACTACCGGTCCGTGGCCTTCACAGGACCAGGCCGCGGAGACAGATCTCCCAGCCCCCCCTGCACACACTCCCCCCGCACGCCCATGTGCATGCACGGCCCGCCCACCCACACTGCTGCCCTATCCACCTGCACATGGACACGACCGTGCCCCGCTCACACTCACCCATACATGCGTGTGAGCGCACCATGCCCACCATGAGCATGCCACACCCATCCACGAGCAGGGGTCTGCCCCCCACGCATGGAACCCACCCCCCAACCAGTCCACGGTTCAGAAAAGGTTGGGGACCACTACTTTACAAGGCAACAACTAAAGGTAGCTATTTACCGTCGGTGACCATCTGGTCTAGTTCGGGGCTCAGGATTCCATCTAACTGCTCTTCGCTAAGTGGCCGTGAATTCTGGCTGACACTTTGCAGCGGCAGAGAAGAGGGATCATCAGAAATTGCTCCAAGATCTAGACCCGCTGAAGAAAAAGAATGACTTTCATTAAAAGGTTTTGAATACTTTGAGATCAATAAAATGCTTAGACCAAAATCTCGAAGCACAATTTTCCAGAGTGTATCTAACAAACAGTTCCTTGTTTTACCCTTTTAAAGAAATAAAGCATGATGGAACCCGAATGTCCCTCAAGATGAACTTGAAGTGTAATCTTCTCCTCAGCCTCCAAGCATTAAATCTCAGTATAAATTTAAAAAACTGAAGGATTTTAAAAATAAAGGATGTCTTCAGAATGTCTATCAGGATATTTTAAAGCTAGAGAATCAAACAAGCAAGCAGGAGCTACCTTATGGAGACTGTTAAACCATCTCTTATTTCCAACTTACAGCTGCTTTCTCTGTTCTATAATATCTGTAATATTTTATAAGTGTAATAATTGTCCACCTTGACAGACACTGACTGCTTTCCCATAGATAACTCTTAGTATTTCTGTGATGGCTAAAGTCTCCCTGGCTTACAGGTTACCCCCTCTGGCTAGGGCCTGCAACTTCAGGGAACAAACTTCTCGATAGTCCCATTTCTGTGTTACAGAAGCATCCTCAATTTGTCTGTTATTTGCATTTTCATCTGCCACCACAAAGACCACAATGTTTGCACTCTTTGCATGTGAAGAAGTGGATTTTTCTCCACAAAACCTCAAAATGAACATCAATCTGTTAGACTTTGAAGTGCCATAATTATTTTGCCCCCCCCTTCCTTTTCCCTGCCTTTAATGTTGCCAACATATCTCTGGAGTGCTTACAGTCGCAAAATATTCATTAATTAAAAAAAATGACCTAGATATCCTATGTAACATTTGATATTACATTTTATAATTTTATACATCCTTCTCAGCTAGTAGGTTCCTTTTAAGCCAGGAAATTTTACTTCTGAGTAGACATGTATAGAATTGCACAATTTGATGATTTAGCAGATCTAATCCACTAGGTCAGGAAGACAGTCTCTGCGACCACAAGACCCTATAAACTACCACATTTTCCAGTGAAGGGAATTTGCTGAGAATAAATAGGATACGGTAGTGTGTTATTCTTTGGTGTTTCAACCCACCATTGGCCGTGGATCTGTTTAGATCCACTCACACATTATAATATGTTAGGGATTCCTGGGATCTGACTTACGAGGATGAGAACATGGCTGGTGCAGGCTGCCTAATAAGCCCCCAACTAAAGTGCCTAAACAGACCATGGATCTCTGCGGTTTGTTTGTTGTGCAATTTATGGAGTCAGTTCTACAGTTTATTTTCCTTGCAACAGGTCAGAGAAGTAACTCTAAGAAAAACTGGATTATTTCTGTGGCTTGTCAGGCAGGAGAGAGGCAAGACACAAAGCCAGTTCCTGTAGGGATTGCATGCCACAAAACCTGTAAACAAAGACATACTCTCATGGCAAATGGGAGCCTCCTCGCTCATCTGGACTCGTATCACTTTGTCGCCAATTTCATTTGCTTGGGAAAGCTAAGCAGGGTGGGGTGTGACTAGAATTTGTATAAGGAGATCATCCAGGTAGGGTTAGGAAATCATCCCATCTGAACCCCTGGAGAGCTGGTGCCTGTTAGACTATTGGTCCTGCTAGCCTAATCATCTGAGCTGAAAATGAGGGCCCTAAACCATATTAAAAAACCAAACAAGATTAATTTTCCAGGGCCAAATTAAAAACAAAACACATTTAAAAATTTACAACAAAGTAAGATAAGAAGTGCAAGTCTACCAATGTGACAGAAGGAGATGTAAGGCTTTCCATAACACACTTAAATAGTACAGAAGGAAGGAAACGGGTTACTGAGCACTGCAAAATGCAAACACAAGTGTGCACACGCACGCACGCACACACACATACCCAGGACATAGTTATGCACAATAATTAAAATTAAATTTATCAAAATCTACTAGGTGCACTGCACAAGCAGTAACATTACACAAGACTATGTACACAAAGATAGTGAAAATGAATTAGCATTTTAGTGACATGGTGGAAGAGTCAGGGCATTTTACATATAAGTATGTAAGTAAATAAATAAATAAGCAAGCAAGTTGAAACCACTAGGAAAGAAGACTACTTCTAACCACGGATCACCCACTGTATATATCCTTACCAAAAGGGGAGGATGAGTTCTCAACCTGGAAAGTGCATAAATCAAGACCTACAGGATCCAAACCAGATAAAATGGATGATTATAACAAGAAGTGGGAGGGAGAAGTGAAGAAAGCAAGAGAGAACAAAAAAGTGCATAACGCTGCATGCTGGAACAGTATATGAATATGACAGGCATCAACAGATTTTAAGATGTTGTCCCCATATCAATAAAGCAAAGTGGATAGTAAAATAAAGCACAGATGTATTGATCAAAAAGAGAGGAATTTTTCTTTGCTGAGGTATATGTAAGACATAACACATATAAATTACTAGTTTCATACATCTCTGAAGATAAAGAATGAATTTACAAATAATGACAAATTTATCAAAATCAACAAGAATTAGCATATACCTGAATGATCCCCAGATTTTACTAAATCATCAGAAAGAATTCCAAGAATATCATCACCGTTGTTCAGCATTAGAGCAGCTATTGGGTCATCAGAGATCCCTACAGAAAAACAATATTTTTCACTAAATTATTATAGCATAATTTGACATCAGAAAAAAAGCAATATTCAAAGACCAACAGCAGAGCTTTGTCGTTGACTTTAAGGGGACTATTCTTAAAAACAACAACAAAGGAAAAACTGAAGAGCAACATGAAACTGCTGAACTACATTCTTGTCAATTTGTTCAAGAATTATTGGCTATGCTTTGAACAATATGATTATATCAGCAGCATAGATGTGTCACTATTAACCACAGAAATGAATGTTGCCAGGGAATTTGAAGCCATGGATAGAAAAAAGGAAAACAACAAAACAAAACTCCCCCACCCAGAAAATCAGATTTGTGGGGGGAAAATGAGAAATACAAAATACTTAATTTGTTGCAGTCTATAAAAATTGAAAGCCACTTTAGTACTTCAGGGATATGAAAAATATTCATTTACTCAATCTTTGCATTTCTTTGACAAACAGCAATCAAGGCAATAAATAATAAATTACAAACAAGAGTAGAATTAAAACAATAAAACATATTATATCCAAATAAACAGCAGTTCACAAAGAGAGATTAGATATGGATATGAAAAGGCAGCATGGTAATGAGGCCTCTTCCACCAGCACTTTATTAATCCTTCCAAAATTCTTGCTTTCAACAACCTCAACCAGCCTACCACCACTTTCACAGCTCATGAAGCACAAGAAAAGATGTTGACGTGTGTACCTTGAGTCCCAGACTTTAATGGAGCTGGAGTGGAAGTTGAACTAAGAAGCGGATCTGAAGACGGATCTAAAAAGCTTGTGCTCAAATTTGCTTTGCATGAAATGTTAAGGCTTTCTTCACATAAATTATCCAGATTTGATTTATTTTGTCTACTGGTATCTAGAAGGTCTTTTCCAAAGAAGGCTTCCTGCAATCAAAAAAACACAAGACATTCTTCATGTTATGAGAAATCCTTTGCAGTCTGCAAGGCTCCTCCTCATTGAGTACTGGAACATAAATCCAAACATGTTCATCAGTTTATCAGTAATCCTTACTAGATGGAATATATTCTCTTCTTCATTTGTTGTAAAATGTCTATTGCTAAATCAAATTTACTACCTCTACTTCTGACCCAAAGGCTAGGATCCAAAGTGACTGAAACAAATGTCTTCTAATATTTAACTTATTGTGTTTTTAATTGTGTGGATTTTAATGCTGTGAGCCGCCTTGGATCCCTTGTAGGGAGAAATGTGGCATGCAAATAAAGCAACAACAACAACAACAACAACACTACCACTACCACCACCACCAACAACAAAAGTTTATTTAGTGTATGCAGATAACATATCATACATAGCAGTGACTATACCTGCAAGTATACTGGGAAGATTTCTTCAAGCTTATTTTTCTTTTTCCTGTAGCGTTTCTTGATTTTTTCTGTATTTTCAGAAACAGGAGTAGTTTCATCAGCTGGTGTATCTGGAAGTTGTTCACTCCAACCTAAAAAAAATGAACATTCTGTACATTATACTCCTACTATGGTCTTCATTTGAGGTACACTGAAAAGCACTTAATGTTGAATTAGCATATGCTTGTTTCCTCATTTACAAGCATAATAATCATAAAACTTGATAATACATAACTGCAGAAACAAAACAATCTGGTGAATAATACATGATGTTCTCTTAAAATCTATAGATTGATTGATTGATTAAACCTGTATATAGCACTGATTAGTGATAAATAGTACTCTAGGCAGTTTATCACTAATATTAATGGTATGTAAACAAAATTATAACAAAACCATGTTCTTATATTACTTGCAAAAATTATCCCAAAGAGCTACATTCAAGGAAGCTCTTTCCCCCCACTTGAGATGAATGTCCTATATTGCACACTTACATATGTAACATTCGGTAAAAAGGCTTTGCTCTCATTAGTGACAGATGTTATTGTTAAAAGAATAACATTTGTTGGTAAATTGAATTCCTTATATGGGCACATCACTTAGATGTTTTAGAGCCTCATCAATTCTAACTGTATGAACTCATTTTGATTAACTGGGTTATTACTTGTTTCTCACCAAGCAGTGTTAAAGAGTGAAAAGTACTATTCAATGAGTGAAATAATCTTAATGTATTTAGCACTTTCTCTGGTGTTAAGGAAATGTCTCCAGGGCATTAGACAGAAGATATTTTGTTTCCCCCCCTCTCTTTAAAGGGAAAGAAGGAGGGCCAAATAGGGTTTCTGGAGGAGTGCGGTGGTCATAGTGAGAATATAAACTATGCTAATTGATTTAAATCAAGTCCATCCTGAAGCAGATATTAAACAATGTGAACTTGACACAGTCAACCAAGTTAGTGGAAGAAGGAAAAATAACATCATACACAATGCTTCAAATTCAATATATGTTTATCTAAGTATGGAAGTGAGGCAGCTACTACAATGTGCAAAACTGGATCAGGTGACTTGGCAAGTACAAAACTTTCAAAACAATGCTTCAGGAATTACTCTTTATAAATGAATAACAATATTGAAAATACTGATGGAGGTAAACAGTAGCTAGTTCAATAAAGTGACATTATAATAAACTTTGTCAAGTTTCTTATATTCCTATATTGCAGTACATTCTGAGACAGTGAAAAACAAATATAAGACTGAATTTTGCATTAAATTAAGTCTGCAGTACTTGAGAGTCCCCTGGACTGCAAGGAGAACAAACCTATCAATTCTTAAGGAAATCAACCCTGAGTGCTCACTGGAAGAACAGATCCTGAAGCGGAGGCTCCAATACTTTGGCCATCTGATGAGAAGACTTCCTGGAAAAGACCCTGATGTTGGGAAAGTGTGAAGGCAAGAGGAAAAGGGGATGGCAGAGGACGAGATGGTTGGACAGTGTCACTGAAGTGACCAACATGAATTTGACCAAACTCTGGGAGGCAGTGGAAGGCACGAAGGCCTGGCGTGCTCTGGTCCATGGGGTCACGAAGAGACGGACATGCCTTAACGACTAAACAACAACAACTGCAGTACTTAATTAACTTCATCTTACTTTCTTCTCTGCTGGGAATCTGCTCAGACACAGAACCAGAAGAATCTTTCCTGGAAAGAGATCGTTTTGTCTTTCCCTGTCCAGTACGACTCCGCTGCCGAACCATGAATCCACCAATGCCTGTAAAAATATATCCACTTATTTATTATACAGCTTAAAGTTACTCGAGTTGAGAGAAACAAGCTGAAACTTTAGACACTTTGTAGGTACATCACCACTCAAATACAAAAACCTGGTGGGGTAATTTTAAATATTGAAATGGATGAGGGTATACATATGACATGCAACTGTAAGGAACTGTGAGTTATTAAAACAATGATGCATCAGCGACACATGTATAATACCGAGTGCCTATGATTTGTAATATTTTATGTATCTATTTCTGGCATGTCATGTAAATGATTCTAAAAGTCAGGATCTGGAAAAAAGAACTACCCTTATTCTTTCACACAAGGAAATCTTGAATGCTTCATGGCTGACTATTATAGAAATATGACAGATTTATTCTGGTGAGCTACTGCCACATATTTTAGAGAACCTTGGACCTGAGGTTAGGTCAGACAGAAGTATCAGACACAGGCACTGATGTCCATTGAAAGTTAAATGGAGATAACAATTACAGTATTTATTTATTTACTTATTTATTTAGTTTATTACATTTATGGCCCACCTTTCCACTCAGAAATAGTGTTCAAAGTGGCTTACAAACTTTTTAAAAGAATAAAAACAGATAAACCCACATTTACTTTTTAAAAAAGTAATAAAATTATATAAACCTTCCCCATCATAAAACTATTAATTCACACAAAATGCATTAAAAACAATTAAAATCAAAGGATTCAGCTAAAACAATACCAAGGCAGGCTAAACAGCTGGCTTGATAGTGGTTTAGATATCTGGCTATGGAGCCAAAATTCTCAGAGCGGTTAACATAAAAAAAATAGGAAAATAACAACTTCAATGCACAATAAAAGCAAAGACTGGGGGAAAGGTTTAGGAAAAAGCAACTTGCTGACTAGATAGCTCAAGAGTTAGGTATATGGCTAAGGAAATAGAGGTTGAGAGTTCAATTCCCCACTGTGCCTCCTCTACAAGTAGAGCCAGCCTGTGTGGTCCTGAGCAAGCTGCACAGGTCCCAAGATGCCTCAAGAAGAATGGTAAACCACTTCTGAGTGGTCCCTATCTGGAAAACCCTGAAAAAGAGTCACCATAAATGAGAATTGACTTGGTGGCACATGATTATTATTAAACTGCATATGCCAGTCTACAAATATGTTCCTGCTACAGTACCTTCTTAATATCAGTTCAGAGGTGGAACAGTTAACAATTTAGATGAGAGTGCATTCTATAGTTTGGGGGGTGACACAAGAAAATGACCTCTCCTGCATGCACCCTTGTTAGAAAAGGGTTCTGTGACTGCTGGTATTTTAAGAGGTCCTCTTCTGAAGAGATTAGAGTCTGGACAGGCTCATAACAAGATGAGCAGTTCCTCAGATAGACAGGCCCCAAGTGATTCCAGGCTTTCAGGGTTAAAACCAAAAACCTTGAATTGGGCCTGGTAAAGAAATTGCAAGCAGTGCAGGTCTTTCAGTATGGAGATCATATGATCACAACACCATGAACTAGTTAGCAGCCTACCTGTTCCACAATGTAATGGCTGAAGATCCCAGCACTTCTTTAAGGGCAGAGCCATGCAGAGCACATAGCAATAGTTAAATATCATATAACTAAGTGGTGGATGACTGCTGTAAAGGAGGTCAGTTCAAGAAAGATCATAGTTGGTGCATTAAGAGGAGTTATGAAAAAGGATGTCTTATCTACATGGCCACCTAGGAGTCCAGCAACAGTGCCAAGTCAAGGAGCACTTCCAGACTACAAATCTGGCCTCTGGGGGGGAAAACAACTCCTTCTAGAACAGGTTGACCTCCAGTTCCTGAGTCTGACTTATTGACCAGTAACACCTGTATAAGACTGATACAAATGGTGTGCTGGGTAGATTTGACAGCTTTCATGTAATGAGGATTCTTTGCCAAGTAACAGTAGGGACATTTCAGATTTAATTTGACCTTCATTTCTACAATCTTGTTTCCCAGATGTAAAGAAAAAGGAAAACATTCTTATCAAGCAAGATGAAAGAGCTCCTAATGGGGACACCTGGGTAGAGCACTGATAACTAACAGGTTTTAGGAAAACCAGGTGCTCATAAACTTGCTCATGTGAGAGCAGGAAAAATGTAGTGATGAACCTAGCAAACTATAGCTGAGATAATCCAGCTTTGAACCAAACTCTGGATGAGGTCTTCTCCTTTTAACACCATAGGAACTTTCGAAATGACAGCCCTGTTAGACTGTTCCAGAATATATAAAATCAAAGCCAGTAATAGGGACAAGGTAAAAATTGGAATGGAATATAATGGAATGAAATGGGCCAGAATGAGCAACTGACAATATAACTTGATACCAAAACCATAGGGAAACCGTGGACACACATCAGAACAATGTTTTAGTAATCTAGCCCATCAAATTTGCTCTTCTATTAACAATCCAATGCCTCAAAACCATCCACAGCAGAACAGAACGGCCTGGAATAGCAGCTTTGGAACAGAACAGAACAAACAATTGGAACGTGGTCCTTGCAGAGGTTCAGTAAGTTTGTTGCATCACTCCCCTCTAATGATGTGTCCCTCGTGGATTTGGTTGGCTTGTTCTACTCAGAAAAGCAATACCTTTATTTTTGTTTCACTTTTTGTCACTTGTTTTGTCAAAATGCTATATTGAATAATTAAAAAAACTGCTTAAAGTATCATCTTGAGTTTTTGTGTGGCAACCTCCTTCGTGTAGAAATACCACTTTTCTGGAATGTGTAATGGATCCGTAGAAAGAAAAGCAGAAGGTCACTTCATGTAAGAAAAATCTATTTGTATTTATTGTTATGTGCTGTCAAGCCAGAACCAAATTATAACGACCCTAACAGGATTTTCTAGGTAAGTGAGATATTTCAGGAGTGGTTTTACCTGTTCTGCTCCCCCAGTCAGTGTCTCTGGCTATGCGGGCATTCTCCAGAGTCCTAATCTGTCACTCCTATGCACTGCACCACACTGGGAAGCCATTTATCTTTAGGCTCAATCAATTCTTTATCCATGGCAAACACAGTAGTTACCTGGTTGCGCTTAGATTTTCTATTCAATAAAACGGTGAACCAGAAATTGAAGAAATGAGTTCTTGAAGAGAATAGTAAGTATGTCTCATGAAACATCTACCAGAAAATAATGGCCAAAATCCTGTTGGGAAACTGTTAAAGTTTTTGCTGTCACTTAATGCAGTTGACCATGTGCATGATCATGTGCCCAACTATGCATCTAGCATGCAGCTGACACATGCCAGACAACTTCTCAATTAGTCATAATTAGGTGCCACTAGTTCTGTGATTCCTCTTGCATGCATGTAAATATCGAGTATATTTTGGCCAATGAAGCCAAGGACAGTTTCTTAAACCTACTGATAAGACTCCCCTAAGATGTTAACATAAACCCAGAAGTCTAATTATCTCAGTGGTAGACACTTCCAAAGATAGAGGCTACTGTTAAAGATTTGATGTCTGCTACTGAGGCAAGGTTCTTTCTAATGGTTGATTTATCACACTCAATTGAAACAGCCAGAAAGAACACAGGGCAGCTGAAGGGGCATATGCTTCAGGTATAGTCAGATGGTCAGATAACACAACCTATTTGAGAGCTTATTAATGATGTGAGCCTTCTTGAAGAACTTGTCTTACAAATGAGGCGGGAAAAGGTGTTTTTTGAACAGATCAATTCAAGAATGCGTCACAAGGAAGGACCTAAGATTGCCTGGTTTTAGAAACCTGCAGCAGGAAGATGATTTACTATGTGGCACTTCATGATATTCTGGAGTAAACATCTATTCTCTCTGTCACTTGAATCACAACAAACTGAATTTTAGGAGCAATCTAACACAGGGCTGAGAGTATAGCTATGGTAGCGCAAAAACAAACTAATTCTATTTTCCACAGTTGTAAGCAGCAGTGGCACCTGCATCTGTGAGAGAAAATAGGGGCCTGCTACACTCCACCCTGCCACTTCTGTGTGAAAAAAAGGTAACAGTAGTAAAGTGCATTATACTATAAGTGACAAGATCGTCTTCTGTTCAGTACTGCTATCTCTTGGAAGAAAAGAATTAAAGCTACACTAGAATGGGATTCTCCTATCAGGAAAAGAATATTTTCAACTTCCTTGGATGAAGTACTACAATGAGACAAACACATCCACATCCTTCTATCTATAAGGAAAGGGGAATGGAAGAAAAATCAAGAGAGAAAAAAGGAATAAAAAACAAAAGCAACAGGACCAAGAATAGGGCAGATAAAACAGAGGGGCAGATCAAAACTCTATCCCAGTCATAAGGAGACAGAGGACTGATCCTTCCTTCTCAGATATCATTTCTAACTTTCTGCCTCCAGTGCCCAAATGAAAAGAATCTGCTGCTTCTGTAGTATCTTTTCATTCATATCTAGACTAACAAAGACACATCAAACTGACTCCAGCCATATTAACATGACGTTCCAAAAGCACTTGACACTAGCAGTCACAAGCATGCTTGAATTAAAAAAAACATTTACACTTTTCCCCTAGAAGGTAATGAGCCTGCTTCCAAAAGCAGGCACCGCTAAGAATGCTTCCTTAGGACTGCCTAGAGAACTAATATGATTTTGCGAAAGCTGAGTATCCATAACTGCTGCTAGAAAAATGTAGCTTCACCAGCAGGCTTTCACCAGCCTGGAATGAAAATTCAGCTAATGGCATCTATATCCACTGAAAAAGAAGAAAAATGTGCTGTCTTTTCAATTCTAGCTGTACTGTCAAGACAAGTGTTCCCAAGGAATGATGAAGTTCTCTTCCAGAGGGAGACTATCCAGATTTCCTGTTAGGTTGTCTGATACCTGAAACAGTTCCACTTTGGAAATTTTTGTACATGCTCTCATAGCAGAACAGAAGGCTCTATAAACTGTACTGTAAAGATATTTGCTTTAATAAAAGTTAAAAGTGCTGTTAGAAGAAAATTGCAAGCAGAGGACACTCTTAAAGGAAATCCCCCACTCAATGAGAAATCTTCAATCTTATATGGCGGAACTATTCAAATATACCTAATTAGAACAGCAGGTCAGCATTTTAACTGGTTTAGCCACTGAATGGCAAACTTTAACTGAATTTTACCACTTAGCAACATGCTGAATGATTGGTTTCTTGTTTCTCAACTCTAGAATACACATGTAATAATAATCAGGCAGTAAATTAAATGGTAACACACTTAGAGGAAGATGTGGCTTAAAGAAAAAGAATTTTTTTTGAACAACAATTAGGTAACCTATCCGGGAAGTTAAATTATTATTTACATATAGTCATTAAACATAAACCTAATAAAGACACAAATATCTTGATCATATACTCTACCGGGTCTGTATGGCTTTCTCTTTCTCTTTTTGATTGCCTCGGGTCCTTCTACCCCCTTTGGATCCTCATCTGCTGGTTCTCGTTCAGGGCTTGTGTCTGATTTCCCTTCACAGTCCATGAGATCTCCTTCTGAACATGTTTTTTTTTTAAAAAAAAGAATAATTATAAAATAGAGTGGAGTTATGATTGTTTGTTTATCCTTCTACCTCACCTCTTAATCTAATGACTCTCCAGGAAGCTACTACATATATAAATGAGGACACTAAAACCACACAAAAGCTTAACATAGAGAAAAACATAGCGGAGCAACAATAAATAGACTTCCACCTTCCAACACTAAAGCCAATTATCACAGAAAATCAGAGAAAATAAACCCAATTAGAAAGGTCAAAGTACCCTTTTAATGGGTTGGCAGTTAGGATAGATAATATCAGAGAAAATAAACCCAATTAGAAAGGTACTCATGCATGTGCAGGTAATGGGGAAGAGTGGCACATGTGGAAAGACAATGCCACAAGAGTGGCACACATGGGGAAAAACCATGCTCCACAGTATCCCACCCTGTACTTTAGGAGATGTAGTATGCAGAGCCTGCAAACGTCTTTAATTTTCAGGCAAACTCAAAAAGAATAATAAAAAAGGACACACACCCCCACATCCTAACACACTGTAAAAGAAAGCAGGTTATCATTCAGAGAGTATAGAGAAACATGTCTTCTTGTGTGACATTCCAGGTAAGACCAAAACATATTTTCTTATGTCTCAAGCATCCTTCTATCCCAAAGATATACACAGTGTATTTCCTCTTTCATATGCCTATACATCTCCCTTTCAACTGGCTCTTTGGGTTTTCTTTTGTCAAAGTACAACTGGCCTTTGACTCCTGAACTCAGTCTCCTTAATTATTTTGGCTTGAGAAAGCCCCTTCTCGTGTCTAGGTATCCCATAGCTCTCTTTCCCTCTCTCTGCTCTAGAGATTTTAACCAAGTTGCTCACTTTTCTTGGACTTGTAACTTGAGAATGGTCCAGGAGACAACCCGCTCCTGCAAGGCTTTAAGTGTCCTCTTGCCATCCTCACCTCTTGGCTCAGCAAAGCCTTGTTGTACATTTGGAGTGCCGGCATTCAAACCTACTTTTGAAGTTAGCCTGACCTCTCCCCCTCTGTCCGACATGCTTCTAAGAGAACACAAGGAAGGCTGAGCGTTCTGTCTCAACATCACTCCCTCTTTTTTCATATCATTTTTATCTCTGGTGCACTTTGCCAGGAAGCTTCAAATACCCCCCCCCCCCCTTTCAAGGATGCTGAAGGATCAGTATTCCACAGCTGTAGGTACCCTATGAAGACACTCTGTGACCTAGATAAAAATTCTCAACATTACCTATGTTGTGCTCTTATGTATTTGGCAAATACAATACTTGCTGGGTCAGCCTATCCTCTGGAACACTGGCGTTCACTGTTGAGTGAACAGACTCCACTATCATTAGAGTACACTACTCTCAATCATTCATATTCTATAAAAGCTTTTTCCCAAAACATGTTCCAATGTATACAGGCATACATCCAAACAAGTGTGGGCTAAATTAACACTTATTTTATTTCATTTCTAATCTGCTTTTCTACTAACAGAATAGTACTAAAGGCAGCTTACAAACATTACAGAAAATGAATGAAAAGCAACTCAAATACAAATCAAACAATAAAACATTTAAATTATCTATCCTAACTGTCAATCCAATAAAAGGGTACTTTGACAAGACCTCACACTTTCCCAAAAAGCAGTGAGATTGGAAACTGATTGCAACTCTGAGGGAAGCGTATCCCACAACCTGGGAACAATGTTGGACAAAGCCCTCTTCCCATGGGAAAGGAAGATGTGCTTTACGTAAGAGTTAATATCCTCCATAGGGCCCCTCCTAAAGATCTTACTACTGTATCCAGACAGATTTATAATGAGACTAGATAACCAGATCCTAAGTTGCTTTTGTCTTTAAAGATCCCGGAAGACACAGAATATTAATATAGATTACATTAGCTGGGAAAGTATAAAGTGGCAATAGATTGTATACTGGTGTGTTTGAGCTCTTATCTCACAACATCTCACTGAGTTCCAAAACATCTCAACTATGAAAATTCCAACAGGAGATATACCCTAAAACTCATGGTCCTCTATGCGCTGTTTCTATTGTTAACACTGAAATATACGACAGAACACTTACCTCTGCTGTCATCCATCTCGCCATCCCTTGAATGTTCTGACTGGATATCAGGAGGGGTCTGGAGTACAGCCACACTATTCTGGTTTATAATCTTCAGCTTAAGCTTTGGCTTTGTCCTTTTTCTTCTCGGTACAACTGCACTGAGACTCTGTAACTGAGACATTCCTGTTTCTGTCAAACAGACTCCATCCTGAGTGTATGTCTTCGGTGGGTCTATGAAATTTGCATGAGCCATGAGAGGAATACACAGTTTTAATAATTTCGCTTATATACCTTTGTACACCCTTACAAACAAACCCACATACATGGAGTAGTTTTTTTTTTGTTGTTGTTGCTGTTGGTTGGCTGGCTGGTTACCCATCTTAAGGAAATTAACAATCAACACACCACAAATTGTTATCCATTCCAACACGACTGCAAAAGAGGATCGAGCTCAATTATTTCAGAAGCAAATTTACAGTGTTTTAGGAAAAAGCAAGACCTTGCTATTTAAATGTAATTTCTTCCTCTCCAGTTGCAAAACTGACTTCCTGAGTGCCTGCTGCAGATATCTGTATGTATTATTAACTATTTTGACTCTGCATAGATTCTCTCCATACTAGGCCAAAGGACAAAAACACAAAACTTGTACTATAAACTAATTGTGGCAGTTCTTGAATTATGCGGGAAAGAGTAGAGAATTAATGGAATCCAGAAGCCACACTCTATGAATCACCACAATTTTAGCCCAATCATACAACCTCTCTTCCTAAGGAGGAAATCACAAACATTTTTTCTAGACTTCATGTAAAACTCCAGTAATGTTAAAAACTCATTTAAAGCTCATTTAGGAGGTTGCTTAAATAAAAAATCTGTTCAATTTTAAAGAATACTTTCATATTTATTCAGCAAGGAAGCAAGCATTTCAAAGAGAAGGGGAAATAAAGCAAAAAATAGAGTGATAAAAAAGAAACCACACTTAGAAATAATTAAGGGATATGTTGATAGTACAAGATGCAGATATAGTACAATATCAATTAAATATCCATGCAAATGAAATTAAGAGGATTTTAAAAAAAAGTTACCAAGTTCCTTTATCTTTGTTATGATTGGAGCTGCAACTGATGATTCACAGCATTCAGATGAAGGCACTGAAAAAACACAACAAAGAGATAGAAATATTTTAAACTAACTGAAAAAATTGCACTTAGAAGTCACTTTCATTTAAAACTCTGTAACCTCAACATTTAATGATGATAAATTTGCTTATCCTCTGCTATTTCCATGCCCATTAATCCAGACATGACTGAAATGCATTTTTTATTTTCGCACATTTTAATTTCGAGATTAACCATATTTCCATTTGGCATAAACTCATCTTTTTGTGAACTGGCACAAGGAGACCAGTGGATTAAAAGTAATAAATACGCAATAATTAAATATCAGGGACAATGGGATTTCTGGGAGCAATAAGCACAGGCCACAGAAAACCTGGTACACCAGAATCCCTCCTGGAACAAAATAATTTACACCCCAACCTTGTGCATGTATATTTTGGAAGCACATTTCCAAGTTACATCATGTTGTTAAGTGCTTAAGACCCACTGATTCAAGTGAACCTCTTAAATCAGCCTTTTTTTGCCTCAGGCATTCTGTACTTTGGGGGGAGATGTAAGGTCTGGGGTAGGCACAGTGCCTTCCAACAATAAAAATGTAACCACTTTTCTCTTTATAACTGCCTTTTTGGGGGGAGGGGTCAGGAGTGCCCCCTGACAAGAGCTGGAGTGTGGAGCTTTGTGCAAGCTCCATAAGTGCCCCCTGACAAGAGCTGGAGTGTGGACCTCTGTGCAAGCTCCATAGACCTAGAGTGTCTTTCACTCTTTCCTCATAGGGCTTGAGTTCCATTCCTCTAATCATCCTTGCTGCCCTCTTGTGAACTTGTTCCCATTTGTCTGCATCCTTCTTGAGTACTCAAGATGCAGTCTAACCACTGCCGAATAACTGAGAACTACCGTTTAATGAGAGTTGGAGACTATTCTTCCTTCTCAAAGAAAAGGCAGAAATGCTCAGTTCTGACTTTAGCTCACAATTTTCCCAAAAGACTGTCTATGACAGGATTGCAGCTTGAGAATGATCAACAAATAGTCAAGGAACACCTTATTACTTTAAATGAGATCAGACCTCCAGGGCCTGATGAACCGCATCCAAGAGTACTGAAAAAAATTGGCTGAAGAACTCTCAGATTTTGACAAAGTGCCCCATGATATTCTGATTAGCAGTCTAATTAGATGTAGGCAGAAAAAAGCAACTACCTTTCTCATGGGATTTGTTAATGCAGCCTAAAATAGCATTTGCCATTTTTTGCCACCACATTGCACTGTTGGCTCATATTCAGCTTGTGGTCCACAATAATTCCAAGATCCTTCTTGCATGTAGTATTACCTAACCAAGTATCTCACATCTTGTACCTGTACATCTGTCCCAAAATTCCTGGGGGGAACCTTGCACTTATTCCTATTAAATTTCATATTGCTGTTTTCTGCCTGGTGCTCAAGCCCATCAAGATCTTCTGAATTTTGTTCCTCTCTTCTAGGTATTAGCTACTCCAGCCAATTTTGTGTCATCCACAAATCTGATAACGATTCCTTGCACCCCCTCATCTGAATCATTAATAAAATGTTGAGAAGACTGGACTCACTTGTTATCTATTCCCAGTCTGAGAAGGAGCTATTGATAAGCACTCACTCTCTGAGTACTATTCTATAACCAACTGTGTATTCACCTGGCAGTTTTTCTATTCAGCCCACACGTAATTAGCTTGCTAATTAGAATATTGTATCATGAGACATTTTGTTAAATGTTTTGCTGAAGTCAAGATATATTATATCTACAGCATTCCCACCTTTTACCAGGGAAGTTACTCAATTTTAAAAAATGAGACAATATTAGTCTGGGAGGGAATTATGCTTGTCCTGCATAAAGTCCAAGGATGATTTCATCATATTTCAAAACTCTTGATGTCTGTTTTGCAGCTATTTCCCACTCATGCACACTGCCTTCTCTGATATAATTCTCCAATATTCAAGAAGATACAAAATCCACTGGGGATAGAAATTTAACCAAGATTGGTTGTTGTGGGTTTTTCGGGCCCTTCGGCCATGTTCTGAAGGTTGTTCTTCCTGACATTTTGCCAGTCTCTGTGGCCGGCATCGTCAGAGGACAGGAGTAGGAACTCTGTCCATGCTCTGTTGCTGTTTGTTGGATAGTTGAATATTTAGTGCCTTGAAAGCCTTCGAGAATACATTAACCAAGTTTGTTTATAAACTATTTTATTGCCTACTACTGATTTTGTGGTTCTAAAATGCAAGATAGTTTCTGTCTCTGCAATTAATATCACATCTACCAATGAAGACAAGACTTTTTTCCAAAACCAGCTGCCGCAACGCTAAACACTTCACAGGCAATTTACCATTTGCTGGTAGCACATACGGCCTACACATGGTGCAGTCAAAACCACTGTCAGCTGTGCTTTCTACCTCCTCTTCTGTGTTTAAGTTTTGACAGGCTGTGTGCATCCATCTGCAAGTTAAAGAGAAAGGGGTGGGAGAATTAGCTGAAATATGTACAGTTTCATACCACAACAGCATTAAGACTTTTTTTATATTACAAGTGAACGTACAGTGCATCCACTGTCTTAACAGCTGCCTTTTAAAAGTTAATGGTACAATTAGCTCCAAGATAGTTCAAAAAATTAACCATTCACCATCTTTGAGAAGGATTATTGAGCAGGTTTTTAGTGTACTGCCCCAGGAACCCTTGAATAAAACAGAATTTCAAATTCTATTTCAACTGAACAACAGGACTGAATTTTAGCACTGCAACTGCTTTGCATGTCTGGAAAGATTATAGTTAAGAACTACCATGTGTTTTCATTTTCCAATATTAACTAGGGATTTCTCTTTAAAGAAACTCTTTGCATCAGAAAGCACAATTCCATGCTATTTGGTGGGAAATAGACTACAATCAAGAAGCGTGGGACTAAACTCAAGAAAGCATTCTAGTGCATTAAACCAATATATATGACACCATACACTATGGACAAAATGAATGAGGTATGAAAAATAAAATTCGCCATGCAGCAGAAACTCTGACCTGTCACACTGCCTGCACTGCAGAATGAGTTCTTCTTCCCTATAATTGCAACAGCAGATGGGGCAGGTAGATAAACTTGCACAAGGAGCACACTGTGTGTAATTATTTTGCCATTCACATCTTAAACCAGGAGACGTAGCTCCACAATGTCTGCACCAAACACACCTGCAAAACACAAAGCAAGTCACATATTTTATTATTTATTTACTTACCAAGGAATTACATTTCTGTATTACTCTAGAGCCCACATCTCTGTGTACTTCATACAACACAGAGACACCCCCCTCTAAATACAACAGTGAAACTGCGGTAAAACCAAGAGTAGAGACCCATGGTGGTGCTATTGAAATCTAGAACTAAAATGCCCCACAGGGTTTTTCAAAAGTGTTCATCTGGTGCCAAGGTGAGCCTCTCTGGCAAAGGAGTGCCTCGCTATGGGAGAGGCCTTGTTTCTTTAAGCATCACTTGCCTCATTTCATTTGGCAAATTTTAAAAATGCTTTCACAGTGAACAGTATGTAGAATCAGGACGCACATACCACTTGCATTTCCAACCTCCTTTGGGAACTGTCTGCAACGGCGGATCTAGGCAGTAAGTGTGATAGCTGATATCACAGTCATCACAAAGAAGCAGTCTTCCTGGATCTGTAGCCTTCCCGCAGGCTTCACACACAGTACACTCCAGGCACCTCCAGCCTTTGTGAAGCACCACTTTTGTAATCTGCACAGTGGGAGACGGCAGGTAATTATTCACAGTACCAACATATTTGTCTCTATCTTTCAACAACACTTTTAATAAATTATTGTGATGCCCACGCTCATGTTCTTTAAGGGAAATATGGTCTTAATTTGGGAGAAGACAAAAGTCTTTTTAAAGACATCCTCAGAAGATATGCAGCCCCTACTGCACAAGATTTATTGGCTGTGCATTTCTCTTCTATTCAATGAAAGATGCTATTCCTGCAAAAATATGATAGTCCTAGAAATCTCTCCTTCACAGAAGTATAGCAACCATCAAGCAACAGGACAACACTGATTCCCAGTCCCTTCCCTTAATAAGAAATACTTCATAATTTTAAATACGTATTGGTTTCCAGTGATCACTCACTAAGAGTGTTATTTATGAACCAGAAAAATACTAGAATGATTCTTCCATTCACTACCAGTGACTACAGAAATAGTACACTGGTGCTCAACAAGTGGAAACAGAGTTTTGCCTTGCAGTGATTCTCTGATTCCCTTCATGATGCATTATAAATGTTGGAGGAGTCTTTCACACTGTCATGTATATTAAAAGCTGCTTTACACATTGGTCCATCGTGCAGTGCTGGCAACACAGGGTTTCAAAACAGTATGGTTTTCATGGTTCTTTCTTAGTCCAACCTCAAGTGCCTCAGAATGAACCTGGAACTTTCTCTACAGTGCTCTGAATCTCAGTTTCAGAGAAAGGCTGGCTACACATCAAACAAGTAAATAATGCCATTGATGCTGGAGCCAGACATTTCCAACACTCCCTATTAAAGGTAGCCAGCACAGAACTCCTCCAAACAATTTAATGAGGATTAAAACGGCATTTCCCCCCCAGAATGGTTGAAATAATAAAGTTACCCTTCAAGCTGAAACAGTAAAAGCAATATCAGCTGCTGTCTATATATTAAAACTGAAATCCTAAGTAATTCATGTTAACCAATCTTGCCCCTAATATTAAAGACTAATCTGATGTTAAGTATCTTTTCTTTCTTTTATATATAAATTATGTTCATCTAAGACTGTCTACATCATAAAGCATATGTGGAGTTTATATTAAGTGCTAAAGTACATGAGGAAAAATCACTTAAATAATTGCTCTTTTAAAACAAGAAAGACAAGTTATAGTTTATACACTGCAGCAAATAGCTTATTATCTGTGCATAAGTCAATTCATAACTATCCAAATTTAATTTTCACACATTCTCTCTCAGCCTAATGAATGTAAAACATTAATTAACTACTCTACTTGCTGTCAAATCTGACAGCCAACAGACAAACTGAATTAATTGAACCTTATTGCCTCCATGAAGAGTATAAATTTTTCCATGGAAAAAATTCTGCTATGTACCTTAATACATGGTTCATGTCTAGCTTAATATCTATCTATAGCTTAATACCTTCTTTGAACCAATTGCAAAATAATTGGTGCTATTTATGGCTGCAAAATTACAGAAAGGTTAATTTCTCTTACACCTCTAAAATGTCACTGAATTCAAGTGCTTTGCAAGTGGCATACAAATGGTCACATTTACAAAGGAGTATTTAAGAAGCTAACAAGGTTCTCTAATTGTGTAAAAAGTGGAACCAATGAGGTTTACATAGAGCATGCATATACGTGCAATATGTCCTACAAGAAGCATTTAAAACACTTACCTTAATACTGACACAGTAGGGATGGTAACACTGACCACACTGAGAGCAGGAAAGTAATCGGCCTTCTGCACCTTGGCCAAAACTTCCACAAACGACACACATATCCTAAATAGCAGACACGTTATTTTTTGATGACCTCCCATGTAAAATGGACAAAGAAAGAGCTCTAGCATATATAGTGCCCATACACAGATATCTTACTCTTTTTCTAGTATTCCTTGTGTTTCTTCAGAAAGGAAGATTTATAGGTACCTACAGTAACAGGTATCTCATATTTCCATAATGAAGGATGCCAGTAAAACTACTTCAAACATTTTTGTAAGGAAAGACAGTCTCTACTTTATAGTAATTAAAATTCTACAGGATGACTAAATAAAAATAGATATAAAACATCTTTAGCCCCTTTCATTAATAATTTATAGATTAAACATTCAAAATGGCTACTTAAAGAGAGGTGTTTGCTACTTTCTGAAAAAGAATGTCAGAATTAGGGAAATATCACCATTGATAAAGCCTTGCATAGTATCTTGGTACATATAGAACCTTGTGGCACAGTGGTTAGGCTGCTGTATTGCAGCCAAAACTGTGTTCATGGCCTGGGGTTCAATCAACCTTCCATCCTCCCAAGTCGGTATAGTGAGTACCCAGCTCATGGGGGTGGTGGCAATGTTAGTCTGCATAATTAACTTGTAAACCATCCAGATAGTATTTTAAGTGCTATGGGGCTGTTTATAAGCAGCACACTTTGCTTTGCTTTCCCCCAACATGATGAGATAAAGAAGGCGGTTCAGAAGGAGGTTCCTATCTAGAAATATGTGTCTGAGTGTTCATCCCATTGAAAACAATGATGTGAAAATAGACAGGATCAGCACTCAGGTTTTCCTTTTATCATATATCTAATTTAAGCTACACTTCCTGACCCAGTCAGGGCCAGCTCCTGCACAAGATACATGCACTACATCTCCCCCCCCCCGACTTCATCCATCCTACAAAAATCATAAAGGTTTGTGATTTTTTCCCCTCTAAAGAAGGATTAACACATTTTATTTAGTATTTCAATTCCCTTCTAAAGTTGAGCTTTACCTCTATAGATACCTAAAGGCCTCTCGCACCTTGAATTGTGCTCAGAGATTAAATAGCAGCCAGAGTAAAAATAGCAATCAGTATAATTACAGATGATAAATCAGTGGTCTTATGTGTACTCTGTGACAAGCCTGAAAGGAGGACACAAGCCATATGGTGCACTTCCTGTTGGCACCCTACAGCTAGTATTTTTCTGTCTCAGCCAGGACAGTTTATCTACAGTGTGTGTTCACATTTAATTTCTAAGTTTCCTAAAACACTAACAGATTTCATTATTTAAGCACCACCATTTTCTGCCTTCAGCAGCTCCCTTTATTTTTGACTGGTGTTGCCCTGACTGCGCTAGCAGAAACATCAGAACTGGACAGATCAAATAAAACAATGGAACTGAATATTCCCCATATTCTAAACCTGCTGGAGAAGAAATACAAAACAATGATTTTCACTGCAAAACAAATATGAATAAATGTTGCAACCTGGTGCAAAGTAAACTTGTCACTGCTCGAAAACAGAACAACAGTGTTGTGCATGGAGTTTTCTTCCTCATCTTTGTTGGATGAACTGTCCATATCTGTGACCTACAGAAACAAAACGGTTACCAGTGAGGAAATCTTTACACAGTATATCACCAACCTTTCATTCTGACATACAACATAATGTAGAATATTTTAGCATTATTGAAGAATACAGGCAAATATACCAGGAAACATTTACATTATGTCTATGTGATGAACTTTGCTCCCAAAAGTTCAGGACGCCATACACTGTCTCTTCGCATACATCAATTTGATCTCTCTATCAGCTCTGTTGAGTAGCCTATGTGGAGAGAGAGCGTCTGGCCAAAGGCCATCCAATCATCTTAGCTACTGACAAGGATTTGAATCTGAGGTCGTAGTTACACAAACAAAAGGTTTTTCAGTTTTCTCCCTCTGATTTTGCAATTTAAATTTGCGGTCACATGACACACAAATATTAGCAAATCATTTATCCGGCAAGTCTGCTGACTATGGATAATTTCTCGTTTGGACAGTGATTTCTTTTTTGTTGTGGATCTCTTTCTTTTAAAGCGTGACTACATGTGTAAATGATCCTACTGCAACTTTTTCAAACTACTATCACTGTGCATGTCCTTTAAAAATGTTTCTACTTTTCAAAATGTTTCTGAGGCATTTGTGTTGGTGTGTCAGTTAATTTCTGTCAAACGGCATCAACTAGAAGCTCTAGGTGCTTATTGAATTGGAAGACAATGACTTGGTAACCTAAAAACACATTGGGACACATCCTGGAATAAATGCCACATGACCTTGAAGCAGGACAGGAACGTAATTAAAAGTTGCGTAACCACAGGGGGACATTTTGCTGGTGTGACCATAACACGACTCTTCTTAGTTCTAATCTTTTATTCTCACTACACCATCTCGTCACATAAAAGAAGAAAAGTTTCTTCTTAGTTATATAATTTAAGTATAATTGGTAACTTTAAAATCTAGATGTTGATGCTAGCTTGGTTTAAGAGCTGCTGCTCTCTTCATCAGCCAATTTCTCTGGCTTGGCTCCTTTCCCCAGTAGCCAGTCACACTGCAAATACTGAATAGGATGGTATGCATTTGAATCAACACAGCAGAGAAGACATTGAGAAAGGGAGAGAGAACTTTGCTCCAGAAAAAGAGAAAATCTTCTACTAGGAAGAAGGGAGAGAAGAGTAGAAGTTCAAAAGTTACAGGAAGGATGAATGAAAGTACATGTCAGAGGAAAGTAGAATCACAGAGTGACTGCATTTTGAACCTGGACAGTTGAATAATGCATATGTGCACCCTCCCTTTTATATTTACATAATTACATGGAAACAGAAATACTCCTCATGTAGGGCTCTGTTTCTGGAGTGCTCATTTTTTAAAAAATAAGAGTTGAAATTTCAACAAACAGCATGCTTCTAGGAGTAAGAGTATCAATTAATGAGCAAATAAAACAGGCTTAATTTTTTTTAAAGCCTGATACAGAACATTCACACTATATACAGTGGTGCCTCGCATAGCGAGGTTAATCCGTTCTGGATTAGCTTTTCAAGTAAGTGAAATTTACTAGGGTCTGCACAATTCAGAGTGCTAATACTTATGGAACAATAATTTAATGGTTCCTCTGGAGTTATGAAATGTGACCCGTTTGTATTCCTAGTTAACTTTAAAAATTAGACATGCTACTGATTCTTACCCCTGGAGTAAGAACAGATCCAATTCCATTCTTCAGTTTTGATCTCCCTCGTCCACCTCTTCCAGAAAGACCTGCCCCACGTGGTCTCCGCTTCCCAGGGAACCCTGATCCACGGCCCTATTCATAGTAAATTCCAAAATTCAGACAGAAGCAAAAAATATTTCAGGAGCCACTTAATGTAGATTATTCTGCTTCAGTAAGTCAGTCTCATGAGCAACAGCCCCATCAGCCTGTTGTAACTGAAACAACATGTTCTGTTTACTTTAAAGACAAGTCTGTTGTAGTGTGAGATTTTATAAATAAGGTGTTATGCAGAATTTCAGACATGCATGCGATATACATAATTTAGGGATAGGATGGCAGGCATGAAGTCAGAGAAATCAAAAAGTGAAAGCACTAACAGTGACAGTGATTAAACCTGGCCATTCACCAAGATGTTGCTGATAATACAAATATTTCCACACTAGGCAAGCCAAATTGTATGAAATCATCATCTCAGCATAAACCTCTAATGACAGACTGGAACTTCTAAATAAATAATGCATAAATAATAAATTAAAAATAAAGTATAACTTAGTAATATCCACAATGGCTACAGAGGGTAACTGACAAGGTGATGGGGGAGGCTGAAATGCTCTGCTATATTTATCTTAATTACTGTAATTTCAGATGTCAGATTTTATTGGTTTCTACTTTTCCAGAGAGGTGAGCCTGTTTTTTTTTTTTTTTTTTTT